GGAAATCCATTGTTAAGCAGCAGCAGCAGTGGAGATGGTTCGGCCTGGTGCGAATCCAAACAAACTGGCTGTGATTTACATTTGGCTGCTGTCATCCCCCACCCTGGAAGGAATGCAGAGAAACTCCAAGGAAGTTTAAAGGCGTTATCTGTTCAACATATTATTTGCATATTCATATGGATGTCTATAAAATCAGATTTGAGGTATTCAGAGGCGTCCAGATTTGCCAGATTTAAGACCTGTGTAGTCGTAGGCCGTCAGGGGTAGTGATCTGACCCAGAGCTCTGTATTAGAATTGTACTGAATAGGGAATAAATTCCTTTTGCTTTTAATCGACCGATTCCAGTTGCTATTTTTGGGAGAACACGCCTAATAATATGTGATCTTAATAATGGGTTTATATCTTTATTACAATCCATATCTCACTGTAGTACACAGAGCCTCCTCTTTAGATGAGATCATAATCTGAACATCTGCAGATCATTCCAGATTGAGAGATCGCAATGACAATACGACGCCATCTTAAAACCTGGTCGAATCTCGCCTTAATTTGGTCATAATCCCAAATCACCATCTCCACAATTTCAAAAGGTGTTCTCAGTCTGGTGTGGGATTACTGGAACGAGAAGTCCTCCACTGCTGTTGTCATTATTGTTATTATGACACTGTGATGTGTTTTGGGGGGGTAAATTCATTTGGTAAGTAAGTCTTAATTTATATAGAGCTTTTCACAGACACATGTCACAAAGACGCTTAACAGAGCTTTATTCATTCACTCCGTACCCAGTGATGGTAAACTACTATAGTGGCCAGAGCTGCCTTGAGGCAGACTGACAGAAGTGCGGCTGCCAGCCTATCTGCGCCATCGGTCCCTCCGACCACCAACATCACTCACGCACACACCACTTTCATACTAGGCAATGTGGGTGAAGTGCCTTGCCTAAGGACACAACTGGTGCCCCATTGTGACACCTGATTTTCCCAGTGTCTCCCATCCAAGTACTAACTAGCCCCAGTCTTGTTTAGCTTCTGAGATCTGACAGGATCAGACTTTGACAAGCCGGTATGGCCACTTATGGCCACACTTGGTGATGGTTGTGGTTTATTTGTGGCACACGCCAGATTTAAATCCATCACCGTGACCCCTTAAAAGACAATGGAATAGCAAATGTTTCTTATCCAACATTATTATTATGGTAAGGATAATCAAATGCAAGGTCATTTACACACTGGCAATTTGAATATTAATGCATAAAGATTTTTTTAGGTATAAATTTGTTAGTAGTATTAATGATGTGCTATGTAACTTTTCTGCTGGGAGCGATAATGGCAATGTTACAGTATATTGTTCTTCAGTATGGCATTAAACTTGTCTGTCTTATTGGAGACAAGCCAGTGGTGCAACCAGGCCATGTTTACAGGTCAGATCTATGGAGAGGTGACCCCACTCATAATAAGAATTCATGTTTAGTAGTTTTTATATGCGTACTTTATACTTTTACTCAAGTTTTGCAGTAGTACTTGTAGTTGAGTAGATGTTTTGTGTAACTGTACTTTTACTCTCAGATTTTCAATCGTCTTTTCACCATTTGAACCAAGAAACTAAAAGGAAGACTGAAGAGCTGATTTAACCAATGAATATACCGGTTAAAGAAAGAGGAGGAGGAGAGAGAAATGAAGATAGAAAAATCAAACCTACCACCTTAAAGCAGGACTAAACACCTAAACTCCACCCACAAACACATTTCAAAAAGAGCTGATAAAATGAGTGGTACCTGGAGGACTAAAGAAGAGAGTGAAAGGAGAAAGGGGCGGGGCTAGGGGGTATGAAGAACAGTGTGATGGTCTAGCAGGCATCCACACTTCAAAGTCCCTCCATAGCCAGGGATTTGTAAACAAAAACACCTGGCTGTAATCAGGGTAGTCCTGTCTGATGTCACATAGTACTTGATACCACAGGAGCCACTTGGAGTTCACACACTCATTTTTACACATTTTTGACCAGATTATTTTGCATTTCTATTTTGCTCTAAAATTACCAAACAAGCAATAGAAACAGTAAATAACACTATTAAAGATGCACTGTGTAACAGGTGGGGTCCACCACCTGCTTGTTTCTATGGATATGTCATTGTTCTGCCTGAAATGTTCCACAGTGTGACATTAAACAGCTCTACTTTACATTTATTCAATTACAGGTGGTTTTATATCTCAAAAATACCTAGAAAAACAAGGCTTTCTGACTGTGAGCGAGGTCACCTCTCCACAGACCTGACCTGGAACTTGGTCTGGTTTAGTCTCCATGGAGATTAATACCATACTGTGAAACATTCCAGATGAAGCAATAACATCTCCATGGAGACCAGAAACTTACACAATGCACCTTTAAAAAAACACCATTAGTTTAGTATCAAATATTTTTTTGTGATAAAATTTTTACTTTCACTTTAAAAACAGTATTGAAAACCACTTTGCAGAAACTAGTATCTTGACAATACATATTCTTCTTTATAACCAGTGTTGGGAAGGCCACTTTTAAAATGTATTCCCCTACAGATTACAGATTACATACCCCAAAATGTAGTTTGTAATGTAATCCATTAAATTACTTAAAGTGAGTAACGTAATCTGAATACTTTGGATTACTTGATTTGCTGTAGAAAAGCAAAGACTAGGAAATATTCACATAAGATGTTTTGTCTGATAAAAGACAATAAAAAAGTCCAGTCTTTAGTTAACCAGATTACAAATATTATTGACAGAAGAAGGAGAGACACGGTCCATGCAGCATGATTTAGTCCTGTTAAATCCTGTTTTAGTCCTGTTTTAGTCCTGTTTTAGTCCTGGTTTTAGTCCTGGTTTAGTCCTGGTTTGGTCTTGGTTTAGACCTAGTTTAGACCTGGTTTAGTGTCCGGCAATGAGTGGAATTACCGGGGGGGGGATATAGCCGGAAATGGGAAAACAGGAAATTACCGCCGTGTAATCCATTTATTTCAACAAACTAACTGTAATCCAATTACCACTCAGTGAAACAGTAACTGTAACCGAATACAGTTACTCATAATTTGTACTCTGATTACGTAACTCCGGTACATGTAATCGGTTACTCCCCAACACTGTTTATAACCTATATGTTAATTTAACATTATTTTCCAATAAAGGAGGTTTAAGCAGTAATTTAGCTCCCAGCCTTATTTCCATGTCAGCCATTTTGTGACATGTGCAGTACTCGGCTCCAGGGTCGACTCGGACTTGGTTCCATATCCACAAATGTTGGTCCTAGTGATGTTACTAATCTGGCAAGGTTTCATGCTTGTACCATGAAAGTGAACAATTGGGCACCTTTTTGGTCCTTAACAGTTCCACAAATATGAACTGCCGACCTCTTACACTTCAATAAAATTTTTTTTAAAAAGACCTTGTGGAATTTGGCATATTTGTTTTTGCAGTTTTCAGTTTTAGGGGGTTATTTTTTCTTTAACATATATCGAGATATAGCAAAATATATCGAGATATATTTTTTGATCCATATATCGCCCAGCCCTAATGGAAAGCTATTTTATTTCAAACAATGTATTGTTCAAGTATGATTAAAACGGTCTGAAAGTATCTGAAAACAACTCTAAGAAGTCAAATATTGAAGTTACTGAGTACACAAGAGTACACACCCACCTTCTGTTGTTGAAGGGCTGTCTACTGCTGCGCATTGACCAGAGGAGGTTTTGTCCTCTCCCTCGCAGCTCTTCGCTTGTCCCATTATTTAGGAGTTTGTCTTGGCACAAAAAGCTACAATGAGCGAAGATGTTGTCTTCGTGACCTTAACTTTAGAAAGAGAGGTGGAGGTTTCCGCTGTTTTACTGGAAGTCATCCGCAGTACATTCGAGTCTGTTGCGGGAGATGAGCTTTTACAAAGAGGGGAAACACCGCCCCCGTGTCGTGGCCACAGCATGGGGCCACAGGCACGGTCAAACTTACGGGAGGGGGTGTTCAAATCACTGAATTTCCCAGTAACATAAATGATCAGGTTCCATATTTGGGAATTACATTTATATACAGTAATATATTTCTTGGCAAAGTACAATCTAATTAATAAAAAAAAAACAACTCACATGCCAGAATTTGAAAGCTTCCAATTGGTGATTTTCAGATTCTTGAGTCTCTTTCTCTCTGTCATGCTCTCAGAAAGGGGGCGAGAGATATTTTTCCTATTGATATAATTGTTCTACATAAAATAACCAAAAGGTAAAATTATTTGAACCATGAACTACAACAAAAAACTGCAATTTAACAATATCAAATTTATCTGCCCCCCCCCCATCTGTATTAAAGGCACACTGTGTAATTTTTTTGTCATTGCTCTGCTTGGAATGTTCCATAATATCACATTAAACAGCTCTATCTTACATTTATTTAATTACACATGGTTTTATAGCTCAAAAATACCTAGAAAAACAGGGATTCTGACTGAGTGTGGTCACCTTTCCACGGATGTGACCTGTAACTTGTTCTGGTTTGGTCTCCATGAAGATAGAAAGGTTTAATACCATCCTGTGAAACATTCCAGAGAAAGAAATAACATCTCCACAAACACAATGCACCTTTAACTATAACTGGTGCACAGAGTATTGTTATGTCATCTGAAAGCCAGTAATTGTCCCATCCCTTGACCTCAGTATATAATTATAATTATAAACATTATAAACAATGCTATGGATCCAAACACACAAAAAAATTCTGAACATTCGTCAGATTTGCGCTCTGGGCTTCAAGCCGAGGAGCAGAAACTGAAGGAGGAAGGAGCAGGAGCGGCGTGACCTAGAGGAGACTGTCAAACTGAACACTCGGCCATGATCTCCATGATCCACAGCCTGAGCAGAGACAAAATGAAGAATGACTCCAATGCGTCGCTATGACAACATTGTTTTTAACAAACGTACAGTCATGAAATTTTACATTTTTAGCTTAATAATAAAATGTGTAATCATACAAACACCCACACAAACAAACCATTGTGTTTATTTCCCCACTACATTTTCACTGAAGATGTCCATTTAAATGTAATGCACAGAATTATTGTTTTGAGCAGAATCTCCCAGCGAACAGAACTGTGTCAGTGGGAATGTGTTTGATGAAGAAAATGAAAGGGTGATCTGCGTTGAAAGTGGCTCGTGGAGGAGGTATATATATTAATGCGCGTCCGCACAACATATGCACCACTGTAGCAGCAGCCGCCTCTGTTCCTGCTTCATTCACATCAACAACAGCTCTGTGGACGGCCTGGGACAGCATCAGGTCTTTGGCAGGTGACATTCCTACAGTGATCAATAAAAGAACGTCATGAATGCTCAAAACATGTTTTTTCATACAATAACACACATAAGTGTATTTGATCAAGAAACAATACATTATCTTTATGGCACTAAAAGTTATTTTGTTTCTTAAAACTACAACCCTCTATTTCAAGAAAACATCCGGGGGCCAGTATTTCAACACACTGAGTTCAGATAAAAATGATCAATATTTCCAAATCCCTGGATTCTGATCCGTGGAGCCGATTTCCATCCAGATATTTATACATTTTGCTGGACTGGATCAAAAGGATCCTGATCCTGATTGAGATTTCCAAATCCATCACTCCCATCAAGGGCTCAAAGACAGGACATTTTGCTGGACTGGATCAAAAGGATCCTGATCCTGATTGAGATTTCCAAATCCATCACTCCCATCAAGGGCTCAAAGACAGGAAACGGGAAGCATTTCACTGAAATAAGGAGGATCTTGGTGGATTTGTATTATTAATGGTAGAAATACCATGATTATTTTTAAGTCTAGTTGGTTAAAATCAGTTATTATGTTATGTTGTTTAACTAACTGCCACAGAGCTGTACAAGAAATGTGCAACACTAAATTAACTAGTTCATCCTGAGTCTGTTATAATATCAGAAAAATAAAGCACGCTTTAGGTTAGCAATGGGCCTCCTCCTCACCAGAGAAGTCACATTTGCAGTGGTCAAATGCGTCCTCCATGCCCATGGTCTTCAGGACCTCATTCAGCTCGTAGTTCTGCTCAATCCTGAATCGAGGAAGTCTCAGATCCACCTTATACAGGGTCATTTTGTCTCGGCGGGTCCACTCCACAAAGGACTCGTAGGTCAGCTGCTGCTCCAGCTGAACACAGATGTTTAGTCAGTGACTGAAAAGCATTTTTAGAGTTACTGCTACTAGAACTGTTGAACCAAAGCTAAAATTACAATAGAGATGGACAGTGTTCTTTGGGATCTAAAGACTCAGCGCTACTTTCTATACAAAGTGTTTGTACAGAAACTGGTAAAGCAGTATTTCAGTATTCTGCACAGATATCCTGGAACCGAAAACTAACAAAATTGATTCCAATAGATCGGTTTAAATTCATGCTAAAAGGTTTGGAATTTAGAGCTATAGTTTAGATTTTAGCTAATAAATTCTTGTAATTGTCTAAATGTATGCGTATGTACAGTTTGATCTCTGCTGTGTCTTGGCCAGAACTCTCTTGAAAAACAGAACTTTCCATGTTAAATAAAGGTACTTTTTTTTTTTCACAATAATTTAGGGCTTATATAATTGAAAGCATGATTATTATAGTGGTATAAAATATACTCTAGTACAGGGGTCTCCAACCTGTAGCTCAGGAGCTACCAGTAGCTCTCCACCCCCTTCCAAGTAGCTCGTTGAGGGATTTCTGAATTACATGTATTATGCTGAGTAAGTCTAATTTGAATAATTAAATGCCTATTCCCATTGTACATGTATCATTTTGATGCCTAACTTTGTGCACTAAGTGGATAATGATTATGTTTTATAGGCATCTAACTGTGCCTCATCTAAGGCTCGCCGTAGCCCTAAATGACTTGTGACCACTAAAACTAGTAGTTCTCTGTCATTTTCGTTTTGTAAAAGTAGCTCACTGGAGGAAAAAGGTTGGAGACCCCTGATCTAGTAAGATTTTTGTGACTGTTAAAAGTCTATGTAGACATTTTTTTTAAAATTTCGACTGATTTCACAGCCCTTGTCGACAAGATCAAATATATATATATATATATATATATATATATATATATATATATATATATATAAAAATACAAAATAGTGCAGTTTTAGGGATGTGTAAAACTTGCCTGGTAAATGCACAATGATACAGTATCTCTGCATTGTTTCTACTGTAGTGTTTTGGGTATTCTGGATCCCAGTCAAATGTAAAACGTATATTGTACCAAAGCTGCAAAATTACCTGATGATAAACGTAAAAAAGAAATAAACAATTTTTCAGAAGATTTTATACCTTGCACAGTACAGATGCACAGCAGAAAATCTGAGCCTCGTTATCATGATGGAGAAATATTTTATTTTTGTACAACCCTAGTAGTAGCAGTGGCAGGAGTAAACGTGGTAGTTGTACTTACCTTCTCCAGACCTGTAGTACTGTCCTTTATGTCATTAGGTAAAAAGATGAGCATGCTTAGCTCACATGTATAAAACATCTCTATCACCTGTAAAAGAGCATAGTTTGATAGTTACAGTCTCATTGTTTAGGACTTGTTATATTGTGTGGTTCATTTACTTGCCTGGCAGCTGATTTCCTCAACTTTCCTTAACATGAACATCCCTGACTGGTGCATCATCTTCACTGTCTGAGTTTGACGCTGTAAATGAGAAAAATACAAAAGGAATATTGAAGGTTCGATATTAAGACAATTCCACAACATTGTAACATTTTTGACATGTGTTAACTAACTAACGAAGTTGAAATGACTAGAATAATCACATATATATCATTGGCAAGCTATCCAAGTCCCAGACCTTCTGTTTATAGTCTAGACTGACCGTAAAATCAATAAAAAAAAATCGTTCTAAAATGTAAATTTAACATAAGCATTACAGAACACTGATCAGAGGACTAAACCAGGACCACATCAGGACTAAATATTGAAATTGAATGAGATTATTATATAAGTAAAATAGGAGGTTGATATGATTAACTGAGATTCAGGAGCAGGACCACGCCTCAGCCGCCCTCTTCTCTCACCAGCGAACCACAACTCACCTCGACAACGCCTCTAATTTTCCAGAAGCCTATATGTAGCAGCCTTTCCCATCATCCCAGTTTGTCTCGGCTAACTCGACAAAGCACGAGAGGTCAAATTTGAGCTTTTGAAAACATCAAAAGTTCTGAAAATGCACTTGACTTGATGCACTTCTATGTTAGGTGGACATGTTATAGAAAGGTTACATTTCGCTTTTAATGATAAAGCAAACAATATGTAACAGTGTAATTTAATACATGTTTAATCTAATATTTTCTTACTTTTTAGATCTTAAGTTTTCAGGGTTAGGCATTCGTAAGTGATTTCACTTCAGCCTAAACCCCTTCTGTCATAGTTTTATGTGAAATGTTTCTAACAGTCTATTAAGTACAAGATTAAGTACATGTCTTAAAAAAAAAAATAAAAAAAAATACAACTACTACTACCTTGTTAAGTCTAAATTTCGCATCCCGTGTCTTCTCTTTTTCAAACTGCTTTCTCCAGTCGGCTTTCAAATAGATGGCATTCACCAGCACTAACTTTGCTGCACTGTCCACGGCACCTTTACCCAGCAGATCCTTAATTTTACCTGGGAAAAAAACGTAGTAGTGGTAGTGGTAGTGGTAGTGTGGTAGTGTAGTAGTAGTAGTAGTAGTAGTGGTAGTAGTAGTAGTGGTAGTGGTAGTGGTAGTGGTAGTAGTAGTGGTAGTAGTAGTGGTAGTAGTAGTGGTAGTAGTAGTGGTAGTAGTAGTAGTAGTAGTAGTAGTAGTAGTAGTAGTAGTAGTAGTAGTAGTAGTAGTAGTAGTAGTAGTAGTAGTAGTAGTAGTAGTAGTAGTAGTAGTAGTAGTAGTAGTAGTAGTAGTAGTAGTAGTGGTAGTAGTAGTAGTAGTAGTAGTAGTAGTAGTAGTAGTAGTAGTAGTAGTAGTAGTAGTAGTAGTAGTGGTAGTAGTAGTAGTAGTGGTAGTGGTAGTGTAGTAGTAGTAGTAGTAGTAGTAGTACCAGCAGTAGCATTAGATGCTGTAATAACTGGTAATAAAAAAATATATATATGTAAAAAAAAAAGAGTAAGAATTACCCTGTGTCTGCTCCTCCACCCAGCAGTTCATTTGGATTCGTGCTTCTTCTGCTTTTTTGACGAAGTCCACAGTCTCTAGCTCTGCATTATAGAATTCTCTGGTCCCTTCAAGAAACTTCTAAAATGACAAATAAAATAAAATGCTTTCTCAAATGTCCGGCACATTGCAGTAGTTTGTAACTGCCAAATTCAGCTATAAGAAATTCTATAATGTCAATATGATTGCCATTTGACTGATGTTAAACTCTGATTAATATTTACCACAGATATTATCTCGCCAAACTAAGTATAAGTAAAAAATAAACACCCATAATAACCGTTCACCTACTAACCCAGAGGTTGAGGGTTAAATCCCACTACCAGCACTTCATTGCTCTTGGGCAAGACACTTCCAACTTCTGTGAATGGTTGATAGAGATAAACTCACTGACTAAATTTGACTTCATAATGGCAGTACTGAACGGTAACCTCATATCATGGGATTTTAACCAACTAAGAAGTGCAGCATGTGCAGTTCAAAGGACACAAACAAGGGACTGTCGGATTGTGTGAAATTAACTGTTTGTTTTTCCCATATCCATGGAAACTAGCTAAGAAGCTGACTATGGACATTTGAGATGCTACAGGCTTTTCCCACCATATGTGGCTGCAAATGAGACGGAACACCTTCCAGAGGAAATACTCTCAGGCCTTCCAGAGCAAATACTTTGGGGAATGAACACAACAGACTGTTGGGATTGTGTGAAATTAACACTGTTTTTCCTGTATCAATGGAGATTGTACAAGAGGCTAGTTAAGGAGGTAGCTATGGGCATTTGAGATGCTCCAGGCTTTTTACACCATATGAGGCAGCAAATGTGGCAGAAGACTTTCCACTGGAAATACTTTGGTGTTTCGATCGGTGGTGATGGGCCATTCCCTCGGAGTGGAGTAAAAGTGAGGCCTTTCCTGTTGTGTTCATCCTGAACACTGCTGTGACAACTGCAGGAGCTAGTGTTCAGTGAAGACAATATAGACATACCTCTATAAACTCGTAGGACTGTTCTCCGTACAGTCTGTTGGCAATACTGACAGCATATGATGGATCTGTTTTGTTTAATTTTTTCAACAGGGCAGCAAAACTGGAATGGACATCTTTACAATCTTTAGTTTTCAAGCACTGTGGGTGGACAGGAAACAGACAAATTAATGATAAGGACAGTGAAAAGCTTAAATACAATTTTCTGAATGGATGGAAATATGAATTGGAATCAAAGCAAGTAATAAATAACAGATAGTAATTTAACTGAAACCACTGTAACGCTATTATGAACTTCTAAAATACATTTTCCAGTGCAGGTGAATTACTGTCTCCTTCATACACTACAACATTTTCAACACAAGAAATAAACATATTCATAGCATTTCTTAAAAAGGCCATTCATATTGGCAAAACCAATTATGTTTTTTTCACATTGATGTGATTCTTCAACAGACATACAAACTTCAGCCTATTTTAGCACCAATATGGACAGTTTAGTTTGTGAAAAATGTGCAAAATGTGAGCGATCTATGCATTTGTGGAGAAGGAAGATGTCTGTGCTGTTGTGACGTTTCGACCAATCACATTTGAATAGTCGCCATGACGTTCCGCATTTTACAATCACTTTCAGCGAGAGCCGTCCCAGATTTATCATGTGCAGAACTCAAGTCAGGGTGCTACACATATACACAGTTTAGCGTGAGCCAGGTTATGAAGTCCTACCTCTCTCATCTGATCTGCTGTCCTGCCTTTGGCCCCAAGTAGCACCATGGAGAGTGCTGCAGAGACGCTGAGTGGAGAGAAGGAAACATTGGAGCTTTTGTTTTGGTTTTCCAAAGATCTGAACAGATCCAGAGTAAAAGTGATGTTGGCTTTGGACAGGTTCTCTTCTGCAGAGGAAATGAAAGAAACAATAAGTTATGTAACTTAATAATAACAAAACTGTTAAATGTTCCTTTTAAGACCACATTTAGCATCACTTGTCTGGCAAATCCAAAAGATGGTTGAATCATAACAGGTTAAGAAGTCCCTATTTCGTTTTCTGTGAGGTTGGAAAGTTTGTCCCTTAGCAATTCCTTTAGAGCATATGGAAGGATTAGGATATGACACAATTCTCCTCCGCTGCTCCTCCTCCCGTGAACAAGAAAATGACCTAACTGTAACAGTATAAATGGATGTAGGCAACCATCTGTTTTATTTTAATCTGATGTAGGGCAAAGGCCCAATCAGGAGGACAAAACATTAAATGATGCACAAAATCTTTTATTTTCAAAGGATAGCCAACAAAATATAGGCCACATAGATTTGAAGGTAAACGCAAAGAAGCACAAACGTTCAAAGTAGTAATGTCAACATAAGGCGTTTGTCACTCACTGTACATTTACTCAATGGGAAGCTATTTTATTTCAAACAAGGTTCAAGTATGATTAAAACTGTCTGAAAATGTCTGAAAACTACTCTAAGAAGTCAAATATTGAAGTTACTGAGTAGACAAGAGTACACACCCACCTTCTGTTGTTGAAGGGCTGTCTACTGCTGCGCATTGTCCAGAGGAAGTTTTGTCCTCTCCCTCGCAGCTCTTCGCTTGTCCCATTATTTAGGAGTTTGCAATGTGCGCAGATGTTGGCTTCATAACCTTTAATATTTTAGAAAGAGTGGTGGGAGTTTCCGCTGTCACGACATTGCGTAGTTTTACTGGAAGTCATCCGCAGTACATTCGAGTCTGTGTGGGAGATGAGCTTTTACATAATCACACCAAACTTTACATTTGTGACTAAGGATACGTGACTTTACAAAGGCTGAATAGCTGAAACTGTGTCGAAGACAGGTCGCGTCTTTCTGTTACAAATCCAAATTCAGGAAATGTGCTTTATCATACCGAAGAGGGGAAGCAGCGCCCCCGTGTCGTGGCCACATGCACGGGGCCAACTTCTTATCTCACCAAGCCCATCCTACCGGGAGGGGGTGTTCAACTGAATTGAATCACTGAATTTCACAATTGCCAGGAATGATCGGCTTCTGAACCACTTCGGAGAAGTGTCATTAGAGCTCTGCTAAGTATTGTTCCCATTCTCCCAGCTCTCACGTCCTCCGTCTCCACGCCTCCATTTGGCACTGTCACCGAGGATGCACCTGTGGATCCATCATGGCTACCTGTGAGCGTGGAATTGTCCACAATGCACTGAAACTTTCATTTTTATTTTTTTTTTTATAAAACTTTATTTAAGCAGTAAAATGCATTCTAATAAAATAAAAATCATTGCACAAAAATAAGTAAATATTTTACTGATTTTGACATCTGTGTCAATACAATAATACATATATTTTTTAAAAATCATAATATTTTCCCCAGCAAATAACCAAGCCTAGCTTCTACAGCACGTGGATCTGATCTACATCCGTCACACCAATACCGGAAGTTTAACACGCGTTGCCTGTTACCATGGTTACGCTCCCAAATACAAAGGAGCACTTTTGGATGAATAAACGCTTTTGAGAATATACATAGCTATAATTGTCGAGATGAGTGTGTCAAACACTCGCACAATCCTCCATAAAGATAATGCAACCAAATTTGTGAGCCGGGAGCGCACGTATGACTATCTGTACGGTAAGGCGCGTTAACCTAGCTTTAGCCACTTTGATGCTGTGTGTCACAGACCCATAGATCCATGGACAGACCCTGGTCAGATCATATCTTTTCATACAGACCCAGTTTACACCGTCTCATCAGAGGTGGATCATATCAGGACCAGCTTGAAGGCTTACACATCCAAGGACAGAGTGGTACGTTCTTTTTACTTGTTGGTTTGTTTTTTAAACTATAGTTTGTAGGTTAAAGCAATGTATAGACACATTTTATATTCATCTTATCAACTGGCCATCTAAATTAAGGCAAAACAAAATTAAATTAAGGCAAATGATATCTGATAATGACCAGTTTACATTGTAATAAGCTTATTTGTGTACATTTTTACACAGTTGAAAATCCCAGAGTATGGATCTATGTTCAGCCATCTTCCTCACTATCCAAGATTCAAACTTCAGCTGGACCCTTCAGACCCTGTACCAGCCACTATAGACCGCCGATGGAGAGGTCACGCAGAGCAATACAAAGAGGCACTGCATCAACTGGCTGGGTAACTCTCTGGTGTTGTTCTTGTTTGATTTCTTTTAGACTGCCATTGTAATAATTAATATGACTTCTATTGCAGTGTTAGAAGTGCCTCATCATGGCTGCAGAAAGAGGAAGGTCATGTGACTGGATCTGATCGCTGGAAGTATTTCTCACGGTAGGCCTTTTTGCTCTGTATCACATGTTACTTGAACATGAAATCTAACTTTTGTACTTGTTTTTATCCAGCCCTTTGATTCCATTTGGACAGCAGCTGCCCCCAGATGTTATCTTTGCGTTGCCAAAGTATGTTTTGTTGTTATGTGGATATTTTAATGTCTTGTTTTATCTATGTTTAACCATTCCTATACTTGTTCACAGAGAAGAGTTTGTGTCCAGTCTGGACCAAAAGCCTATACAGCAGCCCACTCATTTTACTGTGGCAGTCCAGACTGACTACAGAGAGAGTGAAACACAGACAGATCCTTACAGTCCAGAATATATTATCGAACCTGGCACAACGCCTTCTGAACTCCTGACTCTGGCATCTCTGACTTGGGGTATGAAATAACACGTTATTGAAAGTTGAAGACTGAATTTAGTGTCAAGATATGAAAAGTACAATTACTGTATAACATTATAACACATACACATGCAAAAAACAGTTTATCCCACCTTAGATAGTGATTCCTCAGTTATACATTATATTGTCCTCAAAGACTATATAATTCTTTCTTTTCTATGATGTGCTAAAGTCTCTTGATATGTGACTCCCTCAGGTCATGGACTGCCTGCAGGTTTGGCAGAGGTAGAAATGATAGAGCGTGCTCGAGCCAAAAGAGCATGGGAGGCCACTCTCCCTCCACTGGATGACCTCAGTCAGCTGGACAAAAGGAGACGCATGATGGAGGAGATGGAGGCTAGGGAGTGGGCTTTCAGAGAGGGGCAAATCCAGAAGTGGGTATCACTGCTTTCAAAGAGTCATTTTGGCCATGTGCAAATGGACTAAAGGGACTCACCAAAACATAACAGATGCACTTAAATACAACCTCATTGCAGTGTGGTTTATCTGAACACTAGGAGGGAGCATACAGTAAAACAATACAACTTGTTTTTGACTGACTTGCTAGTTGCTAATGATATCATTTTTGCCATTTATGAAAACAAACTTCCTATTTATTTATTCTTTTATTCATTCATTTATTTATTTATTCATTTATCTGTCTCGTGTTTGTGTTTTGCACCGGATGGTGTTCAGGCTAAAAGAGGCCCGTCTAGAGGTGCTGACAGACCTCCTGAAAAAAAGGGACGAGATTCAACAGAATTATACACATGACAGACTGAAGCAGATCAATCATAAGCTACAGAAAGAGAAGGAGACCAAAATTAATAAGATCAACAATGACTATTTCCGGGGTAAGAAAAACTTTTTTTTTTATGTGAGATGTTTAAAGGTGCACTGTAACCAACTGCTTGTCTCTATGGGGCTGTTTTTGTGTAATCCACTTCCAATAAAGCATTAAACTCATCTCCGTGAAGATGTGAAACTAAACTAAGGTACAGGTCAGATCTGTGAAGAGGCATCTCAGTGTATCATAAGAATGCCTTTTCATGGTATTTTTAAGCAATAAAACCACCTGTAATGTAATAAATGCAAAATATACACATTTAATACTGTACTGTGAAACACTGCAGGCAAATAATCACATCCCTGTGGAGACGAGCAGGTGGTGAATCTTCTCCCAGAAAAGTTAGACACGGCACCTTTAAGTATGCTTTATCTCTTGTTTCACAACAGCAATGAGAAAATTGGACGCCAGACACAGTATAGCAATGGACAAACTAACACATGCATTAAACTTCAAAGATTATTCTGATCTTTCCTCGCACATGCACCCTGCTGTAAGACGAAAGCATGACGCAGACAAAAACTACTACTTTGACACCGAAGGTCAGAATAAAACCATAATGATATATTTTTTCTAGTAATTATTATGTATATTACAATGTTAAGATCATGTTTAAAGGCTTCACAGAACTGGAAACTGGGCTCTCTGCTTCTTCATTGAAATCAACAGTGAAAAGTGCACAGCAACCCACTAGGAGTAAGATCAAAAACTCTAGTCAGAGAGCAATTCAGCTGTATGAGCAGTACATGGTAAATCACAAAAATATCCAAATTAAGCATATTTTGTGTGATGTATGCATACCAAATATTACATACCAAACACCATCTGTTTAGGCCCTACGGAGAAAAGACACGTCAGAAGAGCCATTGGAATGCCTTGTCAAGATTGAGAAGCCTTCTCCTCCGCCAGTCACTCCTGAAGTAGAACGACCACCAGAAGTAAGATCATGCCAAACAGATAGTGACATCGTTAAAGATCCTATATTACACAAAATTTTGTCTTGTGAGCTTTAAGCCATGTTATAAGGATGTTACCTCCTCAAAAACACACTGGACTTGTATTTTGTTTTAATCACACATTTCGGTAACTCTAATATTATTCTGTCTACATCTCCAAACCTCAAAATGCTCTGTTCCAAGTTGTGATGTTGTGAAATTGTAGTTTTCAAGTTAACAGCCAAATTTTACTTTAGTTCCAAATGATTCTAGTAAAGGTATCTGGAGCACTTCTTGTATTACCACACGACATCACAAGGTGGAACAAAGTGTTTTCTGTTTGAGAGAAGAACACAGCCTGAATGCACAGGATTTGGGTGTTAAACATGTGTCAATGAAACAAAACACAATTCCAGGTATGTTTCTTATGAGGAAATAGCTTTATAACATAGAAATGGCATAATATGGCCATTTAAAGACATACTAAATATATCTGTTAACTTCATTAAGGGGGAGGAAGAGAGAGAAATTGCTGTCATCAACTTGCAGAAGTTACTGAGAGGAAGAGCCATTCAATATGAGGTTTGGTCATGTTCGCATGTATTTATTTGGCTCTGCATGTTGATTATATTTTCTGCCTTTTTAATTATGGAATCTGTTTTGATGCAGCTAATTCAAGGTAAACAAAACCACCTGGACCTCATCAGAGAACTAAGAAGTGTCCATGCTCTTCAGAGTGAAGAACAGGCGCTACAGAAAGCAGAAAAAGACCGAATATTGAACCTCAAACGGGAGAGAGATCAACAGATCCGCAGGGTAAAACTACATCTGACCAGTGTTGGGAAGCAACTGAGCACATGTACCGAAAATACATATTCTGAATACTTTATTTAAGTACATTTACACAATAATACTTTTTACTTTTACTTCAGATACTTTTTACTTTTACTACATTTGAGAGCAGGTATCTGTACTTTCTACTCTACTACATTTGGACTAAAAAGTAAAAAGTCCTTTTCTTTATGGTTTGAGACCTGCTGAAATGGCTGAGACTTATTTTTTAGCACATTTAATTTGAGTAAACATCCTAACTTTGAACAAACCAAAAACACAGAAACACAAAAACAGTGAGAAAAATTAAGAAGTGAATTGAATCACTTAAAATCAGCTGAATTATTTATCAAAATCACTTCATCCGATGCTTTAACTGTTCAAAAAATCTCTTGTGTTTATCTCTTTTTACTGGAGTAATCTTTTTCCCCGGTATATGTACTTTTACTTAAGTAACAAAATTGAGTACTTCATCTGCCATGGGTTACTTTCCTAAATTAAAGAACATGACAGTAGTTCATCATGTACTCATATTAGTGAGAAAAAAGAAAACACAGCTCCTGGGTTGGGTTTAAAAGTATTCAGAGTATTCAAAACACAATATACATTACAAAATATACTTTAATTTCGGTATTCAGTATTTTGTAACTAAGTACATTTTCAAAGTATTCTTCCCATCACTTCCCATCTCACATTAAAGTAAACTCCAAGTGAAATACAAAACTTCTCACGCATTTCCTTAGACTGAGCACGTGGAGGCACTGCAGGCCAGAGGTGTGGACACAGAGCTTGAATACATGTTTGACACTTTATCCAAAGAGCTGATCAGACTGCAGGAGGAACGAAGGATCCATGCCTTCACTCTCCTCGCTGAGAGAGACCGCCGTGTGCGAGAGGCGGAGGAGAGTGGGAGGAGACAGGTTGAAGAACGCAGAAGAAAAGAAGATGACGACATTTTCAGACAAGTCAGTGTCAATTATAAAATACATTTTCTACTTGTAGAACAGAAAAAAATTATAACAAAATTCCCAACTGGAATAAAAGAAAAGTCTCCACGATAAACACTGACCCCCAAAAATGACTGCTTCATCTAACATGTATTGAACAATAAGTAGGTATAGTAATTATCACGATAGACCAACACACAACTGTGACCAAATCTGGATTAGAATAGGTTCAAACCAAGTCTACATCAGGACTAAACTAGGATTGAAGTGTGAGCATAGCCTGCAAACTGTGTTGCAGGTGGTGCAGATAAACCAGGAGAGTGTAGACTTGTACTTGGAGGACATCATTCTGGAGACCACAGAGACTGCAGCAGATGAGCAGGCGAGAAAGGAGATCCACCAACTGGCCAAAGAGGTCAATGATGTAGCGTGCGCCATGGAGGAAAGGTCAGTAATGAAGATAGCATATGATGTTTTGTTCTGTAAAACTCATCACTAAAACGCAGAATGTTCCTGTGTCTAAACAGCCGTCAGTCTGAAGCCATTGTCTATGAGTTGGTGTACAGCTTTCTCATCCCAGAGGTGGTTAAGACAAGTGTCAGGCAAAAAGGTAAGGGTTATATGCATAGACTGTAGTATAAGTACTGTAGAAGTGGACAAAGCGAGTGTGATGTCACCCATAGTGTTTGTCTCCACTCAAATGAAGTTCGGGATTGTAACGGTTACGGGGCGAATTTGGAGCCAGGCTCTATAATATGAACAGGAAACATAATCGTGAAACAAAAACACCAGGCTCATGTAGATCAGGTCAAAACGAACATTTTCAGACCAAAATGATGAGGCTCACAGCAGCAGTTACACAGTGAGGAGCCACAATATTCTAATGTAAGTCAATGGGAGCCAGGGTCAGAAGAAACCGGAAAAACTTCCTATTTGAAATGCAGCAGCTAGCGTGTTATAGAGTCTATGGTTATACGAGAAAATACAATATTCCCCATGTGCTTAAAGGTGAACTATGTAACTTAACTGTTACAGTGTCTGCCACCAGATTGTCATTGCTTTGCATTAACTTTATTTATCTCAATGAAAACAAGCAGGTGGCACAAGGCCAGAGTGACAGGTCAGATCTGTGGTGAGGCAAACCCGCTCACAGTCAGAATGCCTCTTTTCAAGGCATTCTTCAGCAATAAAAACATTAAATGACTGCTAGATAGACATGTTTAATGACATGTGGACATCTGGAACATTCTTTAAGCAATAATATCTTCATGGCGGCAATTAAGAGGCACACCTTACCATGAGAATTACGCAGTGCACTTTTAAATCTGATTTCTATTCTTTATAAAGCATTAGCCTCTCCAATATCTATTCAGCTCAAAGGAGCACTGCGCAACTTTTCTAGTGAAGGGTCCGTCACTTTCTTGTCTTCATGAAGCTGTTATTGCTTTGTCTAGAATGTTCCACAGTAGATATTAAACCTATATATCTCAAGGGAGACAACTATAGGCTACATTATAGGTCAGATCTGTGGAAAAGCAGCACTATTCACAGAGAGAATTATTGTATTTTTGAGCAATAAAAACACCTGTAATTAATACATGCTCGACAGATGTGTTTAATGTCATATCATGGAACATTCGAGGCAAAGCAATAACATCTCCATGGAGACAAGCAGGTGACAGACCCTCCACCAGAAAATTTGCGCAATGCACCTTTAAATATGTAAGGTGCAGATCAGGTCGCACAATTCAAACAGAACAGAGAACATCAGACACTGACCATGAATTGATGTCACCCGCCCAGCTCACACAGAACTAAGAAAGTAGCCCAAAGTAGCCTAATTTCAACCTATTTGCTTCAAGACTGAAATGTAATTGTGTTTTTATTTTCTTACTCAGTTCAACAGAAGCAGGAGAGACACTTGCAGGCGGCTCGGAGCATCATCCATGGCCCTTCACCTCCCTCTGCTCAAAGCCCCTCAAACTCTGTCACTCAGGATGAAGAGAGAGTGAAAGAGTCAGAGCAGCCTCATACACACACAAACAATTAAACCGTACATTAATGCAGTTATTCATGTGTTGTAAGCAATACCAGCGTGATTTTTAAATAAGTTTATGTTTATGTTGTATTTCATACTTTTCTTTTCTTTTTTGTGTGTGATACAGTATCTTGAATTATAGTATATTTATGTGTTCACACTTGCAACAAATAAAATACAACAAACTTCTAAGAAAACAGTGTGTACTTTTTAAAGGTGCACTTGTAAACTGTTCTGGTAGAGGGTCCGTCACCTGCTGGACTCCCATGTTGTTTTTTTCCTACAGCTTTAAATTTATCTTTCTCCATGGAAACAAGCAGGCCACTTGCAGGTCAGATCTGTGGAGAAGTGGACCTGCTCACAGTAATAACACATATTTTTGCACAAGTTTTAACAAAATAAAAACACTTATAATTGAACAGATACAAGATATGTTTGTTTAATGCCATAATGTGAACACACCAGGCAAAGCAATAGCATCACCGTGGAGACAAGCAGATGGCGGACCCTCCACCACAAAAGGTACACAGTGCACCTTTAACTATAAAAAGTTAAAGGTGCACAAGATGTTTATAAGACTTTTTCTAGAAGAGACTTTTTTTTTGTCTTTTTGTCAAATTAATTATCCCTGGAAACTAGTGTTTAAATAGCTTAAAATCCACTTTAGAAGATTTATGGCACAATAATTTTGAGTCTGTGGAACGTTCAATGTGAGAAGGCTGCCAATAGTCACAAGATCTGTGGCCTATTTTCAATCTCACTCGGTCAGTTTTATTATACAGGTGAGATCTGATAATACCATAAAAATACCAACTTATAACACCATATTACAGGCATGTCCAAACTATGGCCCGTTGGCCAAATGCGGCCCTCTAACAAATTTTTCTTGGCCCTCAGACTTCCAGGCGAATTGGCCCAAATTACTTTGCATCAATGAAAAATTTACTTTTTGCTGCAAGTTTTTAAAAAATCTACCTTGATAAAGCTAATATTTAATATTTAGTGTGTGGTTTTAAGGATCTTAGCATAAATAAAGACTGATGGCTTATTCTAATGTGTTTAAACATGCACATATTTCAATTATTCACTGTACTGAGCACCAGTCTACGGCCCTGGACCAGCCCTGTGCTTCGTCTGTGTTTAGAGATGTGGCCCTTGACGAAAAAAGTTTGGACACCCCTGCCATATTAAATTCTAGCCACAGCAAATATTTGACTTAAAGGGCCCATATTAGGCAATTTTCTGATCTATATTATGATAATGTTGTTTCCTCATCACAGACATACCTGGAGTTGTGTTTTGTTTCATTCACACATATTTCATACACACACTCTGCATATTTAGGCTGAGTCTTACAAACAGAAAATACTTGTGACGTTACGTGGTAATACAGGAAGAGCTCCACTGTGTTTTTAAACTCCATACACCGTCACTAGAATCATTTGGATAATTTTAGCCCTGGAATTGCCTATTTCTATTGCACAAAAGGTAAAAGGTAGCTGTTAACCCAAAAACTACGAGCCTACTTCATGACATCACAAGGTGGAACAGAGCATTTTGAGCCTTGGAGATGCAGACAAACTATTAATGCAGGATTACTCAAACATGTGTGAATGAAACAAAACACGACTTCAGGTATGTTTTTTGATGAGATAACAGCATTATAATATGGTTTAAGAATCAATTTAGTTTAATATTGTACCTTTAATGTAGTCGTAGTAGTTAAATAAAGTTGACAAAACATGATAAACTGAACTGCTTTCTTCAAGATCTAATTTACTTTTGTCTTAAAGGTTCTATATTACTCAAAATTGTGAGATTTTTGTGAGAGAGCCATGTTATGATGTTGTTACCTCATCAAAAACATGTCTGGAGTTGTGTTTTGTTTCATTCACACGTGTGCGTAATCCTCACTGTCTACATCTTCAAAGCTCAAAATGTTCTGTTCCACCTTGTGATGTCATATAGTGGTAGTTTTGAAATTAACAGCTACATTTTACCTTTTGTTCGGTAGAGATTGGCATTTCTGGGGCTAAAATTATCCAAAAGATTCTAGTGAAGGCGTACTGAAATCACAGTGGAGCGCTTACTGTATGTGACATCACAAGGTGGAACAGAGTGTTTTTAGGTTGAGGGAATAACACAGCCTATATATGCAGCGTTTGTGTGTTAAACATGTGTGAATGAAATGAAACTCCAGGTTTGTGATGAGGAAACAACATTATAACATAGATCAGAAAATAGCGTAATATGAGCCCTTTAAACGTTTACCGATTTCAGCACGTGGGCGGTACCGGACGAGCCTCTCCCCCCCTCGGGTTGCAGCTCCAAACTTTGGAAACTACGAAGTGAAGCAATATCCTAAACTTAAAAGTACGTGAAGACAAGACATCTGCTCATACTGTCGCTTTTTACACACTTGAATAATGGGACAAGCGAAGAGCTGCGAGGGAGCGGGCAAAACTACGCCTGGACAACGCACAGCCGTATCCGGTAAATATTAGCATTGATTTCTCTCTCTCTTTTTTTTTTTTTTTTTTTTTTTTTTTTTTTTTTAATTAACAAGTGTTGGTAGACATTACAGCGTGAAAAATTATGTGAAAATAGTCTGGACCAAATGAAAAAAAATAATAAAAAATTAAAATGAGAAATTAAGTTATTATATAGGTTAACTAGTCAGTAAAGCCAGTCTGAGATTTTTTTTTTTTTTTTTATACTTGGAGTAGTTTTCTGGTTTTCTAGTTTTCTGGATTTGGAAGTAACAAAAGCCCTTATGTTTCTTGCACCTTGCCATCAGATTCTCATTTCTGTGGTCTTTCCTTGTGTGCGTTGTTATTATTCTTAACTTCAAATTATAAATCACACTTCACATCTAGACAGTTACTCTTAGACTTACTTTACAAAGCCTTTTTTTTTTTAACTCTTTGTAATTTCTTGAAAGGTGCATTGTGTAACTTTTCTGATGGAGGGTCTGTCAAATGCTTGTCTCCATGGAGATGTTATTGCTTTGTCTGGAATGTTTCATAGTATGGCATTAAACCTTCCTATCATCATGGAGCCCAAACCAGTTCAAGTTACAGGTCAGATCTGTGTAGAGGCAACCCCACTCACTGTCAGAATGCCTGTTTGTCTATGCATTTTTAAGCTATAAAATAAATTAAATAAATGTAAGGTAGAGCTGTTAAACATTGTACAGATTCTATAAGATCACATTTCTGACATTACCTTTTGACATTTTAGGCTCATAGAGAAAAATCTTTTAAAATTCATAATTTCAATTCTTAAAATGATACAGATACTAATTATAATACACAAATTAATAAGGAATTTATAAAAGGAAAAAAGAAAGAATACAATGACATTTAGATGAAGAAAATCGGTCCATTTTCTCAGTTTTCCCAGATTTTGTCAGAGTTACTATCACCAGCAGAGCCCAAAGGAAGTCGTCATCCGTGTGTTTTCAGATGTCTTCCAGTTTTGTGACGTAAGCGTGAATAGAGCCCATACTTTATAAAGATGTGACTCTGGTCACTGCTGAGTCTGAGTTCAGATGGGCGTGACTGACAGGTAGATTAGCCAATCAGGGTCATGCATGGTCATAAAAATGATAAGTGGCCATTAAGCTCTTTCATTCCACATTCCACACATTCCACTGAAAAAAAAAAAAAACAAATCTGACTGGACGATTATGTTCTGGCTCTAGATGTAATGGAGGGCACAAGGACCAGACTGATATAACTCTGTGTCAAAAATACAAAAATATCATTCTGGATTTGTCAAATGATCATTTCCTGTTCTCTTTCTTTTGTTATTTAGACTTAGACTTAGCCAAATTTTATCTTTATTGGTCCACAAGGGATATGATTTGGTCACAGTAGCTCACACATCACAATATAATTTAATAACAAAGAGTAAAAAATATAAATGGTAATAATAAATTCTAAATAAGTAGCAAAAAAGATCGCAAGAGGCAACTGTTAAATAAGGCATAATTATATAAATGTCTAGAGACAAGTCAAAATAAAATAGAAAGATAAGTAATAAAATATAAAATCACAGCTTTATACAAGAGGTCATTACAGTGTATTTTTCACAATCATATTATTAAAGGGGAACTCTGGAACCTTTTTGGTTGGGGAGCTGTCACCTGTTTGTTTCTATGGATTTCTATGTCATTACTTTGTCTGGAATGTTCCACTGTATGACATTAAACACAGAATGGCATTTAACAGCTCTACCTCACATTCATTACATCATGCCATATTGTGAAATATTCCAGACAAAGCAATAATATCTCCACGGAGAAAAGCATTTGATGGACCCTCCACCAGAAAAGTTGCACAATGCACCTTTAACAAGATAAATAACAAACTGTTTCTTTCATTTCCTTTGCAGCAGACATGAGTGGGTCTGACAGCCTGTCCAAAGCCAACATCAGTTTTACTCTGGATCTGTTCAGATCTTTGGGAAAACAAAACAAAAGCTCCAATGTCTCGTTCTCTCCTCTCAGCGTCTCTGCAGCACTCTCCATGGTGCTACTTGGGGCCAAAGGCAGGACAGCAAATCAGATGAGAGAGGTAGGATTTACTACACTATGTAACTTTTATATAGCCACCTGCTTGTCTCCATGGAGATGAGCTTTGTCTGGAATGTTTCACAGTATGACATTAAACATGTCTATCATCATGAAGACCAAACCAGGCCAAGTTACAGATCCAAAACCATCTGTAATTGAATAAATCTAAGGTAGATCTGTCATACTGTGGAACAGAGCAATGACATTTCCATAGAAACAAGGAGAAGACAGACCCACTACCAAAAAGTTACACAGTGCACCTTTAAGAATTACACCGACGTGAAAAATCTCTATACCACATATTTATTTACACTAAAACTAGTATCTAAACTGAACTAGACAAACATTTGACCAGGTTTTGCCACTATGAATGACCTATATGGACACATAATTGTTGTGTTGAAAATAATAATAATAATGTTCATAATATTATGTAGTTTCTCTGACTTCTGATATCTGTGTTTGTGACTAAAGTTGCACTTTATGTTAAAGATCCTGTATTACACAAAACTGAGTCTTTTTTGAGCTTTTAGCCATGTTACAATTCACTTCAACAAGTCACTTCATCAAAACAAATCCGGAGTTGTGTTTTGTTTCATTCACACGTTTGAGTAACCCTGCCTGTCTACAGTCTGTCTACATCTCTAAAGCTCAAAATACTCTGTTCCACCTTGTGATGTAATGATTTTTGACCTTTAGTTTAGTAGAGATTGGTAACTCTGGGGCTAAAATTATTCAAATGTGGTAATACGCTTCCTGTATTACCATATAATATCAGGAGGTAGAACAGAGTGTCTTCTGTTTGAGAGAAGAACTCTGCCTAAATATGCTCGGCTTGTGTATTAAACATGTGTGAATGAAACAAAACACAACTCCAGGTATGTTTGTGGTAAGCTCTTAATAAGTTTTACAGTGGATTTAATTAAATTACTCTCTTTTACTTATCACTTATTTTCAACCAATTTTGTTTTGTTTCCAATTCATATTTCTGTGCTTTTCGCTGTCCTTCTCATTAATTTGTCTGTTTCCTTTTCACCCACAGTGCCTGAAAACTAAAGATTGTAAAGATGTCCATTCCAGTTTTGCTGCTCTGCTGAAAGAGTTAAACAAAAAAGATTCATCATATACCGTCAGTATTGCCAACAGACTGTACGGAGAACAGTCTTGCAAGTTTAAAAAGGTACTGTATGTCTATATTGTCTTCATTGACTGCTATAATTAGTAATTTCATTGTATTACAGTTATAAAATTATGTCATATTATACCATGGTGAGAAATCCAATGGCTAACTGCTCTTCATTAATACTGCATAATGCACAAGTAGTCCGGCAACAACCAAATCACTGGTCTGTATCACTGCTCTGCGGCCATCGCCATGACATCACCACAATAAAAAAAAAAAAAAGTTGCTGATATTTGAGACATTTACAGACAGTGGAAAGCTTTTCAGATTCACCGGTGAGACATTTCAGCTTGTAGCCATGGTATAGGTGCATTAAACAACTCATTTCTTTGTTGTTTAATGCTTGCTTTCCCATTGACTGACAATTACCAACCTTTCACGGAAGTTGGAAGTGTCTTGCCCAAGAGCAATGAAATACTGTTTGCGAGAATTAAACCCTCAACCTCTGGGTTATATTGGGTAATTGATTATTATGGGTGTTTATTATTACTTATATGTAATTTGGTTGTGATATCTTGGTAAATATTACTCACCAGTCAAATGACGTTATAGAACTTCCTCTAGGTGAATTTGACTCTTATAAACTACTGGAAATGGGTGAGACATTAAAAAAAAATGTATTTTATTTGTCATTTTAGAATTTTCTCGAAGGGACCAGAGAATTCTATAATGCAGAGCTAGAGACTGTGGACTTCCTCAAAAAAGCAGAAGAAGCACGAGTCCAAATGAACCGCTGGGTGGAGGAGCAGACACAGGGTACTCATTACTGTTTTCTATAATTGTGTTTTTATTACCAGATGATACAGCTACTACTGCTACTACTTCTACTAGTGCTACTTCTACAGTTCTGGTATTGCTACTACTACTGCTGGTGTTGCTACTACCATTACTACTACTACTACTACTACTAATATGTTTTGTTCTCAGGTAAAATTAAGGATCTGCTGGGCAAAGATGCTGTGGACAGTGCAGCAAAGTTAGTCCTGGTGAATGCCATCTATTTGAAAGCCGACTGGGGAAAGCAGTTTGAAAAAGAGTCGACACGGGATGCGAAATTTAGACTTAACAAGGTAAAACTTAAGATCTAAAAGATAAGAAACTATTAGATAAAAATGTGTTAAATTAGACAGTTACATATTGTTTGCGTTTTCATTAAAAACAGACATAAATGTAACCTCCAGCTGACATAGAAGTGCATCTCTTCATGGGTTTTCAGCTTCTAGTTCATTTTGAGAAAAAACTCAGAAACTTGAATTGTTAATTGAATTGCACAAGTATTACCTGAGTAGCATCCTTTGGCCACATGCTGCACTTCTTAGTTGGTTAAAATCTCATGATATGATGTTAAAAGCTTACCTTACCTAAACATTATCAAGCATGTGAAACATATTACTAAGAAAAAGTTTTATTCAAATACCCCATCTTTTCATCGTTCATCATTTCATCATAATCCATCTTTCCATCATTCCAAGTACCTCGTGGCCTCTGCCTGTGTACCCCTGGTTGGGAAACACTGCGTTAGCTCATCATTTGTGAAGAAGTTGTGATGTGTAAATGTGGTAATATGTAGCCATGATTATTCCTTTTGTATTTGTCATATTTACAGCGTCAAACTCAGACAGTGAAGATGATGCACCAGTCAGAGAAGTTCAAGTTAAGACAGGTCAATGAAATCAGCTGCCAGGCAAGTAAACGTGCCATAGAATGTAATGTAACCAAACAAGAACTAAACAATCAGACTGTAATGATCAGATATGTTCTTTTTCAGGTGATAGAGCTGTTTTATAAAAAGGAGCTCAGCATGCTCATCTTTTTACCGAATGACATAGAAGACAGTACTACAGGTCTGGAGAAGGTAAGTACTGTAGTTCTTCCCATGTGACTACAACAACTGCTACTATTACAGCTGCTATTATCTTATTTTTTATTTAACCTTGATTTAACAGGAAAACCCCTTTGAGATTACCATTGTTGGGAAGTAACTGAATACATGTACAGAATAGACTTTTAGAAATTACTTTTCTAAAATTAAAGGGACACATTATGGCATTTGATCATGTAATTTAGTTTTAAATGCACTTACATATGTACAATGTATTCAGAATACAGTACTCTGATGTCCATGTATCAGAATATGTTACAGAATACATTTTAATGCAGGTTTACAGTATTCTGTAACATTTTCAAAGTATTCTTCCCATCACTAGAGATTACTAATCTCTTTTTCAAGGGAGTCCTGGCCAGCAGAGATCAAATTCTTTCATACGCATACATTTAGACAGAAGAATTTGTTAGTTAAAAATGGTTACAAAATATAGCTCTCAGTTTCAGACCTTTTAGCATGAATTTAAACTGATCTGTTGGAATCAGTTTTGTTTGTTTCTGGTCCTTTTGATTATTGTTAAAGGATGTCTGTGCAAAATACTGAAATACTGCTTTACCAGTTTCTGTACAAACACTTTGTATAGAAAGTAGCACTGAGTCTTGAGATCAATCTATTGTAACTTTAGCTTTGGTTCAACAGCTCTAGTAGCAGTAACTCAAAAAATGCTTTTCAGTCACTGACTAAACATCTGTGTTCAGCTGGAGCAGCAGCTGACCTACGAGTCCTTTGTGGAGTGGACACGACGAGACAAAATGACCCTGTATGAGGTGGATCTGAGACTTCCTCGATTCAGGATTGAGCAGAACTACGAGCTGAATGAGGTCCTGAAGACCATGGGCATGGAGGACGCATTTGACCATCGCAAATGTGACTTCTCTGGTGAGGAGGAGGCCCATTACTAACCTAAAGAGTGGGGATGTAACAATAAATGAAATATGGTGATATCGTATTGTCAGTCTCACAATAATATAGTGGACCATCACAATGTATTGAATTACAAGTCTCTCCGCTTAAATTAATAGTTATGGGGCAGTAATAGCTAAAAAAAACAAACGACATAGACCATGACCCTTTGCTCCATTTCAGTGCAGACTACATGAAGAGATAATTGTTATTAGCACTTTTAAATATTAGTTCTTTGGATTAAGTCTTGTCAAGACATTTTTAGAGGAAAAAGTAGCATATACACAGCTTTGTTATCCTCCACAATATATCTCAATAAATATCATACTGTGAGACTCAAAATGAAATAGTTAATCTAGTATTTTATTATAGTGATCTCACTTTGGAGGTGGATTTGAGGCTGACCCAAAGTTTTGTAATTTCATAGAGATTTTCAACTGGACAAAAGTTTTTTTGATTGAATACCTTTAGCAGCTCATCCCAGTGCTCATCCATTGCTGCCGGCCTTATATCTGCCTGAAGGGAGGAGCTAACTACACTGAAACTGCTCTGAAACTTACACACCTACACATCATTTAAAAAAAAAATCCAGTTTAGAGTTATTCTGTCAGTGGAAAAAATATGTTTCAGTATTACTGTTTATTATCTATATTTTGTTATTGTGACAGACTTAGTTTAAACCTTAATTGTATGAAATAATATGTTTTGAGCATTGATGACGTTTTTTATTGATCCCTGTAGGAATATCACCTGCCAAAGACCTGATGCTGTCCCAGGCCGTCCACAGAGCTGTTGTTGATGTGAATGAAGCCGGAACAGAGGCGGCGGCTGCTACAATGGTTCTTGTGGGTTTAGGATCCTCCAACTGTCCACGAGCCACTTTCAACGCAGATCACCCTTTTCTCTTCTTTATCAGACACAACCCCACTGGCGCAATCCTGTTCGCTGGGAGATTCTGCTCAGAACAATAATTCAGTGCATTACATTCAAATTAACACCTTAAATGAAATGAGGGGTCCTACCTGTCACAGTCACTTTGAGTTTGTGGGTTTGTACATGTGTAAAAGCATGTAGGTGTATATTTAAATATGTAAAAATGATAGATTATATATAAATATTTTTTTTCCAAATGTTTTTCCTTAGGCATTATTGTGAATATGTAAAGCCTTAATTCAATCCATAGACTGTATATATTACTGGTCATAACTAACACATTAGTCGCCTCGGTCCAAATAGGAAGTTCGCATGTGGCTCTTCCGGCTCCTGCTGACCTGGCTCCCATTGACTTACATTAGAATATTGTGGTTCCTCTCTGTGTAACTGCTGCAGTGAGCCTCATTATTTTGGTCTTAAAATGTTCGTACTAAACTGCATGATCCTGGGGTTTTTATCATGCTATTTACACCCTTAAAAAAATCCTACTCGTAATATAGAGCCTGGCTCCAAATTTGCCCCTGTAGCCGTTGGCATGGCGAGCTTCATTCGAGTGGAGATGAACACTATGGATGACGTCACACTCTTAATCCATTTCTTTATACAGTCTATGATTCGGTCTAATGCAGGTGCTAAGTTTTTGTTTGTTTTTAAGCGTATTATTGTTATTAAGTGTATAATCACAAGAAAATGACATTCAACAGTTTCATTTACATTTACATAGACATTTTCTAAAATGTTAAAAATATTTTCTAACTTTTGTGCTTTAGAAATAAACTGTTTTATGCCCACTCAAGAATCACAAAATATAATAAATGTATGTACATTTCATCAACATACAGTAGATATGGCTGGATGCAAAGCTTCAAACTGTTTTGAATGAGAGAATAAATAAAATAAAATAATGGTGCACTGTGTCACTTTTCAGGTTGTGGGTCTGCTATCATGGAGATGCTATTGCTTGCTGGGTAATGTTCCACAATATGGCATTAAACTTATATAAGATGCATTCATTCAATAATCAGAGTTTTTATTGCTCAAAAATACCTTTAAAAACATGCATTCTGACTGTGAGTGGGGTCACCTCTTTACAGATCTCACCTGTCAATTGGCCTTGTAGCATTTTTTTTTAATTTACATTCTTACATTTGGATTGGACAAAAAAGGGCACTGAGTGAAGCTAGATTATTAGTCTGTCTACATTTCCAAAACTCAAAACCAGAGGTGGGATCAAGTCGTCTGAGTCAAGTCCTAAGTCAAATACAGGCAAGTCCAAGTTGAGTCTCGAGTCACTGGGCCATAAGTCCAAGTCAAGTCCAACTCATCTGCTTTGAGCTTCAAGTCATTTCAAGTCTTTAGAACAAAGTATGTATAGTAATATAGCTTAGATTTTTGCAATTTATATGCATTTTAGACTAAACTGTACTTAAAACGTCAGGAATATTTATATAAGAGTTGTGGAAATGCAAATTTTTCCTTTTAAAATGTCTTGAGGAGAGTGTGAATTATTACGGTAAAAACAGAAAGAGTTCAGATTTAAGAGTGCTTAATAACATTCAATTTGTTAACTAGTCTAAGCATCAAGTCTTTTCAAGTCACAGGGTTCAAGTCCGAGTTAAGTCCCAAGTCACTGACCTTCAAATCCAAGTCGAGTTCCAAGTCTTTGTCTATTTTATCAAGTCAAGTCTCAAGTCCTAAAAATAGTGACTCAAGTCTGACTCGAGTCAAAGTCACAACTTGCAAGTCCCCAACTCTGCTCAAAATGCTCTGTTCCACCATGAAGCAGTAGTTTTCAAGTGAACAGGTACTTTTCCCAATTCCAGAGGGTCCAGAAATCATCAAAAAATTTCTAGTGAAGGTGTAAGGAGATGGCATCACAGTGTTTTCCATTTGAGAGAAGAACTCAGCCTAAATTTGGATGTGTTAAACATGTGTAAATAAAACAAAACACAACTCCAGGTATGTTTTTGATGAAGATACATTATTATATAGTTGAGAAAATAGCGTAATATGGGCACTTTAACCTTGTATTAGCGAAATGAGTTGTCTAATCTGCACTTTAAATCTTTCCTGTCTCGTGTTTAGTACGATTGCGTGAGTTTTAATACTGTTTTAGTGAAATGGATATTAACTATAATGCATTCTCTTTGTATTTCCCACTGAATTACGCGCCGTGTGGCACCGGTGCGCACAGCGGTCACTCGTCTATTTTCTGTCCGTGTTTTGCAGCTGTCGGTGTCGCTCACAGTTCGGGGAAGGTCGCTCATTTCCAACATGGAGATCCAGCGGGCAGTGCGCATTTTACTGCTTCTGCTAGCCCTTCTTTTCCCCAGTAAGTACGTGAAATAAGCGTGATTTTCTTTTTATGGAGTCTAATTTTGTTTGTTTGGAAACTGTATGAGAGTTACACATTACTTGCAGCTACTAAGGAAGTGAAAGGAAGTTTGCTGATCATACCCAGGTTTATTTACTTTTATAGTTAGTATTTTGACAATGTTACAAACCCAATTAAATAATTAGAACTCTGTCAGGGAGGGCATCCAGCTTAAACGAGCTGTAACGCTGTAAACATAATAAATTCAGTAAATGTCTTTAGCTTTGTAGATATGATTTGGCGACACCTGTAGGCAAAAGTAGTAGTAGAAATGTAGTTTTTGTTGATTTTGTGTATGTTATTTCTCTCTTGATAACTTCTCAAACTGGACAGGTTATTATTCATATTTACATTTAAATGATGTAAGTAAAAAGAACAAAACAAAAGCTTGATTCTGCATGTTTTAGTCTGATAAGTAGCCTAAATATTACCGTGCATGTTGAGTTTATTGCTTTGGATCATCTATTCTAGGTCTGGGACCTCGCTAAACTGTAACCTCAAATGATATAGGATTTATACTAGGGCTGCAGTCGACTAAAGCTGACTGAAATGGGGGGTGGCAAAATCTCTCAAAACTATCTCCTTGTGTCTGACCCAAGCTGCACTCACCAGATTACACCAGCAGGGTGAGTTCATGCCTTAAAAAAACAACTATTTATGCAGAAAAAAGTAGCAAATCATGTATTTATAAAAAAGCTTAATCTGACTTTACATATAAATACAATAATAATTAATAACCTGTCCTTTCTGCTGTTGTCCCATATAAATCCTTAAAATTTAAATAAAATGATAAGTCAGCCATTACAAATTAGAATAATCAAATAAGACAACATCAGCTAGTGTCTACTAATATACTGTGCTGATATTTTGTTTTGATAAAATATAAGTAGAAAGCATTATTGCAATACTTTAATACGAAGAGATAACTGCACTACATGTTATACACTGCTCTCTTCAAGGGCTGTGGGTGAGTTTGTAGTAAAATAAAACTATGTTATTTGAAAAAAAATACTCAAAATCGGCCCAAAAATATCAGCCCAGAAGTAGAAGCAGAGCTTTTCAGCCATTGGTTGCTCTTGAAACGTAAAATAAAAGTAGTAAAGTACTGTACTTAAGTATACATTTTAGATATCTGTTCTTTATTTGAGTAGATTTTACAGTGGATATGTTTTACGTTTACCTCACTACATTTAAGAGCAGGTATCTGTACTTTCTTCTCCACTACATTTTTGAACAGGACTGAAAAGTAAAAGTATCTTTTATTCTTGTGTGAGATCTGCTGAAAAGGCAGAAAGGTTTATTTTTAACACATCCATAATTGGGCAAACAAACGGATAACAACAAATAAAAACAGAAAACAATTAATTTAATTGTTTCTGTTGAACAATATTCAGCACAAATCTTTATCAAAGCCACTACACTTGAAGCTTTATTTAACCTTAAAATCTGTGAGAAATACTTTTTACTCATTAAGTACATGTTTAAACAGGTGCTTAAATACTTTAAATTAAGTAGATTTTTTTCATGTGATACTTGAGTATTTTTTTGCTCTGGTATCTGTACTTTTAATTAAGTGACAACACTGAGTATTTCTTCCACCACTGATTCTGAACACTCAGTATTGGCTTCATTAATGAAAAAAACTGGTGTCACTTGATCTTTTTCATCAACTGATTAATTGACTAAACAACTAAAAACCTACAGTCCTAATTTCTACTATATCTTGTGTCTTTTTCATTGTGTTAAGACATACTCATTGGGTTGACAGTAAAAGCACACGGGCTGCATGTATGTGTGAAATGAAAACATAGCAGCAGCTGATGCAGGGCACAGCTGACACGAAACTAGACACTCCCAAAGAATTCACTCTGTCACTGCCTGAGTGCACTGTAAAAGTGACAGTACTTTTATCTGTTACGAAAAGTATTTATTGAATTATCCTTATCACAAAACCACACTGTATTTGTAATTCAACTGAAATGTGAGTGTAAAGAAAAACGTCTGTGTTATATGCCCTGTTGTATGCAAAATCAGAAAGTTTAAGCGTAGCATGTAGATGTAGGAGTGATAGTGGTGGTGGTAGTAGTAGGGGCGGGTAGTAGTAGTGTAGTAGTAGTAGTAGTAGTAGTAGTAATAGAACAAACAACAATGGAATCTCAAATTTTGACTTAGACTTTATTGATCCACAAGGGAAATTATTTGGACATTGCTCACAGAATATAATAATAACAAAGACAAATGGTATAATAAATTCTAAATAAGTAGCAGAAATAGCAAGAGACTGATGTCAAATAATTAGATAAATGTATCTGCAAAAGTAAAAATTAAATATAGAAAACATAGTAATATAGAAACAGTAATATCTTAGTTTTATATTATACTATATTAAGAGATCGTAAGAAAAACTGCACAAAAATGATATGATAATTGACAGGATGAAGGGTTATCTGTTACATAAGGGTAAGTGGGTGTACAGTTGTAGGGAGTATTATCTGTTACATAAGGGTGAGTTGTTATGCAGTTGTAGGGAGTATTATCTGTTACATAAGGGTGAGTTGTTGTGCAGTTGTAGGGAGTATTATCTGTTACATAAGGGTGAGTTGTTATGCAGTTGTAGGGAGTATTATCTGTTACATAAGGGTGAGTTGTTGTGCAGTTGTAGGGAGTATTATCTGTTACATAAGGGTGAGTATTATAGTATGAATGTAGTCCTGTATCTCTCACTGTTTGGTGCAGTGGGTGAATGGAAATGTCTATTTTATTCTATTTGATTACTTTTTTGGTTCTAAAATGGTCACAGTTATTATTTTAAAGTTCTTACCATTACATAACTACAATTATTCAGATTTAAAAATGAACTATTTTCAGTTTGTGGGACACTGGTATTTAGCAGAACACTCTTTATTGTTTAATCTTTACTTATGATTTTAACAAATAATGTTGTCACCCCAAATTTGATCAGTAGCAATTGTGAAATTATTGTAATATATTCTAAATACAATTTATATAATAGTAGGTTTTATAACACTTTTCTTTACCGCTTTTTGTGACAAATTGTTGCAGTAATTCAATTTGACAATAAAGAATCAGTCATTTACTCGTATTATTCGTAACTTTAATTTTTACCCAGGCCTGTCGACAGAAATTTGGGGACCCAGGGCAGGAAACTTACATGGGCCCCCCTCTAATATAAACTAATAGGAAGAGGGTCCAATTCTGGGCCCTCTGAAACCCTGCCCTGTTTTTACACATATGACATGTTGTAAATAGATGGTACATATATTTGTTTTCAGTTTGTTGGTGCCGAAATGAAGAGGAGCGCCTCATTAATTACCTGTTTAAAGAAAAGGGCTACAACAAAGAGCTCCGCCCAGTGCAAAGACAACAGGATGCAGTGGACGTGTACCTCGCGCTCACACTCTCCAATCTCATCTCTCTGGTACGAAATATTATTACAGTTATTAGGGATTATTATGAAGTTTGCGTGTTAAAAAAGAGCAAATCTGTATTATATTGCATGGTAAATCTGCATTATATAGCTCTGATTCTAGCCAATGTAAGTCACTCGTTAAAAGGTGCACTGTGTAACTTTTCTGGTGGAGTGTCTGCCAACTGCTTGTCTCCATGGCGATGTTATTGTTTTGTCTGGAATGTCCCGGTATGGCATTAAACATCTCCATCTTTTATTTACTCAATAACATGAGTTTCTATTGACCTAAAAAAAACTTGCATCCTTACTGTGAATGGGGTGGCCTCTCCAAAGATCTGACATGTAACTTGGCCCTGTGGTGTCACCTGCTGTCTCCGTAGTAAGTAGCTGTAATACCCTCCACCAGAAAAGTTACACAGTGCAGCTTTAATGTTTTGTGACTGTATTTTCTTCCCACGATTTGGCAGCCTTGGCATTTGTAATGGTCGACTAAAGAAGCAGCGACGGACCAAATATATTCGTACCAAAAGATTTATCACGATTTTCCTCTCTCTATTTTTAGAAAGAAGTTGATGAGACCTTATTGACCAATGTATGGATAGATCATGTAAGTAAAAGTCACTAATATCTCTTGTTTTTCGCTCTTCATATCAGTTTTGTTAGAAGAAGAATACACAAGACATAATGATTAAAATCCATGTATGTCCAAGTATGTGTATGATGGGATGCTCAGAAGTTACCATGGTGACACATTAGCAAACACTGCCAAAAAGTTTTAAGATTGTCTGAAAACTCAAGCAAAATACAAAATGGATTTAAGCAACACATTTTCAGGAGACTGTGATTAATACGATTGTTCACGGTCCTGTTTCGGTGTTTGATTTTCAACAAAAAGGTGAGAGTGACTGTGCTTTTATTGAAGAGAAACTTGTTTTAAAGCACAAAACAGCTCACTTGTTCTAGTTCTAGCTAAGTGAGGTCTTTTGTAACAGAGCTTCAGACAGAGCAGTGCCTACAGTTAGCGTCACACCCCTAGGGGATGTTGATGACGACAGCAGCAAAGTATCAATACCAGATGAGTTTTAAACGGCCGATATTGCTCTATTTTTTAGTTTATAGCCTTCACCAGAATAATTTGGATGCTTTTAGCCCTGGAATTGCCAGTCTCTACTGAAATAAAGGCAAAGGGGACACTGTTAACTTAAAAAATACCGCTTCATGACATTACAAGGTGGAGCAGAGCATTTTGATCTTTGGAGATGTAGACAATCTAATAATGCAGGATTACTCAAACATACTGTGTGAGAATGAAACAAAACACAACTCCAGGTATGTTTCTAAAGAGGTAACAAAATTATAACATGGCATAAAGCTCACAAGAGTCAGTTTTGTTAAATATTGGACCTTTAAATGTTAATTCTTGTTTGTTACAGTCGTGGACGGACCACAGACTGACCTGGAACACGTCTGAGTTTGATGGGATCGACATGCTGCGTCTGCCCTCCAACATGGTGTGGCTGCCTGAGATCGTCCTCGAGAACAAGTGAGACCCAACTATTTATCTGTAAAGGAAATGGGTTTCTTATGCTGTGTTTGTATAAAAGTTTGCATAATCTTTGCAATGGTATTTGCTATTGTGAATTACTCCACATTGCACATTAAAACAGCCCAGAAAACTCTAAGAAGTGAATGTCTATTGAGGAACATTTATAGTCATAGCTTCAGTCTACTGCTTGATTTGATTTGATTCGTTTTTATTTCAAGTTTGTGCTAAGAGAAAAACAATAATCATATACATACTACATATACATTGTAATAACCCTGGATATTATCGTATACAAATCAGTTCGATTCAATCTTTATTAAAAGCACATAATATTTGGTTCATAGTAAGTAAGCGTTCAAAGCCACATTTGAATCGCCACAATTACGAAAATCAAAAAGGCTGCAGTTTTCAGTGACCAGAATTTTCTCCACAAACATTTTCTGTCTTATTCTGCATAAAAACTGCTAACCAATCCGTGTATCATTCATTCATTGGTTTTTCAATATAAACAAAAAATAAGAAAATGAGAAAAACAACAATTTTCTTCATTATTTGTCTCCAAAACCAAAATGAAAAAATGGATAACGATTCATTTTTTTCAGTTTTTGATTTGAAATGAATAATGGAAAAAACGGATAATGGCCATTTCCCGTTTCTGTGACTTAAACTGAGATGCCGGACTGAACCAGGACTGAACCAGAACTAAAACAGGTCCGGGACCAGACCGGGACTGAGACCAGGCCTGAGTCTGGGACCAGACCGGGACCAGAAGCAGGATTGAGACCGGGACCAGACCAGAAGTGAGACCAGGACTGAGACCGGGACTGAGACCGGGACCAGGCTGGGACTGTGGCCGGGACCAGATGAGAACTGAGACCAGGACTGAGACCAGGACTGAGACCAGGACTGAGACCAGGACTGAGACCAGGACTGAGACCGGGAACAGGACCAGGATTGAGACCGGGACTGAGGCCGGAACTGAGACTGGAACTGAGACCGGGACCAGACCAGGACTGAAAACTGTTTAGTCCTGGTTTAGTCCTGGTTCAGTCCGGCATCACAGTTTAAGTCACGGAAACGGGAAACGGCCGTTATCCGTTATTCATTTAAACACAAAATCAAAAACTGAAACTGTTATTTTTATTATTGCCAATTCTTGTTTAAAAATTGTTGTTTAAAATATGAACAGGGAACAGCATTGCTTAATTAAAACATAATGTGTAAACGCAATGGTTGTCAGAAATATCACAATTAAATATTTTTTATCAAATCTTTCACTTATATTGTGTTGTTTCTATAGTAACGACGCCCAGTTCCAGGTGGCCTATTACTCGAATGTGTTGGTTGATCCTAGTGGGTTTTGCTATTGGCTTCCTCCTGCCATCTTCCGCTCGTCGTGCTCCATCAATGTCAACTATTTCCCCTTTGACTGGCAAAACTGCTCTCTCAAATTCACGTAAGTCGCAAGAAATAAGTACTGATATTTTGCACTAACATCACGCTGGGGGCACAAATCACCTCACTTGTTGTAGTTCCAGCTAAAACAGTTCTTTCTGGCCAGTTTGTGGTAAAATAAAGCTCAGATTAAAGTCTAACAAAGCCTCAGACGCATTAGTGCCTACAGTTAGCATCACACCCCAGGGAATGTTAATGACATTAGCTGCAAAGTATCAGTTGTGTAAGTATCATCTGACTTTCTTTTCTTGTTATTCTTTGCAGATCTTTGACATACAATGCGAAAGAAATCAGAATGTTGCTGAAAGAAGATGAAGGTGATGATGGTAAATTCACCGTAGAGTGGATCATCATTGACCCTGCTTCATGGACAGGTCAGTCGCAGCACATTTTTAACTTCAAGCATTAAAAAAAATTAAACAATAGGCATGTTAATTGATAATTACTATTTCGACTTATCGTTAATCACTGTGAACTAACTGAATACATGTGTAGTGGAAAATAAAATATTGGTCTTTTTTTTTATCTTTCTGGAAAATGTAACACCTTTTTGTTCCATCTTGTTTGTTAATCTCCTCAGATCTGTCAATAATATTTACAGATAGATACAATCAGACCAAACAAGTGTCTTTCAGATCTCTCTCCCTTGAAATGTACCAGACCATTGTTTTAACCCCACATGTTAATCCTGAGGTCAAACCCACTCATGATTGTCACCAAGGGCTGCCTGCCCACACCTAACCATGCGACCCACCCATGCACTGATGTTTTGTCATTCTTATATAAATACTGCGAGCTCATAGACTCTGGAAGATGGGAGGTAGAGAGAAGGCACTCGGAGGTTTGTTTGGGACCCTGGGAGGCTGCCAGTCTCAGGCCAGGGTTGCCCAGGCCCTGTCCTGACCATATTTGTTTGCAACAAATAATAAACCTGCTTTCTAATCTATTACTCACAAGGCTTCAGAAATTGATTATTGCAAGAAAAATAATTTCCCCAACACATGTACCAAAAATACAGATTCTGAATGCTAATTTTGTCTACTCTCTTATTTGGTGGTATTAAGAATACAGTTACTTTCTGAAATTAAAAGGAATACATGGCTTTATTATGTAATGCTGGCATTAAACTGCATGGTATTTTTTGTCTCTTAATTAGACATAAATTTGTAATTACTGGTATATGTCCTGTTTTTTCACTATAATATAATGCAACTTGAAAGTATTCAAAGTATTCAGAATACAGTACTCTGATTGGATATCAGAATACATTACAAAATATATTTTAATGCAGCTATTCAGTATTCTTTAACTAAATACATTTCAAAGTATTCTTCCCATCATATCCCATGTAATGAAGCCATTACAGCATGTTTACAAGTTCATTAAAGGTGCATTGTGTAACATTTCTGGTGGAGGAGTTTGTTTGTTTTTCTAGATAGAAATTCTTTATTTCACTCTATGGCATTAACCCTTTCTATCATGAAGACCAAAGTGGGCCAAGTTACAGGTCAGATCTGTGGAGAGGCAACCCCGCTCGCACTCAAAATGCCTGTTTTTCTATGTATTTTTGAGCTATAAATCCACTTGAATAAATGTAAGGTGACAGACCCCCAACCGAAAAGTTACACTGTGCACCTTTAAAGTCTATTTTACTAGTACATAAATAGAGAAATAATGATCTTAAATGTTGTTTTTACATTTGTGTACAGAAAACGGTGAATGGGAGGTGATACATCGTCCGGCAAAGAGAAACACATATAAACACATCCCAATGGAGAGCAATAAGCATCAGGACATCACCTTTTACCTGATCATCAAACGCAAACCCCTGTTCTACATTGTCAACATCATTATCCCCTGTGTTCTTATCTCTTTCCTGGCTTCGCTGGTCTACTACCTGCCTGCAGACAGTAAGTACAAGTGTCTGATATTTGCTTTTGAGTTTGGGGACAAAGTTTATTGATCCACAAGAAAAATGACTTAGATAATAACATCCATAATAACATCCATAATGCACACTTCTCCTTGCCTGGCGTATCAAAGGAGAACTAAAGGAGCAATTGATCATCTGTCATTTACAAACTGAACTGTATTTTCGATTAAGTCCATTAGGTCTTCTGTATTGATACTTTGCCGTGACATCAGCTGGGGGAGTTCTACATGTACCTCTAATGGTGGAATGTTTAGGAATGATCATGGTGACACACTGCACACATTAAACATAGCTGCTTATCTGTTGTAATTCTAAGTCAGTTCTTTATTATGAGATTGCATTAAATAAAGTTTAGATTAAAGTCTAATAAAGTCTTAGACAGAGCAGTGCCTACAGTTAGCATCACACCCCTGAGAAATGTTGATGATATCAGCTGCAAAGTATTAAATGATCATACTTAAGATTCTTATGTACAGATGTCTATTAATTTCATACCTTGACAGTTTCAGAAGTGTCATGTGATGTTGCTGTGACGTGTCTGTTCAGCTGATTTAAAAGGCCCATGTTACGCAATTTTCTGAGCTGTTATAATTTTGTTTCCTCATTACAAACATGCCTGGAGTTGTGTTTTGTTTGTTCTCACATGTTTAACAGACAAACCCTACATATTTGTCTGAGATCTGAGAAAACACTCGGCTCCACCTTGTGATATGTGAATGAAACAAAACACAACTTCAGATCTTTAATGAGGAAACAACATAACATAGATCAGAAAACAGTGTAATATGGGAACTTTAAGGATGAAATATCAGCACTTACAGGTCCAAAAAGTTGATCAAACTCTCACCTTTTCTCTTCTTTCTTCTGTCTCTTGTGCAGGTGGAGAGAAGATGACTCTGTCCATCTCTGTGCTCTTGGCTCAGTCTGTGTTTCTGCTGCTGATCTCACAGAGGCTCCCAGAGACCTCCATGTCCGTGCCACTCATCGTCAAGTACGTTCAAGTTTATGTATTTAAAGGTGCATTGTGGAACCTTTTTGGTAGAGGGTTGTTGATTTCTGTCGTATTGTGCAAAAATGAAAAAAACAAGCGCAAAGGCACGGGATCGTTCTTACAGTATCTTTAAAGGTTTTACAGCAGAATTCACAGCATCAGGTTGACAAATAGGCAAAAATGTCAGAAAGTTTTCAAGTATCTACCTGAGATTTCAGAGAATTCTGAGAGGTCTGAGAGTCTACAAAACCTATAAATGTTGTTTTTTAGCTGATACATAAGTCTGGGAAAATCTTTTTAGTTAATACACATTTCTGGGAAAATTACAGAGCACCTGCAATTTGCTTCACTCAAGGCCACTGAACAGAACATTTTGCACTTTAAATGTAGTAAGCATTTAGTATGAGCACAATAAGATTATTGTTCACAGGGTCTGTCACCTGCTTGTTTCAATGGATATACCATTGCTCTGCCTGGAATGTTCCACAGTATGACATTAAACAGCTCTACCTTACATTTATTCAATTACAGGTGGTTTTATAGCTCGAAAATACTGACTGTGTGTGAGTTTCCTCCACAGATCTAACCTGTAACTTGGTCTGGTTTGGTCTCCAGACAGAAAAGACAGAAAGGTTTAAAGCCATTCTGTGAAATATTCCAGACAAAGCAATAACATCACAGAGAAAAGCACTGACAGACCCTCCACCAGAAAAGTTTCACAATGCACCTTTAACCTTTATTTTACCAGGCAAAACCTTAAAGAAGACCTCCTGTGCTTGAGCCTGCTATATAGTTATACTCTACGTCACTTGTGGATCATTCTGTTATAATTTGCACATTTTAAATCACAATATTCATCTAAAACAACTTAACAAAAGAAACAATTTTGTTGACTTCTGCATTAGAAAACCATGGTGTCCACTGGGAAATGACATCGCCGTAAATGTCATCACAATTATATAGCTGCAGATCATGATAATATAATAGCCACCCTCATATTTTTTATATTTATACCAAAATGACTATGCAATGCTGCCGAATTTTATGTGTATCACTGATTGAGAAAATAAAATAACAACTAAGTAGCAGTGGGCAAATACAAGTTGTGTTGATTGACAGAATAGTATCTTGAAAATAAGTCATTAAAGGTTGCTCAAACATACACAAATCACTTCAAATACAACTTTGAGAGGGTAAATGAGAAGGAGAAACAACTATAACATGGTTAAAATCTCTGAAAAGTCGATTTTGCATAGTAGGTTTGCTTTAAGGTTTATTTATTTCACCTTTATTACACCAGGCAAAACCTTAAGAACTAATTATTCTTTACAATGTTGTTATCTGACAGAAACTCATACATATAGTGAAAATAGAATAAAGCCAAAATTGTGTTAAACTTCAGCTTTAAACCCTTTGGTCTGTAGAATAATGATGACAAAACAAGACGAAATTACCAAAAGATTGTACACATGAGAAAAATTATCTTGCACGATTTTTTTGTTTACATTTGGATTGGACAAAAAAGATTTACATGTTGGTGAGTTACAGTTCCAAAAAACATTACTAGAATGTAAACAAAAATATTACATCAATTAATAAAAAAAATATGAGGCCAAAATGGGAAACTGAACTGACATTTTTATATTAGGATTTATGTTAAAATCTCGTCATGTGTCGTTCTGTGGACCCAATCTCGTATCTCGTCTCGCCTTGTGGAAATTATGTCTCCTCCCATCCTTACTAACTAACCTAAATTAGTAACATAGTCTCTTTCTGTGTGTGGTAGATACCTGATGTTCATTATGGTGCTGGTGACGGTGGTGGTGCTGAACTGCGTAGTTGTTCTTAATCTGCACTTCAGGACGCCCAGCACTCATGTCATGACCGCGTGGACCAAGTGGGTACGAAAATACAAATACACAATCATTTATGTTGGCTATTTCTCATGAATGACATATAAATACAGACAGATAAAGTCCCATGCTAGCCTTGATCATTTTTATTTTATTTATTTATTTGATAGCATCTGCACTGATATACTACAATAAGTTACATGCAGAACCTCACTGTACGATATTTATTGCGATATCGTGGGAAAGCTCACGATATGTTGGGGAGGCTCACGATTAGTGATGTAACAATATCCAAATCTCTCGGTACGATATTTTCACGATATATATCTCACGGTACAAAATTTATTGAGATATTTGGGGGAGGTTAACAAAACTGTTAATATGTGACTTTTTCCTCCTAAAATGCCTTGACAAGACTTAATCCAAAGAACGAAGACTTAAAAGTGCTTAGAACTGTTATTTCTTCTTGTAGTCTGCACTGAAATGGAGCAAAGGATCATGGTCTATGTTGGTCCCTCGGTCTTTGTTTTTAACTATTGCTGCACCATAACTCTTTATTTAAGCAAAGAGACTTGTAATTCGATATATTGTGATGGTCCACGATATTATTGTGAGAACTTTGACGATATGATATCACGATATTTCGGTTATTGTTACATCCCTTGTGATAAAAGATGCACCAACCCAGCTTTTTGAACACTGTAGCTTTAAAGCTGCATTGTGTAAATTTTCTAGTGAAGAGTCTGTTATCTGTTTGCAATCGATTCATATTTGTGATTGAAATTAAATGTAATGATTTGAAATGTTTTAAAATATAACTATCAGTGTTAATGTATTGTCTGGAAAAGGGGGCAGATAACGTAAAAAGGCTGTTCTTTCTGCTCCTTTTCATTCATTCATTTTCATTTCTTGCATATTTCGTTGGTGTCTTTTTATACTTTACAAGCGAAATGAATAATAAAAAAATAATAATAATAAACTGCTTTTCTCCATGGAGATGGTATTGATTTGTCTGGAATGTTTCACAGTATGAGATTAAACCTTTCTATCTTCATGGAGACCAACCAGACCAAGTTATAGGTCAGATCTGTGGAGAGGCAACCCCGCTCACAGTCAGAATGCCTAGTTTTTTTAAATATTTTTTGTATTTTTGAGCTATAAAGTCGCTTGTAACTGAATAAATGCAAGGTAGATCTATTTAATGTCATACTGTAGAACATTTCAAGCATTGCAGTGACATAGCCATAGAAATAAGTAGATGACAGACCTCCAACCAAGAAGTTACACAATGCACCTATAAATAATAATGTAAATCCTAAAATTGTGCATAATTATTCCTGTTATCTTGGTGTGCATGTAATAATTTTTGCAGTTTTTCCTGGAGCGTCTCCCTCGGATCCTGCGCATGTCCAAACCAGAGGAGTCGGAGCCGTACTGGGACGGAGCTCTGCCTCGGCGCTCCAGCTCTGTGGGTTACATCGCCAAAGCAGAAGAATACTACAGCGTCAAGTCTCGCAGTGAGCTCATGTTCGAAAAGCAGTCACAGAGACATGGACTGATGGCTCGCCCCACGCACGCCTCAGGTCTGGACCCATCTCAACCCCAATCTCATTACACCTAATATTACGCAAAATGGACTCTTGTGAACTTTAGGCCATGTTAGAATGCTGTTATCATCAAAATCATGCCTGGAGTTGTGTTTAGTTTCATTCACATGTTTGTGTAACCCTTTATTATTACTCTGTCTACATCACGAAAACTCAAAATGCTCTGTTCCATCTTGTGATGTCATGTAGTGGTAGTTTTCAAGTTAACAGCTATCTTTAGTTTTATCTTTAGTACAGAAGAGATTGGAAATTCCAGGCCTGAAATTATTCAAATGATTCTAGTGAAGGTGTATGGTGTTTAGAAATACAGCGGGGCACTTCCTGTATTACCAGATGACATGAGAAGGTGGAACAGGAACAATGTTTTCTGTCTGAGAGAAGAACTCAGCCTAAAATTATAGGGCTTGTGTGTTAAACAAAGCTGCAGGTATGTTTGTGAAGAGAAAACAACATTAACATAACATTTAATGTAAATATTAGCCATGTAAATGAATAGCTAGAGCTGCACAATAACAGTCTTGGGTCTTGAGGATAAGATCCTTATGATCTTTACACATTAAAAATTAACTAAATATTTTGCTGTTTTGCTTTAGTTTAGCGTTATCTTGCGGGCAGGACACTTATCTCTGCTTCAGAGGAGCTGACTCCAGGGCAGTGCTACAGAGTGGTGTTTGGAGGGAGGATTCTGGGGCTTTGTGAAAAGTATACAGCCTCAAGTTTGTTTGGTTTGTTTGTTCAGTGGTGGCGCCCCCTGTGGATGGAGGAGAGACAGAGCAGCTTTATGCAGAAATCAAACCGGCGGTCGACGGTGCCAACTACATCATCAAACACATGCGCAATAAGAACGACTACAACGAGGTGAGAGATCATTATTATTATTACATCATGATTATTGTATTATTCTGTATATTCCGCACAGGCCAAATACCATTGTGAAAATGTATTTAATTGTAATTATTGGTTTCACCATAAAGTTAGTAAATACTGAGCAGTTTTCTAAAAGCTGCACTAGGTAATTTTCCTCCACTTCTGTGTTTCTATGGACGTTATTGCTTTGTCAGAAATGTTCTACAATATGTTAATAGTCCTATAAATCTAATACTTATAAGTTGGCATCAAGCCTGAAAGAGCAGCAGACTTGACATGAATTAATTTGTGTTCCTATTTTGTTAATGGTGTCTTACAAACCCAGGAAGGGGCTGGGCATATTTGTATGCAACACACAATAATAAAATATGCTTGTCTCTTGGTCAGGAGTCAATTTTGTGACATGGAACTTTTAACAAAACTGCAGGCAAGAAAATATAGTTATAAAATATCCTTGTGTGATGTAATTTCACAGGAGAAGGACAATTGGAGTGGGATTGCGCGTACAGTGGACCGTCTGTGCCTCTTCCTCGTCACTCCAGTCATGATTCTGGGCACGATCATCATCTTCCTCATGGGACTTTGTAACCACCCCCCTCCCCTGCCTTTCAAAGGAGACCCCCACGACTACAAAGAGGAGAATCCACGCCTGCTTCACTAACGGTAAGATCAAATATCAAAATATCAACACCTAAATACGATATTATGGTGGTACGGCTAAAATTGTGTTGCCAGTGAATATCTATTTGGATTTTTTTTGTTTTTTTTTTTTTTGGACGTTGCCCCTCCTGCCTGATAGTATGTCCAGTTAAAGGTGCATTGTGTAAATTTTTTGATGGCGGGTACAGTTGTAGGGAGTATTATCTATCCCATAAGAGTGAGTTGCTGTACAGTTGTAGGGAGTATTATCTATTACATAAGGGTGAGTTGTTGTACAGTTGTAGGGAGTATTATCTATTACATAAGGGTGAGTTGTTGTACAGTTGTAGGGAGTATTATCTATTACATAAGGGTGAGTTGTTGTACAGTTGTAGGGAGTATTATCTATTACATAAGGGTGAGTTATTGTACAGTTGTAGGGAGTATTATCTATTACATAAGGGTGAGTTATTGTACAGTTGTAGGGAGTATTATCTATTACATAAGGGTGAGTTATTGTACAGTTGTAGGGAGTATTATCTATTACATAAGGGTGAGTTGTTGTACAGTTGTAGGGAGTATTATCTATTACATAAGGGTGAGTTGTTGTACAGTTGTAGGGAGTATTATCTATTACATAAGGGTGAGTTGTTGTACAGTTGTAGGGAGTATTATCTATTACATAAGGGTGAGTTGTTGTACAGTTGTAGGGAGTATTATCTATTACATAAGGGTGAGTTGTTGTACAGTTGTAGGGAGTATTATCTATTACTTAAGGGTGAGTTGTTGTACAGTTGTAGGGAGTATTATCTATTACTTAAGGGTGAGTTGTTGTACAGTTGTAGGGAGTATGAATGTAGTCCTGGATCTCTTTCTCAAATCAAAATCTGTGTGTTTCAAAGTTATGTTTGTATTTATATTTGAATAGATCCTTGACGTCATTGGATTACACCGTCTGAGAAGCACAGATATGGCCCTCACAGATACAACGTACCCCCCCTGGACCCTCTACTGGTGACACACACACAAGACATATCTCCAAGAACTACAAAATATTACTACCATTTACAGTTACATATCATAGACTGTATAACGAAGTGGACTAAGAGAGTGTGACGTCACCCATGGCGTTCAGCTCCAGTCAAATGAAGCTCATCGAGGAAATATGAAGGAAATAAAAACACCAGGATCATGTAGAGCGGATTAATACGAATATTTTAAGACCAAATGAGGAGCCTGACAGCAGCAGTTACAGAGAGGGGCGACGTTTTTTCAATACAAAGTGAATCGGAGCTGAAATAAGAAAATTTGCACACATATTTACCTAAATATGTGCACAAAAACAGTGATCTATAATGTCAGTATTTTTCCCAATGACAGCAGATATTTAATAAAGATTTTTACAGCTCCAACTTCATACAACGTGCCAGTATTAGCATTAGCAGTACAGGAGACACTGTAGCAATGTGTGGACTTTCTTCATTCATTATAATGTGACTATATCAAGTTTGCATTGTGAATATATTTTAGACATATTTTTGTTTTAGTAGATAAGACTTTATACTTACTCGTGGTACTTTTGCCAGTATGTTTCTGTACTTTTTAACTTTAAGGACATTGTTTATATGCTTTCTTTTAGCAATATTTGTCTGAATAAAATGTGGTCAAATAAAATCTGTTTGTTTTCTTTATTTTTGTTAACCCACATTTTTTAATAATTATAAATGAATATGTTATAGTTTTCTATCACAGGTTCCCAATTTTACATACCCAGTATTAAAAAAAAAAAAATAATAATAATAATTCAGATATAAGACATTAAAGCTACATCAAAGCTTTTTAAAATACTTATAAGACATAAAAATATGTAATTTTACAAAACATATCTGCAAACATAATTCACATTTGAATAATTTTCTTTTATCCCACAAGAAATTGGATCCTTGGTTCAGTGGAGTGGAATTTAGAACTGTCCTTTTTTTTTTTAAAATCTTAATGCCGTCTAGACTGAAGTAGTCATAGTGCAGGTGCATTGTGTAAGTTTTCTAGTGGAGGGTCCGTCAAATGCTTTTCTCCATGAAGATGTTATTTACACAGTATGGTATTAAACCTCTCTTTATGGAGAACCTCACAAAACCAGTTGTGTTAGAGCCATGTTTATTTAGTCCTGTAAAAAGGCTCAGGCTTCACTCACGGCTGTATTTCTGAACAAACTACTCAACATGGAGGTCAAGTCTACACCTGAGCTGAACCACACACCTGTTATTGGTAAGTTTTATTCTCTCTCTGTATAAAGTACACTATGTAACTTTTTGGTTGTGGGTGCATCTCCTGCTTGTTTCTATGGACTTGTCATTGTTCTGCCTGGAATGTTCCACATTAAGCAGCTCTACCTCAAAAATACTTAAAAAAAATTTTTTGACTGTGAGTGGGTCACCTCTCCACAGATCTGACCTGTAACGTGGTCTGGTTTGGTCTCTATGAAGATAAAAAGTTTAATACCATACTGTGAAACATTCCAGAGAAAGAAATAACATCTCCATGGAGAAAAGCATTTGATCGACCCTCCACCAGAAAAGTTACACAATGCACCTTTAAACTTATCGTTTTATGATAAGATTATTGTCACTAAAGTCTGCTGTTAGGTGCTGTTAACATAAGGAATGCAGTATTTATTGGCTTTCCATAAAATAAAATGCTTGCCAAATCCCTCTGTATGTTTCTTTGGAAAACTCCTTGTTAGACCAAGTAGCATGGACAGTAGGGATGATCCAGCTTCTGCTGATATGTGACATTAATTGATACCAGTGTCAGTGGGGGAAGAAGTTCTCAAGCTTAGTTGAGTTACTTAAGAACAGTACAGATACTGGAGCAAAAAATACACTAGCACAAGTAAAAGTATCACATGAAAAATCTATTTAAGTAAACATTTTAAAGTACCTGTTTACAAAAGGTACTAAAAAAGTAAAAAGTAAGTATTTTCTGCAGATTTTGAGATTTAATAAAGCTTCATATTATCATTTTGATATAGATTTTTGCTGAATTTTGTTCAACATAAATAAATAGAATCAGTTGTTTTTTCTTAGCCACTTTGTATATTTTTATTTAAACAATATTAAAACATGCTTTTAATTTTAAGTCCTGTTCAAAGATAGTGGAGTAAAAAGTACAAATACCTACTGTCAAATGTAGTAAAGTATTAAAAAGTATTCACTTCAAAATACTTAAGTCAAATACAGATACCTAAAATTTTAACTTATATGCAGTATTCTACAACTTTTACTTCTTCTTACTACTTTTACTTTAGAGATTAAACGTTGTATTTATTTTTCTCTCTCACAAAAATGTAAGTTATGTGTTATGTTGAGTTAAAAATAGTGTTATGTAAATGTTATTAATTCTGAAACTACTGAACAACTTTGTATGAAAATAAAAGTTTAAACATTATGAGATGTCAGTAAATAGTCTCATTACCCCCCAAGGCCCAACCAGAACATCAGCCAAACCGATATATTGGGTTCTATCACGCAGGTAAATTGGACTCAAATACAACACAAGTATATAGGCAAACAAAGTCTCAGTAAATAACTGAAAATGTCCTCTAAGGTAATGTTATCTAACTATGACTGAAAAAACAACAAAGGAATATATCATTCATATAATGTGAACTAAAATCTCTTCCAGAACTGGGATACACTCAAAGTAGATAATGTGCTTAGATAAACTAAAACAGGAACTATAAACAGGGGAACAAAAAGCAGAATGCATAAAATGCAAACAGAATACAGGTTCAGAATTTCCAGGTAAGAGCTTGAGAGTATGTGTTCACGTTGACAACCCAGCAAAGACTGAGGGAGCAGAGGGAGTATATATAGACTGGACCTGGGCTGATTACAGAATGAGAGGCAGCTGTAGGGAAAGGAGGGAGGTGGCAAAAGGAGGACCGGAACAGAGTGAGAAATGGAACTGGACTGGAGGAAAACAAGTAAACAAAAGGCAGAACTGTGACAGGTTCAGTTAATTTTCCAGAATTTGAATCCTGAAACCATACCGATATTTGGCCCCAGTATCGTCTAATGGAGAGTGCTGTTACAATGGTTCTTATGTAAGATTTTTAACAGGTGTGTTAGCGCAGAATTTCAACAAACCAATCCCCAAGAGAATATCCTCCAACCCCAACAGATCCTACATCGTAGTATCATACGTGAAGTACCTGGAGGCAGCGGGAGCCAAAGTCGTTCCTATACAGTAAGAACTGAAATCATTTGTAGAGGAAAGTAAAACACATGTTCTACCTTGTGATGTCATGTGGCAATAATAGAAGGGCTCCACTGTGTTTTTAAACTGCATGCACCTTCACTAAAATCATCTGGATAATTTCAGCCCAGGAATTTACAATGTCTGCTGTATTAAAGGCAGCTGTTAACTTGAAATTTACAGCTTCATGACATCACAAGGTGGAACAGAGCATTTTGAGCTTTGGAGATGTAGACAGGCTAAGAATAAGAGTTCAGTAAATGTAAAATTTGTATTTATTGTGCATTTGCAGTATTAACAAGACAGAAGATGAATACAGGGCTCTGTTTATGTCTATCAATGGGTAAATATTGAAACTATTATTGTGATTACTATTGAGATTATTTTTGGCAATAATTCATGTTTGTGTTAAATAATAATGAATCATATTTGAACCAACACAGACTACTTATTCCTGGTGGGAAGAAAAACATGTTGACATCTCACTTTGCAAGAACTGCAAGACTGTTTTTGGAGCTTGCTAAGGAGGTAAGTCCCATTAGTTTGGTCAATAACAGGGCCTAACGCTAAGCAGTGATGGAAGAAGTACTAAGTACTCAGTTTAGTTACTTAAGTAAAAGTACAGATACCAGAGCAAAAAAATGCTCAAGTAAAAGTATCACATGAAAGATCTATTTAAATAAAAGTATGTTTGAAAATGTACTTAAAGTTGCACTTAACTTTATGGTCTATGGATTGTGGATGTCATGTCATGGATGTCACAATATGACATTAAACAGCTCTATGTTACAGATGGTTTTATAACACAAAAATATCTAGAAAAACAAGTATTCTGACAGTGAATGGCCTTGCATCTCCACAGATCTGACCTGTAACTCTGGTTTGGTCTCAATGAAGATAGAAAGGTTTAATACCATACTGTGAAACATCCCAGACAAAGCAATATCATCTCCATGAAGAAAAGCCCCTGACAGACCCTCCCCCAGAAAAGTTTTTTTTTTAAGACTTTGAGATCAAATATAGTGATTTTGATACAGATTTGTGCTGAATTTTGTTCAACAGAAACAATTGAATCGAGAGTTTTCTCTAGCTGTTTTGATTTGTATATTTGTGTTTCCTGTTAAAAGTAACCCCCAGCCTTTTCAGCAGGTCTCAAACTTTAACAAAAAATACCTGTTCAAAAATGTAATAGAGTAGGAAGTACAGATACCTGCTCTCAAATGTAATTAAGTAAAAAAAAAGCAAAAAAACATTTACCACATGTTAGTCTCCATGTACTTAAATGTTCAGCCTTGAATGTGTCACTGTATGGCATTAAACATATCTATTGCCATGGAAACAAGCAGGTCAAGGTACAGCTCAGTTCAGTGGAGAGGCAAGCCCACTCACAGGAATACAAAGTGTTAAAGGTACAGTATTTCTGAACAATAAAATCACTTCAAAGGTTCCCTCCACCAGAAAAGTTACACAATGCATCTTTAAATGAAGTACAGACACCCAAAATTTACCTAAAAGTATAGTACTTTACTATTTTTACTTCAGGGTCATTCCACCTCAGTTCACACACACAAAAAAATGCAATTTGAACCCTCACATTGTCCAATTGCAAAGAAAATTGGTGTATGGGTAAGTCATAGCCAAGAAAGTCAAATTTTAGCATGATGGGAATAACGGTTGCTGAGACATCGCAATTAAATTTTTTCACTTTTTTGCGTGGTTGTCGAATTTCAAATTGCATTTTCTCAGCAACTACTGGTCCGATATCAAAAACAAAGGTATCTCTGGAAAGGGGACATCATAAGGATATTTGGCATGTCTTGAGATGGGGGTAAGTCAACTTCTTGGTAAATTTGTGTGAGAATAAAAAAGAAAACTCATCCAGATTTTTTATACGTTGTAGTAGATGTATAGGGCTACATTTTTTCTATTGGTGTCATTGAGGTCAGGCGTGTCCCTTATTTTTTGAGAATATAATATTTAACAAAATACAATAATCAACATTTAACAAATTACAATAATCAACAAAAAACAAAACACAAAAACATAAAGCAACACCCACAACAAATACAAAACAACAACAACAAAAAAAAAAGCCCGTCCCAAATTGGTTAAATAAAACAAAACTAATGTGGTAATGCAACATATAAATACAAAACACAACGCTAGGCCCAATTACACTGATATATTTTGGTGTGTTCCTGATTGTCAAATGCAAAAATAAATACCAGATTTAGATTCCTTATGATGTCCCCTTTCCAGAGATACCTTGGTTTTTGATATCGGACTAGTAGTTTGAAATTCTGTGACAACGCAAAAAAGTGAAATGATTAAATTGAAATATCTCGGAAACCAGTGGTCAGATCAAACTAAAAATTGAGATTTTGGCTTTTCTGATTATGATTTACATATATATCAAAATTGGACAAAGTAGGGTTTAACTCATTGGGTGAACAGAGGTGGACTGACCCTTCGTTAAATTAGAGCACTGATGTTTAAGTTGATGCTAAAGCTAAATGAATGTGTTTTTGTTTTTGTATGTTACAGGCTAATGATCAGGGCGACTATTTCCCAGTGTGGGGGACGTGTCTTGGTTTTCTTCTTATGGTGACGGTTGCTATTGGAGACAGGGTTTTAACTGCCACACATACTAAAGCTATGGCACTACCCCTGACCTTTACAGAAGGTTCAACTCTATTATGATTATTATTATTACTTTTTTCAATTGTAGACAAACAAACAGAGAAGTGTCAAGTAACAGATAGTAGTAGTGATAGTAGTAAAAACATGATAGTGGTAATGGTAGTAGTTGTAGTAGTAGTAGTAGTAGTAAAAACATGATTACAGTAGTAGTAGTAGTTATAGTAGTAGCAGTAATATTAAAAACATGATTGTAGTAGTAGTGGTAGTGGTAGTAGTAGTTGTAGAAGTAGCAGTAGCAGCAGCAGCAGCAAAAGCAGTAGTAGCAGTAGCAGTAGTAGTAGTAGTAATAGTGGTAGTAGTAGTAGTAGTAGTAGTAGTAGTAGTCATCGTCGTCATAGCAGTAGAAGTGATACAAACTTGCTTGTAGTAGTAGTGGCAGTAGTAGTAGTAGTAGTAGTAGTAGTAGTAGTAGTAGTAGTAGTTGTAGTAGTGGTAGTAGTAGTAGTAGTAGTAGCAGTAGTAAAAACATGATTATAGTAATAGTTGTGGTAGTAGTAGTAGTAGTAGTAGTAGTAGTAGTAGTAAAACATGATATAGTAGTAGTAGTAGTGGTAAGTAGTAGTAGTAGTAGTAGTAGTAGTAGTAGTAGTAGTAGTAGTAGTAGTAGTAGTCATAGTCAACATGATTGTAGTAGTAGTGGTGGTGGTAGTAGTAGTTGTAGCAACAGCAGCAGCAGCAGTTGTCGTCATCATCCGTTGTCGTCATCATCGTTGTCGTCGTCGTAGTAGTAGTAGTAGAAGAAGTGATACAAACATGCTTATAGTAGTAATGGCAGTAGTAGTAGTAGTAGTAGTAGCATTAGTATTAGTAGTAGCAGAAGCTGTTGTTATAGTGGTAAAAACATGATTCAGTAGTAGTAGTAGTAGTAGTAGTAGTAGTAGTAGTAGTAGTAGTAGTATAGTAGTAAATGAGCAGTAGTTAATGGGTTCTTTTTTTTATCATGAGCAGAAGCCAAAGAGAGCAGGATGTTGAAAAGTATCCCAAAGGACACACTTCAGGCTCTGGCCTCTGAGCCTTTAACTGCCCACAACCACACATACAGTGTGGACATGGACGTAAGGCGTCGTTTTATCATTTTATTTACAAATCAGGGCAACATATTTATACCTTGTCTTCTTTGTCTTTCAGACCTACAGGAAGTTTGAGAGCCTAAATTCTTTTTACCGAGTACTTACCACAAATACCACAGATGAAGGCATAAAGTTCTTTTCAACAATAGAAGGTTTGTACCATAGACTGCATAAAAGAATACATATATACGGTCCATAGGTTTTGTCAAGAAGGGCTTTTGTATGGGAGATAATTTGTTTCATCAGATTTTGAATTTTAAAAAACATGTTTGAATTATTTTTATTTAGAATTTTATTTGCTGAAATTTTAAGTTTAAAATTTCAAAGCGTTAAAAAAAATAAAAAAATAAAATAAATAAATAAATAATAATAATAATAATAATAATAATAATAATAATAATAATAATAATAATAATAATAACCTCTCAAATATTCATAAATGGTGTGCTGAACCAGTCTGATTGGTCAGAATTAAGCCTCACCAAAAGCTTATCTCTTTGATTTAAGTGTAAACCCCGCTCACAGATGAGAATAGCCAATAGGAAACAGCCGCTCCCTGCATTCGATTTTCCTTCTGATGGAACAAATTTTCTTAGGAAGTGTGACGTCACACATAGGCTCCAGTCAAATGAAGCTCATCGAGGCTTGAGGTTATAGAGCTGGATTTGGATCTGATTTCCCTATTTGGAATTCCATTTCAAAGAGCAACGCTGTCAATCAAACCTGCTGCTAACGCCCAGTGGGAATGACCTCGGGGAAAGACAGCACCTGATTTGTTTGTTATTATTGTTCACATCTTTATTTGTGGACAAAACAGCAAAATAAAAACAACAGTATCATATAGAGCAGGTTAATACGAGCATTTTAAGACCAAAATGACATCCCTGACAGCAGCAGTTACAGAGAGAGGGCCAATGTTTTTTCAACAGAGAGCGAATTGGAGCCAGAGTTTATGAAAACAGAAGTGCGCTCATAATTCAACAAGCATGAAGCAAGCATCTGGTTTGTATGTGTTTTAAGCCAGAAGTACAGAAATCAGGCTAAATACATAAAAGATACTGTAACCATATAATTGTGCATTGTTTTGACAGCGTACAAATATCCTTTTTACGCCTCGATCTGGCACCCGGAGAAGAGCCAGTTTGAGAGGACCAAGTCTTCCGAGGCCCACTCTCCCTCTGCGGTGAAAGCTGCCCAGCACTTGGGAGACTTTTTTATCAATGAAGGTACAAAGCAATTCATTTCACTCATAATAAATGTTAACATTACAGACGCCATTACAGACATGTGCTATTCGATATGTGGTTTGTTTTGTTTTGTTTTTTGTGCCCATTGCTTGTCCATAAAGAGACAATAAAGAGTAATCTCATCTATTCAATTACACTTCAAATTCACTGTCACATAATGTACTCACCCTTATGAAACAGATAACCCTTTGTCCTGTCAATCATTACTTCTTCTTTGCTGTTTTTCCTCCTCTTGTATATAGCTGAGATATATTAGTTTTACTGTATTGCTGTTTTTATTTTTACTTGTACATATACATTTATATAACTATGCCTTATTTGACACCAGTCTTTTGCTATTTTTGCTACGTATTTCAAATTTATTATTGAGATTTAAATTTTTTCTCTTTGTTATTATAATATAATGTGATGTGTGAGCAGCTGTGTCCAAATAATTTCCCTTATAGATCAATAAAATCTAAATAGATCAACTCAAGTTTAATTTTATGTTTTCCTGCAGCGAGGAAAAGCAGACACAGTTTTAACAGTGATGAAGAGGAGAAGAAAGCCCTGATTAATCAGTACACTCCGACCGACACTGCAGACTGGACCATCTGGAAGGAGATCTACTTCTTCTGATTTGAAACTTTAAAACTATCTTAATGTGGATATATAGTAAATAAATAAATAAATAAATATAATAAACTTGACATAGTACTGTATGTGGGACTGTGAGGTACTCGACTATTTATGAGTGTATTAGACTATCTTAATGGTGCATTGTGTAACTTTTTGGTTTGGGGTCCATCACCTGCTTGTTCTTATAAATATGTCACTGCTCTGACTGGAATGCTCCATAGTATGACATAAAAAAATCACACCCTAACTTTCTTTTGCAGGTTTATGATGAATGATTCACCTTATTTTGTGCCTGCACTATCTCTCCACAAGGGTGCACTGTGTAGCATTTTGGTTGGGGGTCCATCACCTTTTTGTGTCTCTGGATATGTCATTGCTCTGCCTGGAATGTTCCACAGTGTGAAATTAAACATATCTACCTCACATTTATTACATTTCAAGTGTTTTTATTGCTCAAAAATACATAGAAAAAAGGTGTTCTGACTTTGAACAGGGTTGTCTCTCCACAGATCTGACGTGTAAGTTGGTCTTGTTTGGTCTACATGAACCACACTGTGACATCTCCAACGGAGACAAGCTTTTGATGAACCCTTCACCAGAAAAGTAACACAATGCAAATGTACGTTTTCCAACCATTCCGTTATTTTACATTAAAACACTCGATTGCTCCGAACTCTCAAAAAGCTCATTTATTTTGACACAGAATTGAATGTAATAACACTGACATAAATATTGCATATATAGAAATGACATGATAAAACATTTGAATGATCATGAAAGGCTAACTTTTGGCTTCATCAAAACATGTGCAACCAGTGCAAATTGTCAGAAAAACAAAACTTAGTACAAATGTCTATAAAATGTAAAAATATTTTTTTATTATTTTAAATATATATTTTTTAAATTTTATATTAAAACATTTTAGTTAAAAAAATAATTTACAAATAGATCTACACATTACCAGTTTACAATCCGGATGTCATAGTATGTAGCAGCTCATAATTTACAAAAGTCACATTTGTCTTAAGTCACAATGTGAAAGGGGTTTCATATTTACATGTACATGATACTTATTCAGTAACAGTTTCCCTTTTAGGACAATAAACACTGACTTCAAGTCTCTTTTACAAAGAACTTTGGTTTCTCACATTAGGTAAAATCTACATTATAAAAGTAAAAAGTCACAGCACCTGAAAATACATTTTTATACATATTATAGATTTTATGACTGCACCATACGTAAAATCCTCCAACTAAAGTCTGACCTGAGCCCTCACCCAAAGAGATGGGTCCCCTGCTCCTATCAGGTTTCCCCAGCTGCACTGGTCGGGTCAAATGTAGATGGGTCAAATGCACAAATTTCCCTATGGGGACAATGAAGTGTATCCTACCATACAGAGCTTAATGATCTGTCCTCCAAGCATAATGCAATTGGAATTAGGGATGGGCATTCGATGAAATTTTCTTAATCGATCGTCGGAAGAATTAACGATCGATTATCGATTAATCATTAACGTTTTTATATTAAAATGATCATCATTATTATTACTATCTGCACTACTAATCTGCATAAATAAATTCAAATTTACGACATATAAACCGTAACCACTCTAGGGCCACATCAGCCGTTTGAGATTATAATGTGTTTAATGCAACACTCACAGAAACAAAACTTAAAACCGCATCGCTAATTTGCATAAACTAAGCGAAGATAAAACTACAGTTCTTGTGCGCTGATGCGGTCAATTTCTGTCGGATTAAAAGACACAACTCAGTGGAATACAGGTTAGTGTGACCATATTTGCGTTTGTCAAAACCAGGACACCGTACGGAGGTAGGAACTCATCATCGACATTGCACGACTCTGACCTGGCAAAGCTTTTTCCCACTGGACACCGAAACATATGTGCTGCTTTATACACTGTGCATATGGACTCACATTTGTCCCGAACGCAACGGAAAGCGTGGAATTTCTTGTACAAATCATCGTTATATACGCATTTGCGCTTGGGTACGTTGCAGACTGACCGACTGTTTGTGTCTTGCTCCTTCTGAGTGCAGAGAGCTACATGTACGGACCCCTGTTTGGTCACGCTACGCACAGCAACCTACATTCGGTTTGTCAATTCAAATTAACGTAATCGATGAAATTCTTAATGATCAATTATCGATTAATCATGCCCATCCCTAATTGGAATATTATTATTCTAATTATATCATTGTAAAAACCACAGACCTTAAACACGTCAATAGCAAATTGCCAAAAAATGCATTTTCTTTTGACGTATATAGAAAAAGTTTGTCAATTTTGAAGTTTCTTTAGTTTTAAAGTCTTTGGTGCCACATTTCCTTTCAAATTTAATTTGGAGTGATAAACTGGACTAGGGCTCTGAGTGCAAAAGAAAGTGCAATGCCTGCTGTACTTCCTATAGCCCTCCAAAGGTTTTTAGAGACGTCTGGGCCCTTTTCCAGGTCTCGCTTATACAACATTGAGAGGTGTGACAAAACAACATGTGACAAAGAGAAGAAAGCCATAATGATTGGAAATACTATATTGTTGAAATGGCGAACTCTTGGATGGATATGACAAAACAACAACACAAACATAAGCCCAGTGTGGAAGATAAAAAGAAGTGGGAATACAATTAAAAAATGCTTTAAAAAATAAGTCTCAAAAATACTAACCGTCTTCTGACCAATCCAGTTGAAAATGTTAAAAACCAAAAAGCAGCACACAGGGATAAAGAAGCGTTCCCATGTTCCTGAACTCACTGTTTGAATATCAGCTGTAACTGCCGGATACACAGAAAAAGTGACCAGTGGAACTAGTGCAATGTACCAAAAAGTGCAAAAATTTCCCCCTGTCGTGTTTGTGCCTTCACCATCAAGGCAAGGTGGGGGCTCATGGTTATTGCTATTATTGTTATTACTGCTTAAATTATTTAAGGGGAGCTGTTCAGCGCCGGTCTTTTGTTCAGGTTGATGCTTTTGGCTAGAACGACAGTGATAGATGCAGTATGCGACTAGACTAACCAGTGAAACAACAATGGCAAATGAGTAACAGCAAAATTGCATATTAGCTGCATCTGCATCTGCAATGGCCACAGAAATGATCATAACAATTGATGCTACAGTCCCAGCAGACAACTGACAAAGATAAAAAGCTTTTCTGAGAATTTCTGGCAGTGAATCAAATTTTACACTAAGATTATGTGTTATCATGCAGCTAAACAGTGCAACCAACCAGAGTGAAGTCATGTTAATATAAAAAAATATTTCCTTAGAAATTGGCACCTTGATAAAAATTAACATTATGACAAAAATGACCAAAACCAAGACAAGGCAGCCCAAGATGTACTTTTGTGGGGAAAATCTTGAGACAAAAAAAGAATTCACCACAACAGAAATCAGAGTAGGAAGTTGAGATACCAGGGCGATAAAGCTGAAGATCCAGGTTTGATCCATGTGTCTGTTCAGGTACAGGGAGGAGATCTCAAGCAACTGGCAGGGAAACATCGACCCAAGACCAAGCAGACCATAAATGTACTTCACTGTATGGATCCTGTCCAGGGGCAAGAAGACAGTAGGTCAGTTGAAACATATATTTTTATATATATATTTTTGTTACAAAGTTATAATTTTCTATATATATTTTTTAATACTATTAGTTTGGTAGCAGTTTACAATAATATACAATAATAACATAAATTGACAAAAATATACAATGACAGATCATTTTATTTTATGATAATTCTAATACTAAGCCAGTGTGAAGACTGTAATAAGAATTGTGAAATTAGCTAGAAGAAATAATATATGCTGTGTTAGAGAAATTGCACTGCTGTGCTGTACTGACGGCACCCACTGCCAGCTCAGTCCATCTCAAACCACATCATCGGAAATATAATACTCCCTACAATGGAAGCATAGCCAGACTGAACTGCACTAGACTGGAATGGACAACACGATCACAATGACTTGTCCCATACTAATGGTAAATACCACTTCAATTTACGCTACACCTGTAATTAGGAGGATCTGGGTTTTTGCATTGGAGAGTCATGTATAGTTAGTACTATAAACATAGGCTCTAAGTTCTCATGTAAGTACTCACCAAACACTGAATAAGTTATGCTGTGTGCTGGTACAAGTACCTCTGGTAAAAGAGAAGTATGTATAATAGCAAATGGACAAAGGAACCAGGGCCTTTTTGTTTGTTTTCTTTTATTTTTAAGGGTTTCTTTTTGGGAACTTTTTGGGGAGGGTTTTTGTGGGGTCTTCATTATTTACTGGGAAATTGCAGTATTGTTAGAGTTAGAGTCAAACATGGATCATCAATAAATGTATTCATGACCTAAAGTGAATTTTATATGACTTTATGGCACCCTACATGCGTAGAATTGATCAGACTTTTAGGGTTAAAGATGAAATGTTAACCCTTTCCACTCACCTTATGGTTTGGTATTATAGTTTTTTAACATTCAAAATACTGTCATTGGATTTATTTGTTGTCTCTTTTAAACAACAGGCACATACATTCAGAAATAATCATAATAGCCTAATGAGAACTTACCTGAACTCTGTAGTTGTGTGAAAGAGATACTAAATTTCCATGACTTTTCCAAAACTTTCATTGAATTTACACCATTATTTATGACCACAGGAGCCCTTCTTAAATTACATACAAGTATATATTTGTGATATTATGGTATATTGTACTTACCTCTGGGAAGAATTTAGCTTAGAGTCAGAAGTTGAGACTTCAGAATTGGTCTGAAAACAAGAGACAAAGAGTCATACATGGAGCAAATAAAAGTATTTTTAGAATCAGAATCAGCAAGTTTTATTGCCATTATCAGTGAAAAAAATCCACAAACTAGGAACTTGCTTGGGCAGTATGGTGCAATATAAAACAATGAATATTAGTAATATAATAACATTTAAATATATTCTAAAAATAAGGGAATGTAACAAGGTAAATAAAATAATAAATAGACTGATGAATATTGACACTTCACAGTGACATCATACTGGGGGTGTTCTGCCTGTATGCCTATAGCACACATTAGCAATAACTAACAAAAAAAAGCCAAAATGGATTTAATCAACACATTTTCAGGAGCCTGTGATGAATACGTTCATGGTCCTGTTCAGGAGTTTGATTTTCAACAAAAAAGTTGAAAGTGACTAACTGAAAAACTGTTGGCTATCTTGTGAGTGAAATGTTAGAGGGACTTGTTTAATAGTACAAAATCAGCTCATCTGTTGTAGTTCCAGCTAAATCAGCTCTTTCTGGTCAGGGTGTGTTAAACTAAAGCTCAGATTAAAGTCTAACTTAAGTAAAGCAGCCTAAAGGGCCGTTCACACCAAGGCATCAAAAACGCCTTGACGCCTCTATTTGGACGCCTTTGCATTTGAGTTTAGACGCCCCCGACGCGCCTCTTTGACGCTGTGGACGAACGGGACAAAAATACTTGATGCGCGTCCATTGCCCTGAAAACAAGAGCCCGGTCCCGGTCTTTTCCCGAAACAATGTCAGACCAGACTGATAGAGTGTTTTTATGACATAAAACATCAGCGGAGATCGGGTTGACGACTGGGGCGTATATATATTTATACTCCACTAATGACACAGGATCAGTCCCGGTCTAGTCCTGGTCTAATACCGGTCTGGTCCTGGTCTAATACCGGTCTAGTCCTGGTCTAATCACGGTCTAGTCCTGGTCTAATCACGGTGTAGTCCCGGTCTAGTCGTGGTTTAATCTCGGTCTATTCAGGGTCTAGTCCTTGTTTATTCTCGGTCTAGTCTCGGTCCACTCCCGGTCTAGTCCTTGTTTAGTCCCGGTCTAGTCCTTGTTTAGTCCCGGTCTAGTCCTTGTTTAGTCCTGGTCCGGTCCTGGTGTATTCCTCGCGATCGGCTCGGTGATTGTGGCGTATATATTTAATCTCCGCTCATGTTTGTGGTTCTCGTTCTGGTTCTCGGGTCTTGCTTCCTGATAATAACGTCGCTGTGTCATTGGATACTCGTCCCTGATTGGTTGACGCGGTGAGTCTGACGCGAAAAGTTCAGCATTTTCAACTTCTTCACACTGACGCCTTGGACGCGCGTCTTGGCCGCTGACGCCAAAACGCTCAAGACGCGCCGCGTCGACGCCAGATTCGCGCCGCGCTGACACCGAAAACGCGCCGCAAAAACGCAGGACGCTCTAGTCGCGCGTCCACATAGACTTTACATTGAAAGTGGACGCTTTGACGCCTTGGTGTGAACGGCCCTTAAGACAGAGCAGTGCCTACGGTTAGCATCACACCCCAGTGGAAGTATCAGTGCGTATGGGCAGAACAACGGTGTAAAACTTCCAGTGCAAGTAGATTTAATATTTTAAGATTAATTTGTTGTACTTTTATATAATATCATCAGCTGAACAATTCTCACAATAAAATGTAGAAGGCCAGAGATATTTTTACCTCTTTACGTTTGTAAGTTGAGAGGAAAATCAGTACAGTCACAATCAGGACAGCAAAGGTCATACAGGAAACATACTCACTCAAAGGCTCTGCAAAGTAACATCAGAGTTAGCAGTGTTAATTATTGTTTCAAATAAGTCACTATACCATTAAAGATGCACTATGCAACTTTTTGATTGGGGGTCTGCCACCTGCTTGTTTCTATGAATATGCTATTGCTCTGCCTAGAATGTTCCACAGTATGACATTAAACAGCTCTAACTTACATTTATTTAATCACCTTCAGTTTTATAACTCAAAAATACCTAGAGGAAACCCATTCTGACTGTGAGTGGGGTTGCCTCTCGACAGTGTAATCCCTCATTTGGCGATTGTAAAAACTATTATTCATAGTTTGATAAATGCAATTGACTTACGCATCTGTGCATAGGTGGCCCTCTTTGAGCTGAATGGAGTGCTGACTATGCAGGTGTATTGTGAGACATTACGGAGCAGTGGAGTGGTACAGTTGATGGAGCAGAGATGCTGGTCATCCGGGGAAACTGTAGGACCGGGGTTTGAAAAGTCATCTGACCATCGGCATTGCGCTTTGGGATGCACCCGCTCTGAGCTGCAGATCAGAACGTCCCCTACACGCTTAATGACCACCTTCTCCACTGGAACTGCAATGAAAGACATGAAATTGACACTTTGCAGCCGATGTCATCAGCATTCCCTGACGTGTGATGCTAACTGTAGGTTCTGCTCTGTCTTTATTTCAACATAATGTGACCATAAAGAAAGGACTTAGATGAAACTACAAGCTAGCAGTCACTCTCACTTTTTTGCTGAAAATTAAACACCTAAACAGGACCATAAACACTCATGCTGATCACAAGCTCCTGAAAATATATATCCATTTTGTATATATTTTTTTAGATTTCAGACAACAGGACACCCCCAGCATAATGTCATTTAAAAGTATCAAAAGGAATGCAGCGATTAATCAACAAACTGTGCCTAATTAACTACAAATGTAATAATAGTTGTATTTTGTTATTTCAGCTTTAGATGAGTTTAACTTTTTTTCTTTACTACATATTTCCATCATTCCATACATCTTACATCATATACAGTATTAGTTGTCTTCCATATGTATATAAAATGTAGAAAGCAATAAACATAAACAAAAAAAAGAGAATTTGAATGAGAGGCTGTGTCCAAACATTTGTGTGGTTCTGTGCATGTATACAGTCAGATGATCACAGTTTGTCCACATTATAGTATTATCTTACCATCCACTTGTACTTTGAAATATAAATCATTTTCCTCTTTACTTTGGCTCCAGATGGCACACTTAAAAAGACCATCGTCCTTAAGTGTTGTGCTGTCGATCGCCAGTGAGCAGTTGCCATTGTGAAACTCTTGCTCGAATAGGCAGGTCCTGTTTCTGTATGATCCGTGTTCGTGGTACTCGCCAGTTCTGGGAAAATACTGTACTGGTAAAAAATCTTTAGACCATATGATTCTTGAAAGTCCTTTCTGAATATGGCATGGCAAAACACAGCGTTGTCCAAAAAGACAGGTCACAGGAATGGCTGAAATAAAGCAAGCAAAAATACGACTTAGTACAATCAGCAAAATATTTAAAGATCTTATATTAAACTAAACTGATTCTTGTGAGCTTTCAGCCATGTTATGATGTTTTTACTCCTTAAAAACCATAGTTGTGTTTTGTTTCATTCACACGTTTGAGCAATCCTTTATTATTATAGTTTGTTTACATCTTCAAGGCTCAAAATCTCCTGCTCATGTAGTAGTAAGTTTTCCAGTTAACAGCTACCTTTACCTTAATCATCCAAATTATTCTAGAGAAGGTGTATGGAGTTTAAAAACACAGTGGAGCACTTCCTGTATTTCCATTTGAGAGAAGAACTCAACCATAGATCATCTCTTTTGACTAGGTCTGTGTCCAGGAAATTCTGAAGCAACATTAGACAGTAGTTATCTCTAGGGGTGAGCAAAAATATTGAAATATCGATATATCATATCATTTAATGTGATGATGCAGTATCGATATTGTGGGCTGCTGTAAAAATATATCACCAAGAGTATATTTAGTATATTTTACTACATTATTTTGTTACAAAGCTACAGTTTTGTTGCTTGTTTAGAAGAAGGAAACTTGTTCACACTGCAAAAAGTGATATCTACATGAGTTAAAATTACTTAAACTAAGACTTTATTTGAGTAGATTCTACCAATGAATAAGTGTGTTCAAGCAACATTCGATTGTTTCTTATTTTAAGTGCAAAAAGTTGTTGTTTTTCTTATGTTAAGTGTAGCAAGTTGTATTTTCATATTTTAAGTACAAGTTTTATTCTGCCGCTAGATAATTTTAATTGTCAAGTGAAATTTACTCAAATCAGGATAAAACTTTCTTAATTCAAGTGATCTTAACTTGGCTAGATTAAATTTTTATGCGACACGTTTGATATTTTCGACTGTTTTGAGGATTAAAATGTGTGCGTTTCATATGAACTTTGCACAAAAAGTGGTTTAACAAAGACTTTGAATATCACAGCCATGATTTAGCCATTATTTTTAATTGAAGCATATCAAATCGATTTGAAATATATTGCATCAAATCAAAAGTGCACTGTATCGAGATATGTATCATATCGTGGCCTATGTATCGAGGTATGTATCATAGCGGCAACTTCTTAATAATACCCAGCACTAGTCATCTCCCCAAATCTCAAACTTCCCCAAATTAAGTGCTAATCATATTTTATATTTTGTGAATGATATAGATAGAAATGTATTTTACACTGTGAATATTATTTTGCTACTGGCTAAATACCATATTTTATCGCCTGCTTTCAACATTTTATGAATTAATCTAAACTGTTCTTCTTCAATCTGAACTGTTTAAATCTGCCTGTTTTAGTAGCACATATTCTGTGTTTTTTGTTTTTTGTTTTTTGTCTTTTAAAGGTGTGTACATTGTATACTGGCCTTGAATATTAAAACATCTTTATGTAATTTGTCTTTTATATTTTGAAAAAGCATAAATAATTCATACGTAAAAAAAAATCTGTCTGTGCCAAGAAAACTGCATATCCAATGTAGTCATTGTTTAAATAATATAATTTTAATTAGCTCCTTTTTATGCCATACAAAACATGTAATCCCTACATAATTTTTTGATATTTCCCATTTCCTCATTTCATGTCCTGGTACCTCCGCAAGTGTGTATCGAAAACAATACATTAAAAAGAACGCATGTTTCGCAGCACAATGCAGTAAAAACACCTGTATAGGCGGCTATGGCAAACCCAAATGAGCAAACCACACAAATTTATAGACTATTTGAGAGTTTTTCCCAAATCAGATCTGCAGAAGAATCTAGAACAGCCAGCCATGCCTCAGGTAGCGTAACCAACACCGTAACATCTCGACGTCAAGTAGCGCCGTGATACAAAAAGTTACAAAATAATAAAAGCTCGCCCATATGCGGTTGAAACTTTGTAAACTAAGCTCATGGATGACTAGACCCCGTTATGCTAAAGGTAACAAGGCTAAAGGCATGTTAGCAGGTGGTCTAGGCATCGTTTTTGTACACGATAACATTGATTTGATCGTAATCTCACCATGTCTCACGGCGCCTCGAGCAAACGCAATGATCAGGAGCAAGCACGAGATCAGACGAGGCCACATTTTGCATTAGAGAAGCATTAAAAAACACCGACTGATTTTGGAGCAGTGGTGCTCGCAAAACTTCGGGAGATAATGGCGTAAAATAGCAACAACTTCCCTAATGGAATACTTTCGATTTCATGGTCTGTTTATTTATACAATACCGCCATCTGCTGGTTATACTTACACAGACAGCAAAAATCCTCAACTAAAAATATGTAAGTAAGTTTAAAGTTTAAACATGTACTTTACAAGCAAAAAGTAAACCAATTTCACACCGTCTTTTCTATTGTATTTTACGTATGCTATATATTTTTGTTTGCACAAAGCCGGGACTTGAATTCAAAACCTTTAGGGAGGATGTTTCCATGAACATGCCAAAAATGAGCCCTTAAATCTTCTGAAAAGTACTTTTTTACCTTTCAGCCCAGTTCCAAAAAGTTGTGGAGTAGACATTACAGAGAGACACTGGCTCTCAGACATAGTCAACTAAAATTAATTATATTTTTGATGAGGAAACAATAATATAAAAGATCATGAAGCAGCACAATATTGGCCCTTTTAAAGTTTCCTCTGTAACTTTTCTTTTCATGGGCATGCCACCTGCTTGGGCTAAAATTTACTATAAATGCACTCAAGTAAAGTACACGCAAGGCTACCTAATATTTGTATTTAAATGTTCTATAATTGGATTACTGTGGGCTTTAAGACATGTTAAAATGTTGTTTCCTCATCAAAAACATACCTGGAGTTGTGTTTTGCCATGTGGTAATACAGGAGGTTCTCCACTGCGTTTTTAAACTCCATACACATTCAGTAGAATCATTTGGAAGATTTCAGTCCCAAAATTGCCAATTTCTACTTAACTAAATGTAAAAGCAGCTGTTAAATTGTAACTTCATGAAATCACAATGTGAGGCAGATTTTTTTGGACATTTTAAACCAGACATGTCAAACTCAGGCCCGGGGGCCAAATTTGGCTGGTAATATAATTTTATTTGACCCCATATCAAGTATGTATTAGAGCTGGCCCACCAACTACAGATAGACTATAGAGACATTTATTTTAAATGTTATTATTTTATATTATACTTGTTCTGGGTTCAGTTCTGGGTTTAAGCAAAACTATTATTAAACATTTATTTTAATAAGAAAAGGTTTAACATTACATATCTCGAAAGAAGAAAAAACATGCAGATGTTGCTGAAATTTTTCAATAATATGGCATCTTTAAACATGAATCTAGTTTTCTATTAAAGACATAACTTCTTAACTGGTCCTTAATGTGTGTGCTTGTTTTCACCTGCTTGTTTTTATGGACATGGCATTGCTCTGCCTGTAATGTTCCACAGTATGACATTAAACAGCTCTACTTTACATTTAATCAATTAGAGGTGGCTTTATAGCTTAAAAATACAAAGAAAAACAGGCTTTCTGACTGTGAGCGGGGTCGCCTTTCCACAGATCTGACCCGTAACTTGGTCTGGTTTGGCCTCCATGAAGATAGAAAGTTTTAATACCATACTGTGAAACATTCAAGACAAAGCAATAACATCTCCATGGAGAAAAGCCTTTGACTGACCCATCACCAGAAAAGTTACATATTGCACCTTTAATGTTACTTTTCACAAACTTCAGTCTATTAAAAAAACAAACAAACAGTTGACTGACAATTCAGTGTGTTTTAAGTCTAAGTGTTTTGTAAACCAAAAAAAGTCTGAAACATTGATGATAAAATATCTGTTTTTTATTCTAACATGTACCTTCATGCCACAGTCTGTTCTCGTCCTACACTTTGGATTACAAATTTCTGAAATCACTGGCAAGAAATTCAGACATTTTACTGTATAAAGTCCACATTTAACTCAAAACAGCGACTGGAGGAATGACTGTTAAACGTCCAAAATGCTTTATGCACAGATAACACTCGGATAATATCTTCTTTTCTCAATAGAATAAAATTATATTGGAATAACATTTATACACCAAGACTGGGATCTCAATCACAATATACTACTGGAAATGTGGTAATGCAGTCCAGTCAGGAACATTCAAGATGTCAAAAAACTACAGAGAGAACAAAGGGATTGAGGAGAGCGCCCCCATTTGGACATGCACGGAAAAACGTATGGAACACAAATGGCTCTTTAAACTAATACTATCTGAACAGTAGAAAAATACAAACTTAAACAATGCTTTAGAAATTTGTAATATTTATATTTTGCACTGCACCTGGCCTCCCCAAAACACACATCGCATATACACAAAAGTGCCTTGGGGTCTAATACTGATTTCCATTTATACTTTTACTACAAAAATCCCTTTACACATCCTTTTCCTACCACCTACCATTCATAATCATACAAACAAGAGTGCATGCAGTCTGTACACTGGTACGTGCTGTGTCCAGAATCACCACAAGGGGGAGTTGTAATGACAAAGCTTATGGGCACAATGCAGAAGAATAGGCTCCTAAGTGGCTCCTGATTTAACATTTTATTGTAGATATTTGACCCAAAACATTGGTCACATAGTAGTGTTTTTAAAATTTAAAGTTTCATGTGTAGTCTAGATAAAAAAAACAGAAAAACTTGGAAAATTTCTTTAATGCTTTGACGCTTTCCAGTACTGAATAATAATCTAAGGTCTCATTAGTGATTTTGGACACAGCATTTTAAACATTTGCTGTCATGAAAACAGCTGAAAGGAGGATAAAATTCTCAGTGCCTGATTTAACTAATTTGACATTTCTTAACATTTAGGAAAATTTGAGATGTTTACACAGATCAGATATAATACAATTTTTCAAAAATGATAGCTTAGGTCAATGTCAACTTATAGAGATGATTGCACATTAAGGCACAGTGAGTGAAATGTGATGTCTAAACAGATTCTGAAATTAAATTAAATAAACCAGGATGTGATGTTATGTTAGGGCGAATTAATTAAAGGTGCGTTGTGCAACATTTCTGGAGGAGGGTCCGTCACTTGCTTGTCTCCATGGTGTAAGAAAATTTAAGTAACATATCCTCCACATAATCTCTCAGTTTAACATCGAATCACAGGAGCTATAGTAACACGATCATCTTCCCTTGGCATACCTTTAATCTTTTTAATCCGGCCCACCAAACTTGAATAACATTTTTCAGTGTTTTAAAAGTCATTTCAATAAATAGTAAATACTGTGGGACTTGAAAGACATATACTTTGTTGTAATGCTTTGTAATGATTTTCAATTATGGGATATTTCAATAATGTGATATTGGAACATGTCATTTTTTTCTCTTACGAGGTGGATTTCCAAAAAACTCCATCCATCTGCTCCTAGTCTGGCCCTCCGTTAAATTATAGAACCCAAAAGTCAAAAAGTTTGCCCACCCCTCATCTAAATTGTGGCATATTTCTGTCTAACTGGTGCCTACTGGCCTTCATAGTCTCCCCACATTTGCTTTATAAACCTCCTACTTTGGAAGTAGAGTCAAAGGGGTTTGAACACTCAAAGATCAGACTATGTTCACTTCTGAAATCATACTATGTTGTTTTCAAGTCTCCCCGGACCCGTGTTATTGATGGTAAATAAACTCTTCCTGCTTAATATGTCCATTTGGTCTTCAGCCTTTTACTTTTACTTCTACCCTTTCTTGGACAAGCTGAAAACTTCTACAGCAGTTTATCATCAAGGACAATTAATCTACATATGGTACAATTGATTTGGTAATTGCTGATTTTTCTTCATTTTGGAAAAAACGGGAGGGAGATTTTGCCTTACCAGATTCAGGCTTGACAAATATCCTGTGAGTCAATGTTAAACTGAGAGATGTACATTGAGGATGGATTGCTTAAATTCTCTTACACATGGAGATGTTATTGCTTTGCCTGGAATGTTCCATGGTATGACATTAAACTAGGGATGTAACAATATCCAAATCTCTTGGTACGATATTATCACGATACGCATCTCATGGTACGATATTTTGGATATAGTATAGTAGATAGGACACTTTTTTGCTTTTAAAACACCTTGACAAGATTGTGATGTGAATTATTTCCATCATAATCCCAAGAATTCAAGTCAAAAACAGATGAAATGAATCATGGGATATGTAGTTCCTGATGTTTATAAGATGTTGCTTCTATAAAACCTGCATTTAAGCAAAGAAACTTGTGATTTGATATACTGTGACAGCCCACGATATTATTGTGAGACTTTTGACGATACAACATCACAAGCATTTATCGATTACGGGTGTTTCAAATGCTCAAAAATACAGTAATTATCTTTGTGAACAAGGTTGCCTCTCCATAGATCTAACCTGTAAAGTAGCCAATAGTTGTCATCCTTCAAATAGGTTTAATCTGTGCGATGGAACATTCTAGACAAAGAAATAACATCTCCACAACGACAAGCAAGTAACGGATCTTCCAACAGAAAAGTTACACAATGCAGCTTTAATGAGATAGGCCTATATGTCAATGTGTGTGTGTGCTATTTTACATTAAAACAAAGGACACAACCACAGCCAAACATGAGAAGAAGTTCGTCACAACTTTAAAAATAGTTACATTTTCTTCTTAGGATACAAAGTCCGCATCCTTTTCAAGTTCATTTATTTATGTACAAGAAAACTGCAGTCAGTGTGCTCTGATTTTACTCCTTAATCCTATATTAGAAAGTCATTTGCTTTCTAGGAGATAGTCCATTGGTTAAAAAAGACCTCTTTCCTGCACAGTTGGTAGTTTAATTTCAAAATATCCAGGGTTAGGTTACCAAGTCTTTGTCTGGCTCTCTGTATAGCCTCTATGAGATGATCTGAAATACTGAAGCAAAGATGGCGGATTTATTGTCTGCAAGAAAAGCAGTCTTGACCCAAAGGAGCCCAGATGCACTGAAAATGGTTGGACAAACAGATAGAAGTTGCATATACTTGAAGTGGGAATCCGGTATTGTGCTTGGGTGTGTAGATGGGTGGAGCAAAGGGCGTTCGGAGATTCCTGGTCCAGCATTTTCACACCTCATCTTCGCTTTCCTCTTCCAGCGTCTCCTCGAAAATGCGTTCTGGGAGTCGGAAACATTCCTCGAAAAAGTTGACCAAGGACTGACTCAGGTGCTGCCGTGTGGCTTCACTGCGGATGAAGTGGCCCTCGTCTGGGTAAATCTGAAAGACAAAATGATTACAAATGATTATATATTTTATTTTCGTGTTATTCGACACCCGTCCCTTGCCATTTTTGCTACTTATTTTTAATGTTTTATCACCATTTATATTTTTGCTCTTTGCCATTATATTTATTTATTAACTTATACAACAACAAAGATATTTCTGATCTAATGTATTGCTGAGTTTCAGATAACAATGCAACATTCTATAGGCCAGTGATATTTAAGGACCTATATTACACTCTTTAGGTGTTATAATGTTTTCTCAAGAAAAAAAAAAAAATATTTAGGCTGAGTTCTTCTCTCAATCTGAAACCACACTGTTCCACCTTGTGAAGGAAGGGCTCCACTGTGTTTTTACACTCCTTCACTAGAATAATTTTGAACATTTCAGGCCTGGAATTGACAATTTCTACTGAACTTAAGGTAAAAGAAGCAGTAGTTTTCAAGTAAGCAACTGCCTGGGAAACTTGAAAACTACAGCTTCATGACATCACAAGGTAGAACAGAACATTTTAAGATTTAGAGATGTAGACAGACTAATAAAAATGATTACTCAAACATATGTGAATGAAACAAAACACAAGTCTGGGTATGGTTTTTATGAGGTAACAACATTTTAACATGGCTTAAAGCTCACAAGAGTCAATTCTGCACAATATAGGACCTTAAACTTTTTACCAGGTATAAAACTGACCATATTGAAATGAATACACTTAATTAAATGTATTTAGAAAATCCCAGTAGTATCACACACATTTCCGATGCAATAGTGATTTAAATGTAGTAATTGTATGTAACATTTTTACACGTTTAATATTTATATCGCTGTACAATCTAGACACAATCACTCCAAAACGCCACAAAAAAATAAGCAGCTCTTTAGTAAACATCTGCAAATACCAGGAGGGCATTTAGGGACATTTAATCTGCCAATCACCTTCATGTAGGTCAATAACAAGCTCAGTTAAACAGTGGGCAGAGCAGGGGTGCACTGTGGGTAAATTGGATCAGTCATCGAGTGGCTGCTCCAGCTGAGAATCCCAGGGAGGAGAGCAGGTCAGGCCGGTTTAACACGGATCCAGAGCCAGTGTAGATCATAGCATGTTATAATGTTGCTACTAGAGGGTCCGCTCACCTGTAAAGTGTAGTTGGCCTTTGCATTTATGAGTCGGGAGATGAATTTTGCCGTATGCTGGAAATGCACTTTTTCTGGAAGACAGAAGATAAACAGATAGTTACACATCAGTAATAATACAATGTCCAATATTCATATTTAAGTAAAGAAAAGTAAAGTTTCAGCTGCAACTTTTAACAGCAAAAAACCTACTCTAAGTATTTATATCGAGAGCTCTTCTAATTTAAAGGTCCTATATTACACCAAAAAAGACTCTTGTGAGCTTTAAGTCATGTTATAATGTTGTAACCTTGTCAAAAACAGACCTGGAGTTGTGCTTTGTTTCATTCACACACATTTGATCCTAGTTTATTAGATTATCTACATCTCAAAAGCTCAAAATGCTCAGTCCCACCTTGTGATGTCATGAAGAGGTAGTTTTCAAGTTAACAACCTTTTATCTCTAGTTTGGTAAAGATTGACAATTCCAGGGTTGAAATTATCCAAATAATCCTAGTGAAGGTCAAATCATTTGGATAATGATAGTGGAGAACTACCAGTATTACCACGTGACATCACAAGGTGGAACAGAGTGTTTTCTGTTTGAGAGAAAGACTTAGCCTAAATATGCAGTGTTTGTGTGTTAAACATGTGTGAATGAAACAAAACATGAGAAAACAACATTATCACATAGCTCAGAAAATAAGTAATATGGGCCCTTTAAAGCACAGATCTCTTACTTCTGACAGACATTCAACTAAAACATATTTCAATAACAACAAATTGTAAAGCAAAAATAATGTAACTGAGGCTATTGCAATGTATTTAATAAGCCTTTAATATCATGTTTTTCAGCAGTTTTTCGTGGGACAGACAAAGCTTGGAATTTACAGTAAACAAAGTCTGGTAGTTGTCAGATTATTAAACTGTAAATCTTCTTTCTTTCTTTCTTTCTTTCTTGCTGATTGTTCAACATATGTGCAGACCTTTACTAGAAAAATTGTACATAAAGGGGCAAACTAAAAAGTTATTTTGAAATCTATTTCATATTTGCATTTCTTTCTTTATCACATATAAACACACACTAAAATCTAGTCTTAAGGTATTTATAGAGATGCACTGATTCATCTTTTTCAGTTCTGATGCTGATGTTGATACTATAGCTTCAAGTCTCTGCCGATTTCTGATCTCAACTGATACCAATGCAAAGACTAAACATTTTATTTAATTCTTTCAAACAACTGATCCAATTGTGTTGTGTAGCTGTTATTTATCTCTCAAGTAACTACTGAACAGCTAGTCTGATTCACCAGCCGGTTTCACTTCATAGAAACCGTCTGACCTCGAAGCATTAGAATTCATTTGCTTGACGGTAGGTTTTTAAATTTAACGAATCGCTGCTATGTGGTCATGACGTATGTAATGCGCCGCTAACAGGGCAAACTGGTAAATTAAGCTTTTCCCAAATCCTGTAAGAAGGGCAATAACATCTTTCCCTGTGATAAAATTCTCTGAAGATTCTCTTTGTTCCGGCTTTAAATCCTCGATCTTGGGAATCGTTGCCAACACAGAATATATGACTCTTCGCTGATTGGCTGGTGCCTGAACTCACACTTCCAGGGTTTTTTGCGAACGGTTTAGTGTATTCTGATTCCTGATTTAGTCGCTGGAGACAAATGAAATTGAGCGAAGGCACTAGGTGGTGCCAACCTGGCTACTGAACAGGTTTGTGTAAATACTATTTCAAACATTATGAGACTTTCTAAACAGATTACAACCAGTAAATGGTCTTATTACATCGATATTTATGTCTGAAAAGGATTTTGAATAAAAAGATATTTGGAAGCCGATATCCAATCCAGCAAATGTTTCAGTATCGGCGCCGAATAATCAATATCAGTATCGGATCAGAGCATCCCCAATTATTTTGTTATAGTACACTGTGATAGTACTTGTATCTTCATACTGCTCAGGAGACTCTATACTTAGTTGGCCTGGTTTTATACTGTTGTCTTAAATAGGGCAGCAGGTGCGACCAAAACTTTTATCACTGTAAAATACTGCAGAGGGCGGAGCTAAAAATCACATAGAAAAGCACAGGACCTACCATCGGCAGTGGGGTGGATAATGAGGAACTTGTTGTCCATAAACTGAGACGCTCTGTGCTCCAAATTGGCCATCTGAGAAAACAAGACACCAGAAATTAAGCTTCTACTTCACACAAAAGCTCAATGTAAAAATACAAGGAAATATAAAACAGCTCTAATCAAACGTCAACTTTAATAGTGTAATTTATTTCTAGCAGTTGTAGTAATGACTATTGAATTTTGAATATATGATATGAATATTACTACTGCTACTAAAACTACAAAACAATAACTACTACTTAGAAAATTTTGGTTTGGACTGTTATTATGTAATATTTAGCATGCCACTACTACTACTACGACTACTACTACTACTACTACTACTGCCATTACTACACCTATTACACCTAATTTAAGTAATACATGTTGAAGTTTTCATATGAAGTTTATATATATAGTTCATATGAATTTTTGTAAATAATATATGCAAAAAAGTACAAAAAAAATAAATAAAAAAATGCTACTACTACTACTACTACTACTACTACTACTAACTATGCTATTACAATTACTACAACTAATTTAATTAATTTGTTTACTAAAAGTTGAAAAAAGTTTTTAAAAAAAAATATATAAAAAAGTAAAAATTATTCTACTACTACTACTACTACTACTACTACTACTACTACTACTACTGCTACTACTACTACTGCTGCCATTACAATTACTACTACTACAACTAACTAATTTAATTAATACCTGTTGAGGCAAAAGTATGATGTTTTGTAAATAATATATGCAAAAAAGTAAAAACTATTCTACTACTACTATTACTACTACCACTACCACTACTGCTGCAATTACTATTACTACTACTCCTACTCCTACTACTACTACGGTACTGCTATTACTACTACTACAACTAATTTAATTTATAAAAGCTAAAGTAAAAGTGTAAAGTTTGGTAAATATGTGCAAAAGTAAAAGTCTCTCACAGTATATGCTCTTGGGTCTGGTTTGGGGAGGCCCAGGTAGCGCTCTGAAAATGCAGACGCTGTGAAGGACAAAACACATTCATTTAGATCATTATTCTGGATACAAACCACCTTCTCCTGTCATTTAAATGGGGTTTTCTGATTTCAGAGACAGTCAATTTACAAATTTCTCATGTTTTTTATTCAAATATATTCTCCCATTTCCATATTCTTCAGTCTGGGAGCTGCAGTCGGTCGTTCTCATTTGCAATAGGAGTCTAATGCCATGCTATGCTATGACAAGTCTGTAAAGGTCTATAGCAATGCAAGGGGGGCCTGAAAAATGGCTAGATTCTTCCTTAAAGGGCCCATATTATGCTATTTTCTGATCTATATTATAATGTAATGTCCTCGTCACATCACACATCATAAGCTGGAACAGAGGGTACGACGCTCAAGCCTAAATATGCAGGATTTGTATGTTAAACGTGTGAATGAAACAAAACAAAACACAACTCAAGGTATGTTTTTGATGAGGAATCAACATTATAACATGGATCTGAAAAAAGTGTAATATGGGCTCTTTAAAGATTTACTATGTATGTACAGTATGTCCACTAGGCCATGATACAGGCCAGATCTGTGGAAAGGCAGCACTGTGGAACATCAAGGAGGTGGGGCTTTTTTTTTTTTTTCCTTGAGTTTTCAGACAGTCTTAAAACTTTAAAATAACTGCACCAATATATGTCAAGCCAAGTTATTTCTGGACAATCATTCACAAAAAGAATATATAATGAAACACTTTATCAGTTGCAAAACAACATTTATTTGCCCTTCCTGCAAGGTTTTCTACATAGGGATGACCAAAAGGCGCCTGCAAGACCGCTTGGCTGAACATGCTATCTGTACAGGCAACACAAACTATCCTATGGAAAGACACTTTTTGGACTTTCATGACAGCAGTCTGCGGGCTCATGGAACTGATCTCATACCAGACTCTTTGTGAAAAGGAAACCATATAGAAAAATTTAAACAATGTGAAACTTCCTGGATTTATAAATTACAGGCAACAAAATATCCTGGGCTCAATGAAGATTTGGACTTCTCTGTGTTTTTTATAACTGAGCTGTATTTTTGTATATATATTTTTGTATTTTTATACATAAAGAGTGTTTATATACCCTACGATGTCCCATGATTCTAACACTGCCATCTTGTGGCGTGTCTCAGGTAGTGTCCACAGGTGAATCTCCACTCCTTCTCTTCCAGGTGGAGCAGCCCTGTTGGTGGGTTTCCTGAATTTAACTCACATGGTTCACTCATAATTCTGCTTGTCCACTGAGGAAAGCATCTCTCAAATGCAGAAGACACCTCCTCTCGAAAATTCTCATAACATTCATAACAAAATATATAAATTCTTCTAGCTGAGATAAATAATAGTTAAGTGCTTCGATTGTTGATTCTGTAAAATCTGCACAGTTTCTCAGTCTTTATGTTTATTAGTTTTTTAGTTTTTATGTTTCTGTTTAAATTGTGGTATGGGGGGGGGGGTGTTAATTAATGTATTAAAAATGTTTCTGTTGCATGTGAAGCACTTTGTTCATTTCAAATGTATGAAAAGTGCTATCAAATAAAGTTTGATTGATTGATTGATTGATTTTTTTGTTGTCTTTCCTCCTTTTTTAACTGTAAACTTGTTTTTGACTCTAATAAAGCATGTGTCTCTCTGATTGGGAGACAGGACACAGCTCCAGATCCACTTGTCTTTGTACAGTTTTCTCAAAGCGTATGGTTCTAGCTGGTCAGATAATCTACTCCTACTACTACTACTGTCACTACTGCACCCAAATATTTCAATCTCTCTTAATGCACAGCTCTACCTGCTCCATACTTAACTAAACAAGCATCATATCTTGTTATACAGAGCCCGTTGTTCACAGCCCGTATGTTTGCTAACAACCTGAGCTGCTGTGTGTCTCTGTGTTACAACTTATGAGTAAACAAACTTAGCATTCAGCGCTAGTGCACCAACCCCTTACCGTATAATTCAAAGTCCGTGATGGGAGAGAGAACAGCTCCACACTTAACTGCCGACCCCTCTCCGGCGCTCAGGAGCAGACTGGTGATGTAGCCCCCGTATTCCTATCCACCACAAATATGTTTAGGTTTTAAGGCAGAAAGCAAAGGATATGGCCACATTTGTATGGTAATGCTATTCAGTTTGCAAACAAAGCAATGCACAGTATGAATAGGCAAGTAGGGAAGTTTACCTTGCCATAAGCTCCAACCCTGGTCTTGTCAATGTAGGGCTCTCTCAACATCAAACTATAATAAATGCAAAACAATTATTAATTCAGTGGGCAAGGGAAGTGTACTGATGATTTATGTATAAGCAGCATCCAAGAGTTACAGTTGTTTTTTACCAAGGACTATGTAGCACTCAAAGCACCCTATCCCCATTTTGATTTAAAATTTCATAAACCTAGATTTGAGGCAAACATGTTCAAATCAAATATAGCATTTACTGATAACAGTGCAAACCGTCTGACCTCACAGCATTAGGATTTGTTTTCTCAACGGGTTTTATTTATAGCCAATCGCTGCTATTTGGTCGTGATGTATATAAAGCGCCAAATCCCGTAGGAAGAAGGGCAATAACATCTTTCCCCTTGATAAAATTCACCAAACATTCTTTGTTTTGGCTTTAAATCCTCAATCTCAGGAATCGTTGCCAACACAAAATGTCTGTCTTCGTCTACATGCATCTTGACTGTTTTGTTTACTGTTGTGCTGTACCACAAAAGGGACCCAGACAGGCGCTTGAGTTTGACATTATGGCTTCACAACTCTTCGCTGATTGGCCTGTGTGCAATCTACAACTTCTGGGGTTCTTGCAAACCGTCTAGTGTATTCTGATTCCTGACCTGGTCGCTGGAGAGAAGTGAAATTGAGAGGAGACACTAGGTAACGCCAGCCTGACTACCCTATCTCCAAATTTCGTAAACTTGACTTATGTGTGTCCTCAGATATGATGTAAACATGCTCAAATCAAATATAAATTTTACTGATAATAATTATAACCCTGATTTATTCTAAATTACAAAAACATTGGACATCATAGTTGTCCAAAGTTATTTATGGTATAATTTGCTGTTTTGGTTCTCAAGACGATTATCCAATCGGAAAGCAGAATGAAAGCAGTCTGTCATTTTGGGTTGCCAGGTTCAATGTTGAAATCCACTGTGTTTAAACCTAAAAGGACTCTTCTCTGATCTGAATGGTCACTATCTAAACCCCAGCATCTGCAGTCAATCATTAATCATTGCTAGTGCACACACTGCAGCTCAATGAGTGAACTGAGGAGGTTCTGAGATTTCAAATGAGACAAAAACTTCTGTGAATCCTCTGTCTGCAGATTAAAGGTAAATTGTGTAACTTTTCTGGTGCAGGGTCAAATGCTTTTCTCCATGGAGATGTTATTGCTTTGTCTGAAATGTTTCACAGTTTCTATGTTCACGAAGAGCAGTTTTTCTTGGTATTTTTGAGCTATAAAACAATCTGTAATTTAATAAATGTAAGATAGAGCAGTTTAATGTCATACTGTGGAATATTCCTGGCAGAGCAATATCCGTAAAAACAAGCAGGTGACACACCCCCAACCAAAAAGTTACATAGTGCACCTTTAAGGCACTGTGGTACTTTTTTAAAACGGTAAAAGCACAGGCTACATACATCTCCTGTAAGTCTTAGTTCATGCTTTACTAAGGTTATTAAAAGTGTTGTCAATAGTAACAACAAAAGTTTGACATCAGACTTGTAAATCTCCACGACTCCTCTGTTATTATCAGACTTACTTGACTGCGTCCCTCTGGTCCTGTTCTTCGTATATTCCCAGTCTCTTCTGGATCCGATGCAGGAGGTTGGTTCCCTGGAAGCCACTGCCTCTGCCGTCCACACGGAGCACCACCGCCCCAAAACTGCTCACCAGAACAGTGGACCAGTCCAGACGGAACTGCTCTGACACTGACTGGCCACCAGGGGTCCCATCACTGCAGCAAAACAACACCAGAGAAACAGATGCTGAGTGGAGGATCAAATGTACTACAATTACATATGCTTAAAAAGTGCTCTGTGTAACTTTTCTGGTAGGGGGGCTGGCAAATGCATGTTTCCATAGAAATGTTATTGCAACGCCACATATGTTCCACCATATGGCAAGTATATACAATACATCTATTCTCTTTTGTATTTTGCAGCAAAAAAACATCAACAGATATCAGATCTGTAACTTTGCCAGGTGGCAGCACCTGCTTGTCTTTAGACAAAAGTTCACTGTCATATTGTAGAGCATTCTATTACTGGCATGTCCAAACTCTAGCTGGTGTGTGATATGACTCTCAGACCATTTTTTAGATCTCTCCCAACTGATTTGACCCAAATTATCAAAAGCAGTACTTTTTTTTTTTTTTTACTGCTGCTTGACACATCTGGTCTAGATAAAGAAATAACCTCCTCTGAGACAAAATGGTATAACTTAGTCACTGTTGGGCAAGTTACTTTAAAACTGTAATGCGTTATTTATTACTTATTACTGTCATTTCAAAGTAATTCGTTACATTACAATATTACTGCATTTAAAATGTAAGGCATTACATTACTATTGCATTACTTTAAGTTACTCTCACCAAAATAACTGCGAAAAAGCTGAACTTTTGAGCCGTATATGGACTGAACCAGGACTAAACAAGGTCTAAACCAGGACTAAACCAGAGCTGAACCAGGACTAAACCAGGACTATAACAGGACTAACCTCAGACTGATTCCAGGACTGAAGAGGAGGACTAAACCAGAACTGAACTAGGACTAAAACAGGACTCACTGTCAGGACGGGCTCGAAGGAGACCGCAGGAGAAAGGAGCGGCTTTGCTCCACACCTCATGGAGGTAAGAGCGGCTGTCGCCCGATCGCGCTTTATGGACCCTGCTGCGGGGGCTCGCGGTCCTGATTTCAGCAACTATTTGCGGGTACAAGACCCGGTGCAAAACTCTGCTACAGCGCGTAACTTCTACCTTCCTTCAACGTGTCCAGAAGTCCAACTTTTTGTGCGATGGTTTGCATCGTCCTCTGTCTTTTGGGTGTGAGCGCAGGAGACTTTGTCGGTGCAGAACATTTCGTCGACGTTGTGGATTTTGTCGGAGAGAAAACTTGCAGACATACAGCACTTCAGAATCACACTGATACAGATTGAACATTTATTTAAATTTGGCAGCTGAACATATTCTGTACTGTACTGTACAGTAGACAGGAGTCCCTTAGCCGATCAGGACACAGCGGGAGGAACGCAATACGTGTTCATACACTAAAAACAAAAGGCATGCAAAATTGCACAAAAAAAAAATTCTAAAAATCAGCGAAACAGCGAGACCGCGAAAAGTGAATCGCGTTAGAGCGAGGGACGACTGTAAACCAGGTCTAAACCAGAAGTGACCCAGGTCTAAACCAGGTCTAAACAGCGTAGAGTTCTGGGTCGGTCCTTTCACCCGCGGTTAACTGAAGGTCTATCCGGCCGCGTCTCCGGCGTTTCACCGCTGCTGATTTCACGGTGATTTTAGCGAATTTCTATGAAGAAAAACCCACCACTTCAATCCAGGTTAAAAAAGCATTGTAACGCGCGTTACTCACATTTGTACCGAGTAAAATATTACAATTTTTCCCCCTGTAATGCCTTACATTACTGCATTACAGCAAAAATCAACGCATTACTGTAATACATTACTTTTATAATACATTACTCCCAACACTGAACTTAGTGCACATAAGATTAACATTAACAGTAAAGAAATTCAAGTTGAAACCAGCAACTGAACTAATGTTTAGCCCAGCCACTGTTTTCATAATGTCTTTCATAGACACTGGCATTAACATAGTCCAGACACAGTGTCTGTATTTGTTTACTAAAGAAATAAACTGGTGAGTCATGTTTGGTTTCACTCACACAAGCAGCAGGAGAGGATAGTGAGATGTGTCCATGAAGCCTGCGGGCTTCAGAATCTGCATCGACAAGACTGAAAAACAAAAACAGAATGTCATAATATGTAATTTAATGTAATTTAAGACAAAACAGCACAATATCACTCTCCATCATGAGTTTAGTCTTAGCATATCTGCTCTCTTACTGTAGTCGTCCATGTTGACCTCCTTGTATTCCACTGTGGGCATCTGCATCGAGTCCAGGATCCCCCTCAGGTTATCGTTGTTTTCTAGTCTGTAAACTTCTACAATGCCTGTACACAGAATCATATTGTTTCAGCTTTATTTAAAGGTACATTGTGTAACATTTTTAGTGGAGTGTCCGTCAAATGATCTGCTCCATGCAGATGTTATTGCTTTGTCTGGAATGTTTCACAGTATGGCCTTAAACCTTTCTATCTTCATGGAGACCAAATCGAACCAAGTTACAGGTCAGATCTGGGGAGAGGCAGCGCCGTTCACTGTCAGAATGCCTGTTTTTCCAGGTATTTTTGAGATATAACCCTAACTGAAAAGTTAAAGTTATAGTGCACCTTCAACCAATGTATGTTTAATATATTATCAGCCTGCCGAGGGTCATGAAGTACATTTCCTTCTCATTTTCCCCATAGACTTTTTAATGTATGGATACTCAGTTTGAATATTACAAATTTAAAGGCATGAGATTAATGGTGTGGTCATTTTTAGTCCAAAGAAAATGAAATAAAAATGAAGTGAAAAAAAAAAAAAAAATCAACTAAATGTCTTTCTTACATTGTGATTTATACATTTTCACAAATTATACTGTGTGTCTAATGTTCACTCACACCTTACCGCATAACTGATTACCCCGTTTAGCATTCAGACTTTAAAATTATTATTTTTCCCCAAAGGTCTATGGGAAAAATTTATGGGAAATTTATTTCAGAAACATGGAAATCAGCAGTCATTTATTCGCTCCATTACACGCTCGTTTGAAGGCAGCAGTGACTCCCAAAGTTAAAAAGTTACTATTACTACTATTTTTTATAACTATAACTAAAATTACTATTACATTGTACTACTATGGGCTCAATATAAAATACTCACTCTCTCCATCCTGTGCATCTTCATCAATCTGTGTCTTGAATATGGACACAAATGGGACGTCCGGACCTGAAAGAAACATGGAAATCAATCATTATTATTTCCCTTAGGTTTAACTTCTACATTAATACAGTGTTTTAAAATTTCATGTAACTTTTCAACACCTGCTTTGATCCATGGAGATTGCTTAACCTGGACCTGTATGATTTTACCTGTGCTTATGTATCTCCAAGGAGACACCAGGTCAGATTAGTGCAAAGATGATCCTGCTCCCTGACTGGGTCACGCAAAGAGTTTTTTTTGGGTACACCTTGTCACGATCTGCATGTACGTCTGCAATACAAAGTTCTGACACATGTTGAAATGTTAAAACAAGTTTTGTATAATTTCAAATCTTTTTGTAAGTATTTTATTGACTATTTTGTTCAATATTGCTGGTTCAATTAAATATTGAAAAGAAAAAGAAATGAGCTACATTTAAGGTCCAAATAGGCGACTTATGAATCCCTTTTATTGCTGGTTCAGTTACTGTTTTTCATTGTTTGAGTAATACTAATTGTTCAGAGATACACAATCACTCAGTCAACAATAAAATATTCTCATTAATGTTCAGTAATGTTCAAATCCACCTTTATTTTTTGATTTACGAATAATGTCTATTGACTTGGGTCGTGGAGGCTTGTGACTTTTTAAAAATATTGGTCCCCAGAAAAAAAGTTTGCTAAACACTGTTTTACAGTCACATTATGCTGGGGGTGTTCTTCCTGTATGTACTAGTATATATGAAGGAATGTTCAGCGGTTACCATGTTGACACAATGCACACATTGGTAAATGGTCAATGGTCACATTTTTATACAGTGCATTTCCACCTTCAAGGCACTCAAAGCGCTTTACAACAAGGAACCACTCACCCATTCACACACACACATTCATACACCAGTGTACGCAGACACGAGGGCCGAGGTGGGTTAAGTGTCTCACCCAAGGGCACAACAACAGCATTCACCAGTGGGAGCATGAATCATCCAATCAGTGGACAAACGCTCTACCAATCGAGCTACTGCCGCCTCATTAGCAATTACTATAATTTTTTGTTAAGATGAGTCTGAAAACTTAAGAAAAAATTGTGTTTGATTTTTGATTTTCACCAAAAACTCAGAGTGACTAACTGAAAAAGCTAATATTGTATTTGCTGAGACATATTAACAGCACAAATCAGTTCTTTCGGGTCAGACTGTGTTAAAACAAAGCTCAAATTAAAGCAAAGCATCAACAAAAGCAAGCTAGATAAAATTATAGGTTTGTTGATAAATACTGTGGAACATTCCAGGCAAGCTAACATCTCCATGGAGACAAGCAGGTAGTGTATCCTCTTCAGAAAAGTCATCTCCTCTGACAGTGACAGTGCTGACATTTCACTTTTCAAAATGTCTGACACATTTTAGATCACCAACACCTCTTATAAATAAAATCTAAACATAAGCCGACGTCCTTTACACAGACTATATCACATTTAAGAGCAGATCCGGAGAGAAGCTGAGGCAAACTTTGTAGCAAACTTTTTAATCATATCCTTCATTCAAGCAAGGTTAGGTTAATTAAACACGTTATTTTGAATGTATAATTAGAACAGCATTGACTTTTAACACACCGCCTCTCCTCCACCACTCAGGGGGATCGCTGCGTTTACACATTGGTGAGAAGGAGTGTACAGATTAAATATGTTTCAATAAGACCATCTTGTGAAATTTTAATTATAAAGTAAAGCGCCTGAAGAGTGAGGGCAAAGGCAGAGGTCAGCGCCAATTAAAAACATCAAGGAAAATCAAATGTAAATTGTTAAAAAAGTTAAAGCTCCCATCTTATGCGAGGATGTTGTTTCCTCATTACAAACAAACCTGGAGTTGTGTTTTTGTTTCTTTTACACATATTTAACACACAGATCTTGCATATTTAGGATGAGTTCTTCTCTCAAACAGAAAACACTCTATTCCACCTTGTGATGTCATGTGGTAATACAGGAAGTGTTTTTAAACTCCATACACCTTCACTAGAATCATTTGGATTATTTCAGCCTGGGAAATGCCAATCTCTACTCAACAAAAGGTTAAAGGAACTGTTAACTTGAAAACTACCACTACATGACATCACAAGGTGGAACAGAGTGTTTTCTGTTTGAGAAATAAACTCAATATAAATATGCAAGATCTGTGTGTTAAATATGTGAATGAAACAAAACACAACAGGTCTGTTTTTGATGAGGTGACGGCATGGCTTAAAGCTCATGAGAATCCATTGTGTGTAATATAGGACTTATAGTAGTAGCAGTAGCCGTAGTAGTACTAGTAGTAGTAGTAGTAGTACGAACAGTAGTAGTAGCAGTAGTCATAGTAGTAGTCGTAGCAGTAGTAGCAGTAGCAGTAGTAGTAGTAGTAGTAGTAACAGTAGTCGTAGTAGTAGTAGTAGCAGTAGTAACAGCCACAGTAGCAATAGCAGTAAGAGTAGTACTAGTAGTAGAAGCAGTAATAGTAGTAGTAGTAGTAGTAGTAAGCAGTAGTAGAAGTAGTAGTAGTATTAGTAGTAGCAGTAGCAGTAGTCGTAGTCGTAGTAGTAGTATCAGCAGCAGTAGTAGTAGTAGTTAGTAGTAGTAGTTAGTAGTAGTAGTAGTAGTAGTACTAGTAGTAGTAGTGTAGTAGTAGTAGCAGCAGTAGTAACAATATCAGTATCAGTAGTAGTAGTAGTAGTAGTAGTAGTAGCAGTAGTAGTAGTAGTAGCAGTAGCAGCAGTAGTAGCAATATCAGTATCAGTAGTAGTAGTAGTAGTAGTAGTAGCAGTAGTAGTAGTAGTAGTAGCAGTAGCAGTAGAAGAAGTAGTTAGTAGTAGCAATATCAGTATCAATAGTAGTAGTAGCAGCAGCAGTAGTAGCAGTATCAGTATCAATAGTAGTAGCAGTAGTAGTCACCGTCATAGACATAGTAGTAGTAGTACCTTTGCATTCAAGCAGGAAGTAGCTCATGTTGAGGCTGAAGGATCCACTCACGTATCCACAAGTGTTTGGGAGTGAACAGGTCAGACAGCGGCGGTTAAAAGAGCCAGACGTGTCAGCACTTCAAGAAAGAATAAAATGACAAAAGAATTTTTTTTTTTTTTATAGTATTTCATTATGGCTCTGAATATAAGACCACATTTACCTGTACAGATGTCTTCTCTTTGGTCCATCCTCTGTACTCAAGAAATATCTGTAAGAAAATCACACACACAATTGCAATTACTATCCAGCAGATGACGCTAAATTCATCTGCACCATATACTTCTAGTAATCCAGATTGTATGTAGCTTTAACGCTTGGTATAGTTCAGTTAAAAATTGGACAATTATGATAAATTATGAAAACATTTGAGGGCGTTAATTTCAGAATGTAGTTATAATTTGTCAGAGCTTATTTTCTCTTTTGAATCTTCTTTTGTGTATGTTTATGTTTTATTTTTTATCATCATTTTGTTACTATTTTATTTATTATTTCATGTTTTATATCATTGCCAAAGGACATTCCTAATTTGTGCATTTTAATACCGTCGCCCCTCACTATATCATGGTTCATCTTTCATGGTCTTGCTATTTTGAGGATTTTTTTTAGTGCAATTTTGCATGTTTTTTTATTTTTGCATTTTTTTTTTTTTTTAACAGTGTACAAACGCGTATTGCATATTATGGGCGGGTAGTAATTACACACGGGTGGGTCAGGACTAAACCAGGTCTAAACCAGGACTAATCTTGGACTTAAGAGAGAGAACACCGAGCAGTTTGTCCGCAAAGTGCGATCGGGCAGTTGCCGCGCTTACGTCTGTGAGGTGCGGAGCTCTGAGCGGGTCCTTTCTCCTGCAGTCACCTCCGAGCAGTCAGTTCTGGTTTAGTCCTGGTGGTTTACTCCTGTTTTAATCCTAGTTCAGTGCTGGTTTAGTCCTCTTCAGTCCTGGAATCAGTCCTAGATTAGTCCTGGGTTAGTCCTGGTTCAGTCTGTGGCTTAGGCAGTGCAAGAGTTTGATACAATCTCTGGTTAACTGGCGGGTGTGGTCCTGTACTGCGCGGGTGAAAAAATGGACCCATGCAGGGCTCCAGGATAAATTAAAAAAAATAAAATGAATCTTTGGTTCGTTACATAAAGAAGGAAATAAATTACAAAAGGAGGACAGCAGCAATAAGTTTTAAAAAGGATGCAAAAAGGGTTAACTGTCCTGTCTGAGAAAAGTGTATAAAGTGTGTGCTGAGGGGTTTTACAGCTTTAAAACAGATATAATCATTGTAAAATATAAAGTTGATTACTTTGTGGATTTCATCTATCACGGGTTATTTTTAGAATGTAACCCCGTGATAAACGAGGGACAACTGTAAAATGAAGAGAGAGGCGACCCCACTCACAGTCAGAATACCTGTTTTTCTAAGTATTTTTGACCCATAAACCACCTGTAATTGAGTAAATGTAAAATAGAGCTGTTTAATGTAACATTGTGGAACATTCCAGGCAGAGAAATGACACAAGCAGGTGACGGACCCTTCCCCCAAAAAAGTTACACAGTGCACCTTTAAACTGGTGATTAAAAATAAGAGTAAAATCAGGTGTGTTGTGCGTTAGTCAGATGGTTCAGTTCAGTCATGGCCCAAACTGAGAAACTGTGAAAAGATCTGATGAGGCTGAGTCACGGGCGTCATTTTGTTTAGCTGAAAAATAAAATGAAATGTGGTGCCAAAGTGCAGCTGCTGTCTCCAAACCTGGCAACCCTCTTAGTGCAATGACACCAAACAGAAAGTCTAGGCTTTTTATGCATCTCTCTCTTTCTCATCCTCTTTTGCCTGTTTCATTCGCTCACCCTCTCTTTCTCCCACTCTCCTTTTAAGTACCTCCCTCTCCATCTCTCCATCCCACTTTCTTCCTGCCCACACCCCTGTCTTTCTTTCTCTATTTTACACACACACTTTCACCTCCTCCCTCCCTCTCTCTGAGTCCTATCACTCTCTTTCTCTCTCCCTCCATTGCTTTCTCCCTTCGTCCAAACTTGTCTCTTTCTCTCCTCCTCTCTCTCTGTCACTCCTCTCTTCTTCTGTACCTGTCCTTACCACTCTTTCATAGTTCTCTCGCCCTCCTTCGCGCGCCTTTCCTCCATCTATCTTCCTCTCTTTCTCTCTCCCTTCCTCTCCCCTCCTCCCTTCCCCTAATCCTTCTTTCCTTTCCTTTTCTCTCTCTCCCTCTCTCCTTCTCCCTGTCACTATAAATATATCTCCTTCTCTCTCTTTCTGTGTGTATTTGAGCTGTCTCTCTTCTTCCCTCTCTCTTTCTCTCATTCCCTCACTCTCCTTCTCCCTCTCTCCATCCCTTTCTCTCCCTCTCCTTTTCCCGCTCTCACTCCTTCCCCCCCTCTCTCCTCTCTCTGTGTGTCTGAGCTGTCTCTCTCCTCTTTGTCAAATTTTACTTTTCTTTCTCTCTTTCTCTCGCTCTCTTTCCAACTCCCTCTCTCCTTCTCTCACTCTCCCTCTCTCCTTCTCTCTTTCCTTCCCGCCACCTATCTTCCTCTCTTTCGCCTTCCTCTCCCCTCCTTGCTTGTCCTAAGCTTTCTTTCCTTTTCTCTCTCTCCCTATCACTATAAACATATCTCCTTCTCTCTCTTTCTGTCTCTCTCTTCCCTCCTTCCCTTTCTCTCCCTCTCTCCTTTCTCTGTGTTTCTGAGCTGTCTCTCTCCTTTCTGTCCCTTTTTACTTCTCATTCTCTCCCTCTCTTTCCCCCTCCCTCTCTATCCATCCTTCCCTCTCTCTCTCTCCTTCTCTCTTTCCTTCCTTCCTCCTCTCTCGCTCTCCCTGTGTGTGTCGGGGCTGTCCATGGTGCTGAAGTCGTGTCAACAGAACACTGGCAAACCTCAAACTGCTTTTATTCAATGTGAAAATATATTAAAATTCGAGGCTGCGTTGTGTGATTATTTTGGCTAAAATTGAGGAAAATGAAATTGGTTTGCTGAAATGGAAATGTGAATTATAAAAAAAATGAGAAAATTGCTGTGAATGTTGCTACCAAAGTGGCTGTTTTGGGAATGCTGTTAGATAAATACGTGGCCTTGTGTCATTCAACAGCTTTTGGTCTACTTCATTAAAATTAACTGCCAACAACGTCCAGATAATGTAACTGAAGGTAAAACATTAGGTCCGCTACCTGCTTGTTTCCATGGAGATGTAATTTCTTTGGCCGGAGTGTTCCACAGTAGGGCATTAAACATATCTCCCTCGCGTTTGCTCAATTACAAGTGTTTATAGCTCAAAAACACCTTTGAAAACATGAATTCTCACCATTTGCAGGCTTGCTTCTCCACAGATCTGATCATTAACCTGTCTCAATACCGTAGAATAATCAAGACACACAGACCCACCAACAGAAAAGTCACACCGTGCACCTTTAAAGCTACTCTCTGTATTTAAATTGGATGACGCAAGATGAATATACAAACCTACAGTTTAAGTTTTCCAATCAGTTGTTTAGTCCAGTGGCTCTCAAACAGTTCACACCAAGTACCAACTAAGAAAATATTTGGCCTTTTGATACTGCATTCTTGTGATCCGTGGGAACACTGGAAAATGTCTTCACGAGTTGAAAAATGCACCAAAAAAATGCACTAAACCAGGTCTAAAACAGAACTATTTTATGTCACATTTAGAGCTAAACCAGGTCTAAAACAGACTTATTTCACGTCACATTTAGAGCTAAACCAGGTCTAAAACAGGACTATTTTATGTCACATTTAGAGATAAACCAAGTCTAAATCAGGACTATGTTAAATTGCATCTAGACTAGCCCCAAAGTGGACAAAACCGTGGATTAACTTGACTAAATCCACGGATGACCTGAAGTAGCTTACCTACCACCAGTTGTACATGTACCTCAGTTTGAGAAACCCCGATATAGTCTATTCCCTTTACATGTTGTTGATGTTGTGTAGTGTAGACTCACATGAGCTGACTCTCCTCATTAAAGGCCAAGACCTGAGTCACGTCCCAGTCTCCAGATGTGATGGACTGCAGCGTGTCTGTGCTCGTATTCACCTGAGGACAACACCATAGAAACAAAAATAAATACATTCAAAATATACTTTAAAGGTCCTATGTTACATGAAATTGACTCTTGTGACCTTTTCTGTTCATGCAGTTGTGTTTTGTTTTATTCACACATGTTTGATCCACCTTGTGATGTCGTCAAGTGGTTGTTTTCAAGTTAACAAGTACCTTTTACCTTTTTAGTTCAGTAGAGAATGATAATTCCAGATCTGAAATCATCCAAATTATTTTCGTGAAGGTGTATGGAGTTTAAAAACACAGTGGAGCACTTCCTGTATCACCACATGACATCACAAGTTGGATTCTCCATTTGAGAGAAGAACAAGAAGAAAAAATGTGTGTGCTAAACATGTGTGAATGAAACAAAACACAACTCCAGGTCTGTTTTTTGATGAGGAAACAACATTATAACAGATCAGAAATAGTGTAATATGGACGTTTATGAGAGCTCTCCAAGATGTATAATGTAAAAATATCTTCTGAGTGATGTGATTACCTGTGAGGTGGACATGGAGATGTGGAAGAACTTGCCCCTCCCGCCCTGAGGAATGGCTCGAGTGAAAAACAGTTTCAGACCATCTTTGGAAAACAGTGGGCTCTCATTCTGAACAAACACATGAAAGAACAGACATATATTTTACTTTAAATGTGCATTGTGTACCTTTTTCATCTGCTTTTCTCCATGGAGATGTTATTGCTTTGTCTGAAATATTTCACAGTATGGTATTAAACCTTTCTAGCATCATGGAGCCCAAACCAGACTAAGTTACAGGTCAGATCTGTGGAGAGGCAACCCTGCTCACAGTCAGAATGCTTGTTTTTCAAGGTATTTTTGAGCTGTAAAACCACCTGTAATTGAATAAATGTAAGGTAGAGCTCTTTAATGTCATACTGTGGAACATTCGAAGCAGAGCAATGACATATCCATAGAAACAAGGTGACAAAAACTTTCACGAAATACATACATACATAGTGCGCCTGCAATATAGTTTAAATCAGTGGTACAAATTGGAGGATTTTAAAGGCATGGTGGTTTTGAAAATGATCTCATTTTTAAGATGTTGGATAATAAAAAAACAGATGATCGGACTGAGCCAATTACATCTACAGAGACTAGAATGAGGCAGAAAACTCAATTTGGACAAAAAATTACTTACATTACAGTTATGCTACGAGGCTGGTGAAATAAGAGTTGCATTATAACCAAATAATTTAACACAGATACTAGGGATGGGACAAGACACAAGTCAAGATGAGATTTTAACATATTTCCTAGACTGGAAAAAAAGAATATCTCGCTAAGTTAAAATGACTTAAATTAAGAAAATTTTACTCTGTTTGAGTAGATTCAACTTGACAAGTAAAATTATCTAACAATATTTTTCTTAAATCAAACAACGCTCAATTTTGTTTCTTATTTTAAGGGCAAAAAGTTGTTGTTTTTCATATTTTAAGTGTGGCAAGATGTATTTTTATATTTTAAGTACAAAAAGTCTTATACCACTGGCAGATCATTTTACTTGTCAAGTGAAATTTACTGAAATCATGATAAAACTTTCTTAATTCAAGTCATCTTAACTTGACTAGATTTGGCTTTATGAAGGGTAATACATAAATTTCACGATTATGTTTCTAATTTTGGACTCACATTTTCTTATTTACTTGATTTAATGTTTCGCTTCCATTCTAGTACTTGTTTTAGGAACTGTTAACAGTATTACTCATCAACATGTAACACTTTTTTTTGTCAAATCCAAATGTAAACGCTTGGAAAAAAGTCTCACAAGATAATTTTTCTCATCTTGTATCATCCCTAACAAATTCATCTCTGTAATTATCTGATCAGCCAGAACCACACGCTTTGTCAAAACTTTAAAAAGACAAGTTGATCTGGAGCTGTGTCCTGTCTCCCTGATTTCATACGGTGTTTCAAGAGGAGATGTCTTCTGCATTGGAGAAACACGTGCTACAAATGACCATCTGTTGTTGGATCATTTTAAGTTTGGACAGAGGTTTTTGATGCTCTATTGTCCAGTTCCAGTCTCTTCTGGATTCACATAGAATAAAGAAGGGACTGGCTGCTCAGGCTGTCTCTATGCAATCCTAACCCCTTCCTAATTTGACCAAACAGTGCACAACTTTGCATTATTTGAACCTTAACTGAATCCTCACCTGTGTATGTAGCCATCCTTCACTTTCATCTTCATGTTTCTGCAAAAAAACACACACAACATCACAACAAATCTAATAAGAAAGTCACATTGTGTTTGTAATAGGTAGGGCTCTTGGAACATCAGAACATTCAAAAGACAGAGCAGCTTATAATTGAGATGGAGGAACGGTCAGAAAAATAAAACACTGATGTTTTGACCTGGTTTATGGCTAATATCTCTGTAATTACTGTGCCTCTCCATAAGAAACAGAAACTGGGTCAAAGTTCAATGTCTTCTTTCTGAACAAATTAAAAAAGGTGAAGTATTTTGTTTTCTATCAAGACTCAGAGTTGTGGCATTGTTTCATTTCAAAAGCCTTTGTTATCAGTTAAAATTACTTGAAGTGACAAGATTAACATGTCTATGGACACACGTTTGGGTATTTCTTCCAAATATAGAGAATTGTCTATAGAGATATAATGGCCCTTTCTCTCCATCTGACATCGCTAAAATGTTTAATGTAGTGAACGCAACCAACTACTCAATCTGAAGCTCGGTGACTCTAATCAGACTTTAATCTGATCTTTATTTTAACACACTTTTAGAACCGACTAAAGGCAGCCACACACGACAGGATTTTTTGGTCTTGAACGATTTTTAAAAGTGACAAAAAAGCCCACACCACAGACACAAGGAAAATCTTATGAGACTTAAAATCTCCGATCGCAAAGACCTGCAGCGGGATATAACTGCAGACCAAAAGCTATAAAGTTGTGAGCGGGATCTTGTCAGCTGTTGCCTGCTACAGTAAGACGTCAGTGAAACTCTCAAGTGTTCCAAAGATCAGAGCACTGCACTTCTAGTTTACTACGAGTTATATTATTTTGTGAAATGTGGTGCAGTACTTCAGATACATGATTTTTAAAGCATAAAAGTTTGGCGGTAAAGTCCACAGGAAGTAGAATCACTATCACTGGTCTGCAGCTTCACCTCGATCTGTGCGCTGTGTGGATGTAAACAGACACACGTGAGGAACTACTCTTGCCTTTTTACTTTCAGAATGTCTCAAACTGGATCAATAGTGCGGGTTTGTGGACTGGATTTCATTATTTGTGGAGGACAATTTCTATGGATAATGTGGATGAGATGCTGCAGTTAAATTTACCACTTTCTGAGAGGTGAGTAATAAAAGTCTTGTCATTATTTTCGCTATATCCCGAGTTTGTATTTTGCGCCTCTGTGTCTGTCGCTCCTCTGCCCCTGACGTTTTGTTTTTTAAGTGTTTACCGTAGCGTTGCTGATGTTTGGTGGTTCTGATCTGACAGAGCAGCTCAGAGTCACACTGACACCACACACGAGGAGCGCAGCAGCTTCAAAATCATACACGAAGACACAAAGTCAGGTCAAGCCTTCCTACACTTGGGGAGAAGTGAATCGCAACCAAAATTGCAGGCAAATTCTCCTGTAGTGTGTGGCGGCCTTTAGCTGGAACTAACTTTCACTTAGGCAAACCACCTCCTCTGACTCCTAAACAGAACCATGAACGCTCCTATTGATCACAAGCTCCTGAAAATGTGTTGTTTAAATCCATTTTGTATTTTTTGTAGTCTTCTGACAATCTTAAAACCTTTTCGGCAGCGTTTGCTAATGTGTGCATTGAGTCTCCATGGAAACTACATGTAGAGCACCCCCAGCACGGTGCCACTTCAGTACCTTGGTGCAGACTCCAGTGGTGGCCTCACACAGAGTTAGCACTGAAATGTTTTGAGGGCGATTCATCCAGTTTATGGCCAGTTTCGTCGCAGTCGCCCATTTCACCATAGTAACGTAGTATTCTCTGTGGAAAAAAAAACAAAAACATAAGAAAACATAATTTAAAGATGCACCATGAAACATTTCTGGTGGAAAAATCTGCACCCTGTTGGTCTCCTTTGCTCAAAACGTTCTACTATATGACATTAAACATCTCAGGCATTCAGGTTTATTGTCCCCGAAGTCAAATTTGTTTTTAGCTCACAGTGTTGCTGATAAACTTATCTATTTCCATGGAGATAAGCAGGTGGCCTCATTGGACAAGGTTACAGGTCAGATCGGTGGAAAGGTGATCCCGCTTATAGTAAGAATAAAGCTTTTTCCACTGTATTTTTGAGCAATAAAACCACTTGTAATTTAGTACATTTATGATAATACTATGAAATATTCCAGGCAAAGCATTAAAATCTCCATGGAGACAAGCCTTTACAGAAAAGTTACGCAGTTCCACTTTAAAGAAAAGTGAAATCACAACTTGGGGAGCTAAATATGTTTCCTGGTGCGTTGCTTATTTATTTGCATTGGGGCTCTGAGCTAATTACTAAAAGGTCAGGTGCATATTTCAAACAGCACTTGAATCATATTGTTTTAAGCACTGATTAAATTTTAATTGACTCTAGTGGAAATAGAAAAGGTTGTACGTAATGAACTGCGGTACGGGCTGTTTGAGTACACGCCGCATAAACAAATAAACAAGAGGAGATGAGGGCATTATGGGTAATGGAGGACAATGCAGTAACACATTAAGTCAGACTCACCCTATCCTGGTATCGTCCGGTCTCCTCATTTCTATGGTGTGAAGTGGACCGTTCAGATTCACCACGTAAATAGTGATGACGGGGTTCTCTTCTCCAGCCTGAGAAAGAAAAATAAGAACTAAACCTTTAAAAGATCCTGTGTTATGCAAAATTGGCTCTTGTGAGCTTTAAGCCATGTTAGAATGTTGTTACCTCCTCAAAAACATACCTGGAGTTGTGTTTTGTTTCATTTGAACAGTCTGAGAAATCCGTGGATTAGTAGGCTGTCTGTATCTCCAAAGCTCAAAATTAAAAGCTACATTTTACCTTTAATTCAGTAGAAATTGACAATTCCAAGGCTGAAATCATCCAAATGATTCCAGTGAAGCTGTATGGAGTTTAAGGCTATATTTATATGATGACAGCCTGAACAGAAAACGCAAAAGTGGCGCTGCATCTTCACTTTTTATTCTACGTTTAGATGAGCATTTTCGGGAGGAAATCTGCATGCATACGGTGACGCAAAAGTGTGTGGAATTCGATTGGGTGTTCATACCAGGTGACTAGGTGGTGACACTAGATGGTGATGTACGTGACGGAAACGTGAACGCGACGTGAGCAGAACTGACCAGAGTTTTGCGTCTTGGGCAGTGTAGACGGAAACGCTATGACAGACTATATTCAGCTTTTCCACTCTGGAGGGTGGTTTCAGATTTTTGCATTTTTAAGCTCCAAAAATGTCATCACCGTCATCACAGGGACTTCCGATAAAAATATCTTGTCGTTTTTACCTGCAAGAGTTCTCAGGCCTCAAAACACTTCCTGTATTACCACATGACATCGCAAGGTGGAACAGACTTAATCAGCCTTAAATATGCAGGGTTTGAGTGTTAAACGTCTGAATGAAACAAAACAAAACTCCAGCTATCTTTGCAATGAGGAAACAATAATATAACAGATCAGAAAATACATTTCCCCCCATGGAAATCTAGAAATAGTTTAGTGCCTACAATATACCAACACTACACAACAAATTCATAGTTTCAATATGTTTTCATGGTAGTCTTTGCTAGAGTACAGGTCTGAGAAGCTAGAATTTACCAGCAGCTCAACCAATACCTTGTTGGCAGGCGAAAAGTCTCAATTTCAAAACACTGAATGAAGGATTACACCTACTGGTTTTGCTTCTTCTTCACTGATGCTGACAAACTTATATCCAATCACAATTACAGCAATGTGTAAAGTAAGTCTGGATAAAGGTAGTGAATTGGGCGAAGAAGGGTGTATAAAACCCCCTGTGGTAGTTGCCATTGGGACTGCCCCATGTTCCCCCTAGTGGCCACTATAATGGTTCGGTCCACTTTGAGGGGCATGTTCGGTCTAGTCCTGCCCAGTATTATATTAAGCGGCTGTTTTCGAGTGCAATGTGTTGGACATGTATCGTGTGCGTTAATAATAAGTAAGTGATGCAGTGTATTTCTGTTTGTATGTATATACTTATTATGTTTATTTGTTTAGGCACCTGAATGTAGCCAATATTTTGAGTTCTGTTTCATAATATAATCCTGTTAGTAATTTATACCTGGTGTTTATCTTTATGCTAGCGTACGAGCTATTATTAACGTTTTCACCTCTACGTTGAATGGTGAATGTCTCCTAATTAGTGTTAAGTTTTCCTTTGTCCAAACGTCGCAGTTATATAATTTATCCGTTTCCTCTAATTAATATTCATGACGTCACCAAACTGTAGACTGAACCTTGCAGTACATTTTCCCAACCAAAGGAGGGCGCTGTTCAGTCACTTTTAAGCCTTGTTACTGTTACATTATTTACCTGTGTATTTATCTGTATAATATTTGATTTTAATTGTTTCCTTTTTGCTGTTTTTGTTACAGAAAACCACACACACACACAAACCAACACATGTATGCACCTGCTGCTACTGTTACTGTTCAAATGGGATTAAAGTTCATTGTCACCTATCAAGTCTCCTGTGCCTTCTGACCGAGGATAGGAAAATCCAGTTGCAACCCCCCGTCCCAGTACTTTGCACACATACATGTTATCAACAAAGGGCATCTGATGTACAGTAAAATGTCTGTAGCATGTAGTAATGTTGTACCTTTGGATAGTGATACTCCTTCCCCATTGGGTAGGGCGTCCCGGTGAACATGGGCAGCTCCATCTTTGGCACCAGGCTGTCGTTGATGGTGGCATAGGCCAGTCTAGCGCCATCTGGGGACCACCAGTGGGCAATGTGGGAGTGGAAAATCTCCTCTGCAAAACAAAAATAAATCAGTTTAATAAATTAAGTCAAAATGAATTAAGTTAAAGGTAGCTTTCCTGGAAGATGACCACGCTCACAGTAATGAATACATGTTTTTAAGGGTTTATTTTTAGCAATCAGCAACAAAAACAAATTTAATTCATAATACAGATAAGATAAGTATAAAAGCCACATTGTGGAACATTTAAAGTAAACCAGTAACATGTGAAAATCCACTGAAAAAGTTACAAAGTGTCTTTAAAGGGCTTATAATGTAGTTTCTTCATCACAAACGTACCTGGAGTTGTGTTTTGTTTCAATTCACGCATGTTTAACACACAAACCCTGCATACTTAGGCTGAGTTTTTCTCTTAAACAGAAAATACTCAACACCACCTTGTGATGTCACGTGGTAATAAAGGAAGTGCTCCGTTGTGTTTCACTCCACACATCTTCACTAGAATCATATCAATAAGTTCAGCCTTGGAATTGCCAATCTCTACTGAACTAAATGAAACAAAACACAACTCCAGGTAAGTTTTTGACGAGTTAACAACATTATAACACAGATTGAAGCTCACAAGAGTCAATTTTGCATGATATAGGACCTTTAAACTCAAACACAACTTATACTACTTGATGACCTGCACAACCTGTTGGAAAAATATGACATTGGACAAAACTATATATTCTGGAAAATCATGACAGATCTAATCAAATGAGCTGCTCTATTAATATTTATAATGATTTCAGCACATTAAACTTTCATGGGTGTTTGGGTCTGACCTTCGGTGTCATTAAATCACTGTAATTGTTCCATGAATAAATCCTCTGACCTTAACTAATGCGGTGCAGATGGACAAGTCAATAAAATGAGATGGACTTTTATGTCACTGTGAAATGACTTTATAATGGTGCCGTGACTGATGTCTCTTAGCAACCAATGAATTATAATTATTAATGATGGTTTAAAGCGGAGTTATCGGCAATGGGCCTTGTGTTTGGTAAATGTCAGTTAAGAAAAATCAAGATATATGGTGGTAAATGTAATATTGTTTCTGAGTAGGTTTTGTTTGCAAAGTCTTAAATTTCCTACATTGACTCTTGTGAGCTTTAAGTCGTGTTACAAGGTTGTTACCTTATTATAAACATACCTGGAGTTTTGTTTTTGATTTGTTTCATTCACACATGTTTGAGTAATGCTGGTTTATTTGTCTGTCTACAACTCCAAAGTTCAAAATGCTCTATTCCACATTGTAGTTTTCAAGTTCAAGAGACAATTCAGAATTTTGGACATAGAGCCTCATTTTCTAGTGAGCCAGAGTGTTAGAGACGTGTGGAGACACTTTTTAAAAATATTCCACCCAGTCCTTGTATTTGCAGAGGTCACTGGTGCTAGGTTAGTGCATGTCAATGGTCATAGTTATCCTGACACTAAAAACAGTCTTACCCACTCCACAAAACACCTGAAGCAAAACTATTATTACACCAGACTGTCGATGTGAATGTTTGTGGCGATAGAACAATGTTTGAAATAAAACTAACCTTGCACCGCATGAATCGTCGCATGTTGAGGGACTATTTTCTCATATATCAATCCACCGCTGCCAAGCTTTCTATCAGGAAGTACAACTCGCTGCTGCTGCTCACACATAAATCCTTCAAATGCAAGGTTGGTTTTACTTCTAAAATTATTCTATCAACACAGACATTCACATCGACAGTCTGGCGTAATAATAGATTTGCTTCAGGTGTTTTGTGGAGTGGGTCAGACTGTTTTTAGTGGCAGGCTAACTATGGCCATTGACATGCACTAGCCTAGCACCAGTGACCTCTGCAAATACAAGGACTGGATGGAATATTTAAAAAAAGTGTCTCCACACGTCTCCAACACTCTGGCTCACTAGGAAATGAGGCCCTATGTCCAAAATTCTGAACTGTCCCTTTAACCGCTACATTTGACCTTTATTTCAGTAGAGAGTTCTAGGGCTGAAATGATCCAAATGATTCTGGTGAAGGCATATCAGGTTTAAAAACACAGTGGAGCACTTCCTGTATTACAACGTGACATCACAAGTTGGAACAGAGTGTTTTCTTTTTGAGAGAAGAACTCAGACTAATGTGTGAATGAAACAAAACAAAACTCCAGGTATGTTTTCGATGAAGAAACAACATTATAACATAGATCAGAAAACAGTGTAATATGGGCGTTTTTAAAATGTAGCACATTGTCTCCTTTCTTTAGTGCCGCATCAGCAGAACAGCGCCCTGGCTCCGATCTGACCTGTTTCTATATTTGGGCGTCACTTCCACCCTCATCTTTCTGCTTTACTTACTCTCTCCATCTCGCTCCAAAGCCGAGATTTCACAAAACACAGGCCAGCGTGGGGACCATAAATCAAACAGGATTCAGTTCTTAGCACCAATAGTTAATCTTAAATGAAATCATATGGCCCAGTTCTACACAACTGTAAGGAGCTACCAGTGGTGGAAGAACAACTCAATTGTGTTACTTAAGTAAAAGTATAGATACCGGAACAAAACACTCAAGTAAAAGTATTGCATGAAAATACTGCGTAATTAAAAGTATTAAAAACCTGTTTAAAAATTTATTTAAAGAGAACAAAGTAAAAGTATTTCACGTAGATTTTGAGATCTAATAAAGCTTCAAATGTAATGAAACAGTGTAATAAAACGTACAGATACCTGCTCTCAAACGTAGTAAAGTACACGTAAAAAGTACCTACTACTTTTTACTACTTAAAATACCTCAAATGTATGCTTAAAGGCACATTGTGTAACTTTTCTGGTGGAGGGTCCATCAAAATATGGATGTGGGGATGTTATTGCTTTGTCTGGAATGTTTCACAGTATGGCATTAAACCTTTCTATTTTCATGGAGACCAAAACAGACCAAGGTACAGGTCAGATCTGTGGAGAGGTGACCCTGCTCACAGTCACAATGCCTGGTTTTCTAGGTATTTTTGAGCTATAAAACCACTTGCAATGAATAAATGTAAGGTAGAACTGTTTAATGTCATACTGTGGAACATTCCAGGCAGAGCAATGACATATTCATAGAAACAAGCAGGTTAAGGATCCCCAACCAAAAAGTTACAGAGGCTACGTTCAGACCTGAAGTGATCCAAATCAGATTTTTTGGCCCCTATGCGACCTGTATCTGATCTTTTAATGACAGTCTGAACAACACAGATCAGATTTTTTTAAATGTGACCCAGGCCACTTGGATTTGTGCTCCTAAAACTGATACATATCCAATCTTTTGACATGTGACTTCAGTCTGAACGGCCAGGTCACATTCATCCCACCTACACGTCACAAATGTACATAAACGTTCTTCTCGTCAAACGAAAATTGTGTCTGAACTCCGTGTCAGTGAAACAGTGAAGCACATATCAATCCCACCACTCTTGGCTGGTTTCTTTCTTTCTGCCACTGCCCCACAAAACACCATGGCCAAAAATGTTGACCTTCCCCTTCTCAATTTTCTCCTCAAAACAAATAAGATGTACATGGTTTGGCTCCGGTACGACAGCAACTTTAAAATCTCCTGGTGCTCAATGCTGCATCCATGTTTAGGCGACTTATGAGCACACTCGCTGCGTGTGACGTCATCGTGTTCTCCAATGCACATGCGGGACACTTTTGGGGTGTTTAAAGTTCAAACTGGAGATCACATACAAGTCGCATTTAGTCGGAAATGTGAACAACCTCGCGAAAAAATCAGATTTCACAACAAAATCCGAACTGAGCATTAAGCCCTACAGTCTGAACGTAGCCATGGTGCACCTTTAAGATACCCGAAATGTATACTTAACTACATTACTTACTCACTCCTTTTACTTCTTTACGTTCCACCACTGGTAGCTACAAACTTTCCAAACATGGACTTTTTATTATTAAATGAAATACTACGCTAACTTGTGCAGGATCAAACAGTTGGACCTATTGTTACAAACTGCCATAGGGTGCGTTTATATCAACTTCAGCAATTAAAATTTCATTATTGTTGTTTATCTTTGGGACGAGAAGTTGGCTCTTGGGAATTACCAAAGCAATTAGCATTTTCATTAGCCCCGACCGCTGCAAGGAAGGACTTGATATGCACAAGAATTTGATAAACAAACGCAAGGCAATGTCTGTGTACATTTTGTTGTCTGATAGAGCTCTGAAAATCTTGTTTATTCATTTTTTTATCTATTTATTTTTTATCAGGACAAAGATGTGAAAATGTGAAATTGGTTCAAAAGGTGAAGTTGAACTGAGAGCAAACTTATCCCTTAAAGGCCTTGTATGTTTTTTCATGTATTTGAGCAAAATGTGTTTTACCGCTACACAGATAATACTGTATAAGCAGCTCTTGAGGTCAGAATAGGTCAGCTATGTTCTGTCTGCATTTATTATGAAGAGTTTTATTGTACTGCTTCATAGAGACATGCACATCCAACACAAAATGCGACTTCATGCTGAGTCCAAGGACAAAAATTGTGCAAAAGAAAAAAAGAAATTGACACTGCAGTTCTTTGAAGCCCCCAGATTTTTATTTCAGTCACACCACAATGTGACGTTTCCGGTCAAGTCCTTCATGAGACATGAAAGCTTAAGTTTCACTCCTGTTATATATAGGCCCGAGTCTAGTTGCCTGACCCATCAAGTGATCAGTCCCAATAAGAGACATTTTGATTACAATTGTTAAATGGAATCTTTAGAACAAAACAGGTGTTCACTCAGTAAGTAAAGTGGTGTACTGGTTTACCACAGCCAAAAATATTTACACTATTTAGAATTTATATTAGAGGTGTACATTGCCTTGAGTCTGATGATACAATACGTATCATGACATGCATGTCACGATTCGATATATCCCAATATATTCCAATACTATAACATAGATTGCGATTTATCATTAATTACTTCTATTAATACTGAATACGGAACTGCACCTTCACAAGAGCACACTTGTATGAAATATAATTTATAAAAATGTTTA